GTGGCCGCATATAGGCATTACACGTACTCCGTATACATATAATAGAACGGCGACTTATTAAGATGACGCAGCGCCTTAGGCGCCAATCGCGGCGTCTTTGGACCCTGAAAATCTTCAAGCTACGTAGTGAATAGCAGCCGTGTTCTGCATCCAGGGGGCCTGGAATCGACGTCGCTTATCAGCCTGATGTTCACACATCGCATCGATCCGTCGTCACGTTTCCGCCGCCTCTTGAGCTGCTGGGCTGGCGAAGACTGGGGATGCTAAAGCCACAACACAATTCGTCCGCCACGAGGTGGGGATCTGGCAGTGTCGAAAAGGCCACTCCATTCTCCAGCTCGATATATCGGCCGTAGTCCTGTGCCTGCAGCTGCGGCTTTGATTTTTCTTTTCTTTTCTTTTTATTGGGGGGGCTACTTGTAAGGCGGCGGTCGAGGAGAAAGGGTCCTGTGACATCATTGGAGGAACTCATCTCAGGAGACTACCTAAGATATATGTGCCTAACCTAACCTACATGCTCACCGCACTCTATACCGTACCTATAATTAGTGCACGACCGCCTACTGGGCAATTGGAAGTCTGGGAATCCATATCCTTAGTCTGCACTGCGTGTCTAGATGTGGTGGGTTTTCTTATGCTTCCTTCTGCGGGAGACGGCGAGCGGTGAAGAGAGGAGGTGACGCGGCAGAGAAGAAGAGCTGAAACATGAAGTTGCTGTGTTGTCCACAATACGAGTGAGTACATGTAGCAGTAGTGCAGTAAGATGGGAGGTTTACGAGTGGCAAAGAGCGGCAAAGGCCACATGTATCCACGACTGCTTCTATATATGGCCTCCAAGGCACTGCTGGGCACATGCGGCCATATCCACGGCGTAGATCTGCAAGCTGTTGCTTCAGGATGCATGTCGGCCACCCGGCCACCGCATTCGGCTTCTTCCCTGTGCCTCAGCTCACACGCGAGGCAAGATTCAGCTGGCATTGCCGTCAATCACGGAGTATTCCGCCGAATAGGCCATTGCAAGTGGCAACAGAGGGACCGTCCGGCGGTCAACCAGCTACATGCGGTAGGCCAGTATTGCGATTGTCCTGCTCGCAAGCTGCATTCCCACTTCGTACCGGTGGCCAGTCCAGTGGCTGCTCCGTAGTGGCTCAGCATTAAACCGCACCACCGAGTAGCGTCGATGCTAGTGCGCGTTTGAGTAATGCCGCCAGAGGCACTGATAGGCCTGAGCAGGTCGATGCGACTGGAATCGGGCGGTAGCGCCAGGCACCTGGGCAGTCACAGCACCTCCGACACGTTGCTATTGTCGGGCCCAAAAGCCCGTGGGGACTGTTTCTCTCACATGCACAGCGCATCTATCAGCCATGTCGGTGTGCAATAGTGCCGCCAAAAAAAGGCCCTTTGGTAGCTGCTTCAGGTAGAGTAGACAGAGCGAAGCGATGCGGAGAACTTGGTCCAAGCAATACGGAGCCCCAGAGTTGATTTGCGATTACTATCCTTTTGCTCCGTACCGTATGTACAAGTCATGCCTGCGCGCTGTAATGCGCGTGGCTGGAGCCTTGGCGGGCAAAAGGGCGCATGCGGTGCAGCCAGGCACGTTTCCTCGGCGGCATTCCATACTGTAGGAACTTCCCAACTGCGTAATGAACCAAGCCTGTGAGCGCTAGCCGCTCTAGGCAAAGAAGCCCTCTCTTTTTGCTTCTCTGCGAGTTCCTCGCCACCGAGACTCGTGAACACGTCAGTGTCACTTGCTAAAGCCGTGCTAACCACGGCGAGGTGTAAAGTATAGTCGAATCAAGTCGTCGGAGAGCTCAAGGAGCACGAGGAAATTCCGATCTCCGGAGAAGCGGAAGCACACATGCGCCTCTAGCGGCCAGGAGGGCGGACCGTTACCAGGCGGATACGTCGCGATACCTGCCGCCCGCGCTCGATTGATGCTGCTTGCCCGTGTACTGTGCCCGTCCGGCGTTGCTGTCTGATTTGCTGGTATAGAGTCTGGCTGGGCCCGGGGGGGCTTGAGATGGATGCTTGTAAGCTGGGTCTCACTACGACGCACTTGGTATGTTATCATCGGTGACCTGCATCATTACTGCTTTAGTCCTGACCGAGCGAGGTCCTGCAGCTTGGAGTGCTAGCACTCCATGTTAGCGGTCGATGCCTACATGCGTTGATGCAGTACGACGTGCTTGAGCCGACACTCAAAACCCCCCACGCACACTCATACAAGTATGTAGATGCAAGCATATACCTGGTATTTGGTGTGTAATACAAGTTGCACATATCCAAGAGAATAAGAGTCTGTTGAAGCAGAACCCACAGCGAGAGCAGGGCCAGGGTTCCAGAGCAAGGCAAGATACGGAGGACCAAAGTCGTCGACTCGCATGCTCGTGCAGGTAGCACAAGCAGCAAGGCAGGGCACCTGTGGTAACATTCGGCATCCGTCCAGATTAAGAACGCTTTTGGATGCCACCACAAGTCCCATAATAAGGCCCAGTGTAGGCCGCTTCTTCCCTTCCCCTGGAAGTACGCAGCTGGCAACCTGAGCCGTCGTTTTAATTCCACTGCACAGTTCCCGTAGGTACGAGGTAGACCGCGAGTACTGGCGAGGTACTGTTCGCCTGATAGCTGTGGGAGCGATGGCTTGAAGCCGCCCAATTAACCGCTAGCGCCAACCCCTGTTCCTGTGGCTCTGGTGCTTGTACGAAGCACTACATACGGAGGACTCGCTGGACTTGCTCCTGACACGCTGAGGTCGTGATCAGAGCTTCGGCCTTGCAGGGGCAGACGCCAACTAGGATTCAGTTGCTCCGGCTCTGTGGATGAGGTGGTGTGGATGGGGGAAACCTTGCTCATCGTGGTGATCATGCCGTCAACCATCAGGACTCTTGTTGCTGGTATGGACGTGCTAGCAGTAGTGGTGCCTGTAGTGCTACTGCGCTAGCAGCTGTAGGAAGTACTATATGTTATGTAGCGGCAGCATTTGTCTTTCCTCTTCCCTCTTCTTCACCCGTATTCCATCTCTCCTCTTCTAGCTCAGATTGAAAGCCATCCGTCTACTCTGCTGCTATAAGTAACCTGCCTTATTGGTGATTTGAGAAGCTCCAATTCGTAGTTGTGTCTGATGCTGCCACACCATACCTACGTCCATCTCTCTTTCAAGCCACCTTCTTTCATTGTCCATCCTTGAGCCGTGCATGCATCGCGCCAGTTGAGCGACCAAGAACCGACCAACCAACCGACTTACACCATTTCGCCTTCTCCGCCATTTCGCTGCGCTGTTGCTGGGCCCCCAAAAGCCGTCAATCAAGGGCCGCTACGACAACAATAACACATCACCAGGCCGCACCGCTCTTCTCTCGAGCTAAGAATACCATTCATTCGATTTGGACAAGCTTCTCGTGACGGCCGGACTGTCTCTTGAGCTGTTGGCCGCCCCACGACTCGCGCTCGTCCAGATTCATTCATAAATACCTACTTTGACCTGGAACCCCCGGCAAAAAGGTGTGACATGCTCTGACCCTCTCCGAGGTTTTACGCAACGTCTCCCAAGTCTCAGCATTGCCCTCATCCGACCATAAGTTCCAGCCATCCCGGCAGAACCTTGTTTGAGCCGTCTATTTTTGCATCTCCAGGCTCTGTCCTCTTCCCTCCACCGCTCTACTTCGCTTCACTTCGTTTTACTTCTATTTCCGTTTGTTTCGACTCGCTCTTCTATCGGTGAACGTCTAGCCTGTGTGTTTACCGAGTGCCGGGACAGCTTATTTGCACGCCTTCACCATCGCCGACTTTGCGCCGCGAGACGGTTTCGTCATATACCAGGTACAGCCGGTGGACTTTGGCGCATCTACAGCGCTCCCGCATTTACGCCGCAGCCACGACAGTACCGCCTAGGTACGGTGTACTTTGCAGCGCACTTGTACTCCGCATTCACGGTTCAGCCAGGCAAAGAGAGAAAAAAAAGAGTCCACGGCACCACACTGTCTACCGTGCAAGCAGACAGCCACAGCGAGCGTTGCTCGACCCCAGCCGAACCGCGCCGGCAAAATAGGCCCATCCGTCACTTTGGCACGACCGGGGCTGCTTGGGGATTATTTCGGGAACTCGTTTTGAGTTTTGCGGCTGAGGCTTTCGTGACGTCCATTTATTTATTTATTTGTTTGCTTGCTTGCTGTTTATTGCTGCCGCGACCCCCGCTTCCATCCTGGCTCTGCCTCGTCATTGTCCCCAGCAGGCAGCGAGTGTGACACAGAGCGTGAGCGTGAACGTGAGTGAGTACGAGCGTGCCTGGTACTGTGTACCGAGTACATCCATCACCAAGACACATCCCCATCCCGCCTGTAAACTTGGCAGCAATGCAGAGCGCGCTCAGGTGGTTCCAGGGCCCCGACAAGGCCCTTGGGCCAGGCTCCACGGCCGCAGCGCTCGTCGCCCAGACCAGCTCCAGCACCAGCACCGGCTCCAGCGCGGGCTCCAGCACTGGCTCCAGCACTGGCTCCAGCGCTAGGCCCAATGCCCTCGCCCGGCCAGCCCACTCCCGCGCCACTGCAAAGGCCAGCGACGGTGCCGGCCTGGCGCTGCCTGCCTGTGCCGCCTCGCCCGCCCTCGCCGGGTCGCCAACTTCGCTCAACTCGTCGTCGCTGACACAATCACCTTCGCCCCAGCCGGCAACGCCTCCCGACCTCTTGCACGACGCATCATCGGCCTCTGCCTCCGCCTCAGCATCTGCCTCCGCATCCGCCTCTGCCTCATCATCAACAGCGTCGCCATCGCCGCTGTCCAGACACAGCTCCAGCTTCTGCAGCACCCCCGCATTGCGCGCTGACCCAGACGTCGCCGCACCCTCGCCCTCGTCGTCGTCTGCATATTCCTGGACCTCCGCCCTTCGCACAACCGAGCAGGCCCAGGCCAAGCCCGAGAAGCTCTTCGCCTACCCCCGACCCGACACCACCATCGACGTCGACATCGACATCGACCTGAGCGACTGCGACGACACCGCCGACATGACTACTGGCCCGGGCCTTGACGCTGCCATGGGCCGACCGCGGCAGGACTCGTTTGTCAGCGCCGGCCCCAAGCCCATCTCCATGAACATCCAGAACCGCGACAATGTCAACAGGAATCGTCGCGAGAGTCTCGCCGGCAGCCTCATGGGCGGCGTGAGCTGGGGCGGCATGTCCTTTGGCAGTTTTGTGAGGGACGAGTAAGTGCCTTGATCATTCTTGTCGTCAGCTTTTTATCCTTATCTGCCTCTGCTATCGTGTGGGCGCTATAATTATTTTTGCCCCATCCGCACCGTCATCAAGCATCGCATTCACCCTCACTGCTGCTTCCACCATCTTGCCTCAAACATCACGGAATTCCTCTTGGGCATGTCAATTCGCAGACTGGACGAGGCACATTTTGGACTCTTCACGCCCCGCGTGCAACCGTTCTTTTCCCCCCCTTCACTCCACCCCTCATGTTCGCTCCGAATCTCCCCGCCATCGTTCACGTCATGGGCATCATCTACTGCATATTCACGGATTTGACTGCCATTTCTCTATCCTTCCTCTTTTCTTCTTCTTCTTCTTCCTCCTCTTTCTTTATCTATGCGGTGACGACTGCTAACAGAATGCCCTCTGCAGTATCATGATGCAGGGAACCTCTCCGTTCACCGGCGGCGCCCACGCGTCTCCGTCATTCCACTCTTCATCTTACCTACCGAAGCTTGAGGCTAGTTTCATGCGAGACTTCACATGTTGCGGCAAGATTCTGCCAAACTTACATGACTTGCTGCAGCACTATGAGGAGGCCCACACACAGGCCAGCCCCTCTGCTACGCGAAACAGTGCTTTCAACCAATACGGCCAGCTAGGCATTCAAGGATCACCAAAGTTGCCGAACCCGAGGGCAACTCCAGGGCCTGGCCAAGGTCCGCAGCAACTGGGACAACAGCGCTCGATCGGTGGCCCCGGACTCCAGCTGGGCGGGCCTCAGCGAGTTGGCACCTCCATGCTTCAGATGTCCACTTCCATGAGCAACAATCTCAATGACGACATGGATGCCGTTGCAGATATGGAGATGGATGATGCCATTGGCGCCATGGACATGGACGACAGCCAAAAGATGCATCAGACTCGCCAGCTCTTCGGCCAACAGCAGCGACCACAGCTCAACATGAACACCTCCGGCATTACTCAAGGTCTCCGGACGTCACAGCCGCCCACCCCCGCAGCCGCCAGCTTTGGATTCCAGAACAACCCCACTGTTTCCTCTGTCAATACCCCTACCCTTACGACCCAGCAGCAGATGCCGCAGCAGCAGCAACAGCAGGCCCAACAGGCCGGCATGGGTGACATGGATGAAGACCTCCCTGGTATGCCAATGGGTGGCGACGCTACTGATCTTGGCGACATGACGTTTGGTAACGGCAACAACAACGCTAATAGCGACTCTAATTTCTGCATTAACGATCCCGGCAAGCATTTGTTTAGCCCCAACGGCGCATTCCCGCAAGGTAACCGATCTATACAAGCACAGCTCGCGCAGCTCGGCTTGACTAGCGGTCAGTTTGCGGACCCCGAGGCCAACAAGGCGCTGCTTGCCCGATTGCAGAGCATGATGATGCCGGAGGAACACAAGCCATTCAAGTGCCCGGTCATTGGCTGCGAGAAGGCGTACAAGAACCAAAATGGACTGAAGTAGGCTATACCCCTGTTTACACGATCCAATTGGCAATAAGAGGTGCTAACCACCGTATTTTACTAGGTACCACAAAGCTCATGGCCACCAAACCCAGCAACTGCACGAGAACGGTGACGGAACCTTTTCCATCGTCAACCCGGAGACCAGTGCGCCTTACCCGGGTACTATGGGTATGGAAAAGGAGAAGCCGTTCAACTGCGAGACGTGCGGCAAACGCTACAAGAACCTCAACGGCTTGAAATATGTAAGTCCAAGCAAGAATGATTAAGCTGCATAATCTTTAACCGAGGCTGACCCTCTTTTCAGCATAAATCCCACTCTCTTCCTTGCAACCCCGAATTTAAGCTTCAAGCTCTAGCCGCCGGTCTTAATCTGCCAGGCATTGGAGAAGACGTGATGTTGCAGTGAGCCGCTTGCACATGATGCGTCGGCCGTACTCCTCTGAACGGCATGGATCTGTTCGCGTCACGAGGGACATTCAAACTCCCCCGCTATAGTACGATTCCGACTCATCGAGCCTGTGTTGATCTCCTGTGGGGCAATCCTCCAGTTGCGATCAACTCGCCTTGCGCCGTACGCTTGCGCTCTATGCTCAGCCATTTGTACATCCACTCTTCTTTTGCCTTGCAAATTTACGGCACATGGCGACGGCGTTTAATCCTGGGCTGGTTCCCTGAGACGAAATGGATTCGAGGTTGCTGGTTTCTGGATGGTCGCCTCTCCCCCTTATCTGAGGTTCCCACATTGATGGCGCGCTTGCTCGCTCGCTAACCCCCCACCATATGCGCATCAGTGAAGCAGATCATTCCTGTCATCGGATGGCCGCTAATACTATGTACTACTAGCGGTGGTACATGATGCTACGGCCAAATTACCAGAACTGGAAGGACCTGATCCCGTCTTCTAAGTTGCATTGAGCCTCTCTCTCACCTCAGTTTGTTCATGATCTTGTGTGTGTTTTTTGTTTACCCCATCGCGATGCATCTTCTATAGACCGACTGCCGGCTGGCACCGCGAACGCGCCCTTTTAGCTTCCTGGCAACAATCAAAAAGTTCGCCAAAGAAGATGATGACAAGAATTTGAAATGGTGAAGCAAAAATGACTACAAAAAATACGAAAAAGCGGTTATGAGTTTGTACGTTGGGGAGATTTTTCTTAGTCTTTCATGCTATGTCTCCTGGGGAGAATTGGTGCTGCATTGGACAGAAAAGAATCTGGTATTTGTCACGTTGATCATCTTGGGCGGTTTTGGTTTTTCAGGCTCTTTTCTATCGTGTGTGTTTTCTTTCGTTACTACCCTCTGATGTTTCTAAACGGTTTGGATTGGATTGAAATTTTGGCTTTGATTTCCACGCGCTGCTCTCCTCGCCCTCTATTCGACCCCCCTGCCACCACAGAGGAGTTTGAGATGAGAGAGCAAATCTGGTAATTTCCCCCCCTTTTTTATATATATATAGTGCTTTTGGGAAGGGGCCTTTTTTTTTTTTTTTTGTGAAAAATTTTCTCTGGGTGGTGGAACAAAACAAAAAAGGGAATGGAGATACATAAAAAGTTGCGTATTTTCTTTATGCTTAAACAGGAAATGGTTTTATAGAGAGAAATCCAAAAGGAAAAAAAGGAGCTATTTTGCCCTTATTACTTAATCTTGTGTGTGAGCAATGATCAAAACATCTCTAGTGAACAGCATATAGATTGAATGTCAGCTAAGCTTTTTGTTGATCTACCTTTGTCACCCCGATGTATTTCTTGTGTACCGCCCTCTTCTATTCAAAGCATGCACTTGTAATCCCGCCAAATAAGGCTGAAAGAGAGGCCCCGTAAGACGGGGGCACATCGTTACCGCTTTGAGGCGGAGGAGCAAAGGTTCCTTCTGCTATCATGTACATATACGTGCGACGCGTGTTATCCCATGCAATCATAAGTTCTAGTTATTAGCCGGCGGAGCGAGAGCCGAAAGAGACGGAGGATCAATATCCCAGGGGAGGGCGCGTGTAGGGAGAAGTGGACAGCCAAGGCAGCAGAGGGACCAGCTGGAAGAAAGAAGAGGTAATAGCATATATATATATATAAATTTCATATGGTCTATAGACATACATGAGCTAAACAGAACTATATCATAAGCATACCATTTCATGAAAAGCAAGCAAAGTACCTAAGCAAGCAGCCAACTCCCTGAAATGCTCATTGGATAAGTTAAAAAAAGAAGAAAAAGAAAAAGAAAAAGAAAAAGAAAAAGAAAAGAGAAATGCTCCCCCTCCCCCCAAAAAGCCAGAAACGGAAAATAAAAAAGTGCTCTCATATGGTCGTATTGCATTTCTTTAAACGAGCAACCCCAAGCAAAAGCCAAAAACAGCTTCTTCGGGAAGATCGCTACATCATCTTTCCTTTCAAGAGGCTTCTCGGTAACCTTTGGCAAGGTGTCCGGGTAATAAAGGAAAAAGATGATAGGCGCGGGTTGCGACATGTAATCTTCATATCGTATCAAGGCATCCTTTCTACGATATCTCCACGTCCTCGTCATCTTCATCGACCTCAGACTCGACGATCTGCATCTGAGTACTGCTGCTGATACTTTCCTTACGAGCTCCATGCCCCGTGCCATCGCTATACCGGCCCGATACGCTCCCCCACTCGAGCTCGTCGCCCGCAACGACTCGGCCCTCCATGTCGATCTCCTGCGAGAGCTCGACCAGGGCGCTGCGGGGGAGGCGAAGGAAGCCTTGAGTACGAACAATGCGGCCCCAGTGTGTCATGCAGAAAGTTGCCGCTCTCTTGCGTAGCCACTCTTCGCTCGCCAGTCCCGAGCAGTACCATATAACGCAGGCATGTTCGACATCCAGCTCCTTGGCTAGGCGATTTATGCACAAGAGGCGAAGGTGTGGGATGTTGTATATATTGGACATGACTAAGAGCCCAGCAACATCAGAGAGGTCCGTAGTGGCGTCACTGTCCGTCTCCACCGTGCCGTGGATGTTATCAGTATAGAGATAGAGGAGGAATGCCTTGACAACTGAATACGGCTCGGGGATATGCATCTTCTTCGTGTGAAATTCCGCCATCTGAGCATTATACAAGCGTGCAAAGTGTGGCCACCGAGCTTGCAAAATGAGCTTATGGACGTGAATAGGCGTAGAAGTCGGTGTATCCGCAGAAAGCCAGCCTTGATCTTTATTTGAATCATCGGCTCGAATGAGCCCAGAGCTTAATGTGTCATCGCTGTCGGCATCATCAGCAAGCGCTGTGATGATAAAGTCTGTACCACTCCCGGACTCGGGAGGCTGGTTGAATAGCTTGGCAAGATCCGCACCAAGCCCCTTGGAAGGCTGATCAGAAAGTCTGGTGGCAAAGGATGGCCTAGACTGAGCCAAACTTTCCGGTGCTAGATTGTTTCCAAGAAAGCCGTATCGTCGAAGGTCGACTTCCATGATGTCGCTACAATGGATCACGTCAGTAGATATAGAGCAAGTATAGGTCAGCTATCGTTCCATCTCACCTGAGGTACTCTTCATAGCCGTTAGGGCCCAAGTCAGTCGAAGCAGGGTCAACTGGACAGCCTAAAAGCCACGCTTTGGTGCCATCTTCATTCATGGTACAGTAATGCCACCTATATCCGGTTTTAAATATTTCGCGGCCGTCGGCAAGCTTCTGCCATCGCAACGTGCTGAGATCTAATGCTGATAGAGAGCATTCTCTGTGGGTAATGGTCGCAGCAGGAGTCACAAAGTCGAGCAACGTTCCGGAAGAGTAGGCGTGGAAATGGATGCCTGATCCTTGAGATGGCACCGTTGGCCCCGAAACAAACTTGAGAGCGGATATAGACCCTGGTGCCATTGGCGCATAAGATTTTACTTGGAAAGATGGAGGATTCACTTGAGCGGTCCGGGAATTCGCAGCATATCCAGATGCGCCAACGACAGGATTTGCTGCCATAGTGTAAGGTGGCCTGGGAGAACTACTAGTTCTGTGGGCAGTAGAGTGGCGATCAAAGACGCCAAAATGGGGTCGTGAGTCGAATTCCGGGCTTCCCTTCAGATCAAGCCACCACAGGTCACTAATCTTGTCCATGTCTTCGCTGAGGCCACCAAAGACCCAGACACGATCACCCCAGATATAGGCCGAGTGATCAAAGCGACCGACGAAACGCCATGCCTTTGACCATGTAAATGTCTTGAGGTCGAGATAGCAAATATCGTCCAAGACATAGTTGTTCTGGCCAGTGATGCCGCCGATGATGAACAGCTTATCCTCGTGTAGCACCGCGGCGTGTCTTGCTCTGCCTTTTGGTATGGGGCCGGACACCAAAGGTTGTGTCCAGTGGGCTGTTTTCAAATCGAAGATGATGAGGTCAGATAGGTAGGTTCGATGCTCGTTCTCGCCGCCGAAGACAAGTAATTTGTCGCCTTTGTACAACGTCGCCGTGTGGCCTGTGGAAATATCAATTAGTGTTTGTCGCGATCGAGGTTAAGAGACAGTTCAGGGAATAAAAGCGCACCCATGCGAACCCCAGGAATATCGCCATAGTTATCCACCAAGTTCCATTGATGGGTTGTCAGGTCTAATCGCAGGACGTGATTGTACACCTCGTCAGTGTATTGGTCAAAACCGCCAAAGGCGTAGATCTGATTGTTCCCGCAGTATGTCACAGACGCATTGACAAGACACGCAGGTCTCTGGCCGAGCGTACGGGTAACTTTGGGACGGTATCCATCGACTAGAGGGCGAGCCTTAGCAGGAGAGTTTGGCATAATGTATGTGTTATTGGAGGCGGCCGAGGCAGGCGTCTGAACGGTGCTCATGGCGTCTGTTGAAGTCTGGCTGACAATACTGGTGGTCTGCGGCGTCCCACCAGCATGGGTGGCCAGGCCTTGGCCGAAAATGCTGACAGAAGATGTCGATGGGCCGGGGGTAGACGGTTGCGCCATGGTGAGACTTGGTCACGATCAACAAAAGACCATGCCAGGCGCGCTGCAATCCGACGTAAACTGGCGGCGACAAGCCCAGAAGTGGCAGAGTGAAAGCCGCAAACGAGTGATGCGATAACGGCCGGTCTCAGCGCTTGGCGACTTGCACGGGTCCTCGTGGTGGATTCGACGATGTTTGTAGGTTAAGCGTTGGACGGCGCATGTGAGGTGAGGGTCGCAGATTTGCGGAGCATCGAAACAGAGTCTCGTTCGTCAAATCCCACACCCGACTAGGTACGTACTTTTAATTTTTTTCTTTGCCGCGTGCGCCTTTCCCAGTGCGGTTAGCGGCCCGGCCGTTACTCAGTGTGGCGGCTGGATCGTCGAAGGCTCTCTAATCCGCCTACAGTTCATGGTTGCCTAGACAACGCATTGAGTGGGGCGTAGTAAATAAAAAGAAAGGCATTAGGCGTCACCGTCTTGGAATCTTCCCCTCACTGTACAATGCAAACTTATACACCCTAACGAATCGAACCATATCGCTCCATAACGAAAGAATCGATAACGAAGCACCTATTGCTAGAGAAAAATCGCTACTCGAACCAATCATTGTGTTGCTGGGGGGGATTTTCCTTGGAGAAGCGACACTTGCTCCGTTGCCAACACTTCATTACACATTTGATACACATCAGAAATAGTCCTTTATCATGGCTACTGCAGCAGGATCAAGTCCTGCCAAAACCCACAAGGGTATTTTTTCTAAGCGTACCGGCACCGAAAGAATTCCTCTCACGCCCTCACCTCGCAACTCCCTCAACCTAAACTCTTCTCCCTTCACTCCTGAGAATGCAAAGGCTTCCAAACCTACCTATAGCGGCAACTTGATGGCCCACTATGGCCGGACATCATCATCCACCGCCAACTCTCAGCGAGAGTCTCAGCAGGAGCCTCAGAGAGAATCCTATCGCGATTCTTCCAAGTCTAATGTAGCTCTTCCGGTTCAAACGCCCCGCAACACGCTCGCACTCGGAGTGTCTGACTACGCACTTACCGGTACCGGCCTTTCCACGAGTCCTCCTGCTCCAAAGAACAAGAAGGGATCGCTTCGACAAAAGCCGAGCAAGACGACGGTGAACTACAACGGCGACCGCTTCATCCCCAACCGCGCAGCCAGCTCCGCAATCGCCAATACTGGATCGAGCAAAGCCAGCGGCCCTGAGAGGAAGAAGAAATCCAAGCCAAGCAGCTCGGAGAGGTCACCTGCTCCCGAATCAGGTGAGGATGATGGAGAAACTGCTTCTGCTTTGGAGGGCTTGAGCATCCTCGACGACGATGAGGATGAGAGCTACGTCCGCCCTTCACCAAATACTGTGGCCTATCAAGATTCTCTTGCCAATGCCTGTGGCGTGAGCCTCAAGACTCGCATCCTGGAGTTTAAGCCTGCTGCGCCAGAATCGTCCAAGCCCATCGATCTCCGCCAGCAGTACAATAGACCTCTCAGACACGCCGGATCTAGCTCTGCCCAGACTCGCCGACGCATCGCTACTGCCCCTGAGCGTGTTTTAGATGCACCTGGCCTGATTGATGACTATTATCTCAACTTGTTGGACTGGAGTTCTGGCAACCAAGTTACCATCGGCCTGGAGCGCAGCGTCTACGTCTGGTCCGCGGACGAGGGCAGCGTCAGCTGCCTGATGGAGACCACCCCCGACACGTACATTAGCAGCGTCAAGTGGTCCGAAGATGGTGCCTACGTTGGCGTTGGCCTCGGCACGGGCGAAGTCCAGATCTGGGATGTAGCCGAGAGCCAAAAGATTCGAAGTATGTTTGGACATGATACGCGCGTTGGTGTCATGGGCTGGAACAAGCATCTGCTTTCTACTGGCGCCAGAAACGGACTCGTTTTCAACCACGACGTTCGGATTGCTGAACACAAAGTTGCCGAGTTGGTCTCGCATACCTCCGAAGTGTGCGGCCTCGAATGGCGGTCTGATGGCGCTCAACTTGCTACCGGCGGCAACGACAACTTGGTCTCCATCTGGGATGCCCGATCCTTGTCTGTGCCCAAGTTCACCAAGACCAACCACAAGGCGGCAGTCAAGGCACTCGCATGGTGCCCTTGGAACGCCAACCTGCTTGCCACTGGCGGTGGTTCATACGATCGTCACATTCACTTTTGGAACTCCACTACGGGAGCGCGTGTCAACAGCATCGATACCGGCTCCCAAGTCACGTCCCTCCGCTGGAGCCCCCACTACCGCGAGATCGTGAGCTCGAGTGGCTTCCCAGATAACTCTCTGAGTGTCTGGAGCTACCCTACCCTGGTCCGCAATGTCGAAATTCCTGCTCATGAGAGCCGTGTCCTTCACAGCTGCCTCAGTCCCGACGGCCAGATGCTGGCCACCGCTGCTGCTGATGAAAGCTTAAAGTTTTGGAAGATCTTCGAGAAGAAGGCCGGATCTAGTGTCGGTACTGGTGGCGCAGGAGCATCTGGAAAGGCCGAAATGGCCAAGCAGATGACAATTCGATAGATAACGGTCCCCTCGTGGCTGTTACTCATCAGCCTTGAAGTAAAGTATGTGAGCCTCTTTGAATGGCGTCTCTCTTTCTCTATCAATGGTGGGAGCATCTGCTTTTGAAATGGCGTTTGGGGGATTGCCGTCTGCTATTCTCTCTGCACGTGGTACGAAAGTGCTTCTCCACGAATGAATAATAAATAGGATAGGTCGGATCTGAACACGAGCTATGATGGAATGTCTAAGACAAAGAGCAACCAAAAAAGAAAGTTACAAAAAAAAAAAAAACTTTGTAGTTACTTGTTACGTTATGTCTTACACGGATATTGATTTCAATGGGAAGTCTGGCGTTTGGGAGGGTCAAGGAACCGCCTGGTTTGGTGTCCATCAACCACCGTGTTTATGGAAGGGATTTTGAAGAAAAAAAGTCTTGTAGCTTAGATAACGTTGAATGAATATTTTGTTTGAATACAATACAGATTCTGAAGAAAACAGTGTCATTGGTGTGCATGTGATTTATAGAAAACGTATTATACTGCTGTGCTCACATGATAGCATGTGAACTTGACCATACGGTGCGAGTGCACGCTTTAGAGAGATGCTGGCCGAGTTGAGTTCCAATCAAGGCCATCGGCGCTAAGTCAATGGAAGAGTCGCTTTTCAGTGGTGCTTCCAAGTAAAGTTCAGCGCTGTCGCCTGCTAGTCGCAGGCAGCACAGTTGCTGAGCAGCTAGCCATGACTAAGCAGCAGAGCCCTCTAGAAGTGGAAATCTACCCATTGCCGCCAACTCTAACCATTGCATACCTACCTTTGCAGTAGGACGGACCGACACCACTGCCCTCTACGCTGCACGCCTGAGCGCGCATTCAAGAATTGCTACTAAACGACTTTATCTGTGCACACAACAGCATCCATCCCCCCTCTCTACTCTGCCAAAGTGGCGGCTGCAGCGACGTTGCCGAGTATCGATACAGCGCTTGGCCACCAGAGCGGTTACCCACCGACTTGTGTACGCCTACAAACGGCCGCCTGGCGATAGGCTGCGCACTCATTGACCAGCCAAAGAAGAAGGAAACGAGAGACCAGGCCGCGGCGTCTGAGAGTGCTATAATAAAGCAATCGCTTATTTTTATTTTTATTTTTATTTTTCCGACTGTGATTCGGTTACGGCACGGTTTTTGCATCCCGTCTGAAGCCATCCGAAACAGAGATTCTCTCGTCGAGGGGCCTCTGGCGACATTCCCAAGTGCAAAACTAGCATCAGTCGGGTGCCATCGGTGTAGTCCGAGTAGAGCTGCCAACATGTCGAACCAGGCTGTGGGAAGCGTTTACCAAACGATCATCGAGGAGGTGATCAACAGCTCGCGAGTCGATTTCGAGGAGAGCGGTGTTGAAGAGGCCGTGCTGGAGGAGCTGCGATTGGTAAGTAAATCAGTCATTCGTGTCCCGGCTTTTGCCAGTCTCCCTCTCTGTTCGTTCCCATCAACCCGCCAACTGCACCTCTGCTTGCACCATCGCGATCCATCGCTGGTCTCGTGACTGCATCGTCCCTTTCCAGATTCTCCACGAGAAACGAATACAGAGCTCAGTTTTTCGCACGCAAGAGCAAGATGCTTCGCGCGAGACTCGTGGCTCCCTGAGAGGGGACGCAGGAATCTGGGGTGGAGAGGAGTGGCGGGTTGGGTTCGGGGAATCGGGGGGGCGACACGGCACTATTTGGAGCCCTTTTTAAGTCCAGAGAGAACCCCCCTGGCCCCCCTCAAACCTCACTCGCCACCCGCCAAATCCGGTGACCCTCCAAACAGGCAGGAATTGGGCGCCGGCGCCTGATTGGACCGCCGACGGCCGCCTCCCTGTGCCTCAATTTCACGTGTGGTTCGAGTCACAGCGCAGCGCAGCATTGCACAGCACAACGCACCGTGTGAGCGGCTGCTGGCGACACAACGAACTTACACACATTGCCCTTCTCTTTCTTCGTTCCTTTTGAATCGCTTTCACAACCATTTCTCGTATCTGTAGCCTTGCTGATACTAATCCTCTCTCATTAGGGATGGCAACAGAAGCTTTCTCAGCTTGACGTCGCGCGGTTTCCGTGGGATCCCAAGCCTGAGCCTGCCCCACCAACCGCAGCTGTTCCGCCTCCTAACACAGCTACGCCTGTGCAGACACAAGCTCAGTTTTCTACGCCATTGTCATTGCCAACCGCGAGTCCTCCCAGTGGGATGCTGCAGAATGGCGTCAAACCAGAGCCGTATGTAAAGGCAGAGCCAGGCATCAAGCAGGAGCCCGGCACACAACAGCCCAATATGGCCTATTCCAACTACACTGGCATGGAAAACAAAAACACTGTTGCTGCAAACAGGGCTGCTCAGCAGCTGCAGGCTCAGTACGGAATGCGAGCGCAAGATTCCATAAATGCGATACAGCAGGGCCGCATGGGTCAGCAGCCTCAGTTGCAGACACCCCAGCCAGGGCAGCCGTCAGGACCCGTATTACCCCAGCAGCCGCAACAGCAGCCATCAGAACATCAGCAGCCATTGGGCAATGCTCAGGTTGATGGTGCGGGTGATGCCATGTTGGAAGATTCTTCAGATGATGAAGAAGAGAGCTTTGAAGGGGTCCTTTTGCGGCACGGTGTCAACGGTAATCCGGAAGAGCTTGGAAGAGTCGAAATCGACCGCATCCTCCACGATCAGATTGCTGCCAAGGCCAAAAGCATGGAAGGAGGTGGCTTGATGCTGTCTCTTAAGGAAGCTGCAAAAGCCCAACCAAAGTCCAAAAAGCTGAGGAGTAAAGGAAAGGGTCCGGCTGGCGTAGCTGCATATGATGGCGGAGATGATGACGACGTCGAAGTCGATGAAGACGCCATCAATTCTGACCTTGATGATCCTGATGAGGATCGAGATGATGACGAGGTTGATGATGAAGGCCTGGGCCACATCATGCTCTGCATGTACGATAAGGTCCAACGCGTCAAGAACAAGTGGTACGTGCTAAATTTTGAGCTAAATTTTGAGCTATCCTCGAGTGTTGAAGGCTCCCCCCCCCTTTTTTTTTTTTTTCATCTGTGCTCACTCTTTACATAGGAAGTGCACTCTGAAAGATGGTGTCTTGACGGTTAACGGTAAGGAGTACGTTTTTAACAAAGCAACTGGCGAGTATGAGTGGTAGCGAAATTCACGAGGGGGATTCACTTTCATCGTTGCTTTACGATCTCATACATGCTACCCGAGAAGAATCCCGTTTGGCTCAGTGCTATCTATTTTCAGCGGCTTTTTGTTGGCCGACTTTTATACCTCCACTTGTCTACTTTAATTTGGCTGTTGCTCGCTATTTTTTACATTTTACATTAACTACGAAAATGAAATGCCAAGATATGAAATACTAAAATGAAAAAGACTAAAAAAAAGTTTGAATTGAGGAGCAGGTGCTGGTAATATGAGAATGAGGTTATATCCAAAGGACCAGCCAGCACAGCTGGCCTTCTTTATGCCCCTGGGATTAAATGGCTTTATTTTTCCTTTTCGTTTTCCCCTTAATTTCGTTCAATACACGCTGGATATCGCATGAACGGTACAATTGCGCATGATGCGCCTCGGGCCATGTATGTACATTCTAAGCCAAAGATAAATTGATTATAACATCAGCAAGATGAACAAGTGCACCACCCTACAAACAAAAGCTGGGCTAAACGGCCCCAACGGCGCAAGTTTAATCAATAGGGGGCGGCATAATATGAAATGGCTATCTTCCGTCTAATCCAAAGACAATAATCGTGTTACTTACTACCTAGTAGCAGTACTAGTAGTAGTAGTAGCAGTACGCCAAGCGCAGCTAAGCCGATAGAGCTTCCGCCTCGGCGTTAATGCAGGATGCGCAAGCCGCTCCGTCTTGGTGTCCTGCCAGATCAAGGTAGTTTTCGTTTTTTTCTGCTCACACCCCGAGGGAGCCATAAACCGGCTTCCTAGGCCTCTCTCACGGTCACAGGTTTGCTAAGCACAGAGAAGAGGAAATTACTGGGCCGCGGTAAAATCAAATTGAGGCATTTACCAAGACAGGGGCAAGATGCCGGGAAGCGTCTAGCCCAGGCATATGACCGCTTCTTGGGAGAGCAAGGCCTTGAAGTAAACGATCGCTTGTCGCGGGTCCGCTTCCGCGCGTTTGTATGGCGCCCGTGGGCCATGAATCCTTCGTCGTCCGCCGACCTTCGCCGACGCCCAATTGGTATTGGTAGGCTATACGTGATGAGAGCGACGAGTAAACAGGGGAGGGGCTCCCCGCTTCTGGTTACGAAGTGGCGGCGCTGAGTCGAACTTGGGAAAGTTGAACATTTGGGGAGTAGAATAAACGAAGAGCACACTATTCTTACTGTGGCGGATGGGGAGGTAGGAGGGGCTGCAAGACTACCTTACACAGCTTGCTTATCCCAGATTTTCAGGGATCTCACCTCAGATACACCGAGCAGCAAAGTATCACTATATAAAAGAGGGTTCGCGAGGAATATCGCTGGAGATGCTGCTCGGGCTGGTGGCATTCCTGTTGCTCTACTCTATGCATGAGTGAGCATGAGGATGAGCGGATGGGTAGAGGACGGGGTGGGGGATCCAGCTTACGAGCCTCCCTGATACACCAAAGGGTATCCTGACCACCATTTTTACCGCAATTTCGCACCCCTACTCGCTCGACCCGACAGTCTGGTTCACCGAGAGGCGCTAATGGTTAGTGGGACGCCGTGCAGATGTCTAGACCGACAGGGGAGAGCAGGCTGGCGGGTGTGTCGGCAGTTTTGATTCGAGGAAGAGGAAAGGGAGTTGTCAGACGGAGCAGTATATGGCTTCGCTTCTACCTTGTAAGCCTGCAAGGTTGAGTATGGGCGTCTCGCTAGTGACATGGGTGACTGGTTCCGAATCGTCGAGGCATATGTGATTTGCGCTTCCTCTAACCTATAAGCGGTCGGAAAGACCAGGTTCAGGAAGCGAGGGTGCACAAGCATGGCGTGGTGGAAAGACTTGAACGAAAAGTTCCAATTGCCAACAAAGGGACTTGTTGGTAAACGGAAGAAGATGAAAAAGTTCAATGATCGATAAGAGTTAAATTTGCCAATAAAAAGACAAAGATAGCAAAAGCCTAATTGTCAATAAATTGGCTTGTTCATAAATGGGCAATTGTAAGCAAAAATCTAGTCGCTAACGATTGCGCTCGTTCATAACTGGATGAAGTTGTAAATAATATGATTACCTACAACTGGACTCGTTAAAAAATGGAAGCTCATGCAAGAATACGGCCTCGCCCTTGAAAGAGTTCAATCGCCAACAAATGAATGTTTCGGATGAACTCACGATTTCGCCCTTGAAAACCGGTCCACTTGTTCATGAATGGATGCCAAACTGGGCATACTTGTACAATGACTTCGGTCCTGGAGTCTCTAATTTCCGAATTAGTTTAGTTTGCCATGCCTGTGTGAATCTTTCATGAAGAGTAATGGAGAAGCCACGAGTCATCGATGCTCCTATATGAGAATGGCCTCTCCCAAGCAGATTCTATGCTAGTTCTATCGTTAAGAATTGGGTAAGTTTGATTGTCAATTGGAATATAGATTCGCCATGGCTCTCGTTCACGTAATTATCCGTGCAAATATAGATCACAGTCTCTGACCTAGGAACTGATAGAAGTCGAGAGAAGCATTTCTATGTTGCCAGTCGACAGTTCATCAGACACACTCTGGCAGTGATGTGGTCGGTGGAGCAGCTATGCCAGTAGCTACTAGGTATGTATGACGCAAATCTCGCAGACGTCTATTCTGAGTGGCCCAACGAATTGGAAGAACCAGCATGATGAGAGGGGAGAATGTATCCCAGCCGAGCCGTACCCACGTCCAACATGGTTGCCGTCGCAGTGGACGTCACCTTAATCTTGCTGCGCCCGGCAGTGAAAGTATCGACCGATAACCAGGTTGCCGGTTAGCTACATATTTGTTTAGCATTAGCCAAGTGACAGTAAACGACTCAGAGGTTGATATACTTCGCAACCAGCCATTTTCAGCGGCACCCCCATCCCGAGAATAAGAGGCCCTTAGCAGCCATTTCTCCTTCAATCAAAGCAGTCAGTCGTGCCAACGAGTGCAGACATGGAGGGCAGTGATCCTTTGCACCTACATAGTACATAGTAAGTGATTCTGCATGACTTAGTGTGGTGGATGAAACCGCTGTCGGCAGGGTTCAGGGATCTAATGCTTAATTGGCACCACTTTTCGCCGGAGCTACTCGTATACCTGCTTGTACTCACCCTTCTGTAGGCGAAGTCGGAATCACCATTTGTAAGGAGACTAATCCGTACAAAGTATCGGAGGATTTCAGAAGGAAAATCTCAGCCCGCTCGCAGAGCCAATCATGTGCTGGCTCGCACCCATAAACGTTAGCATAGCAATTGACACATATGCTGCAGCGTTTGACGAGGAGTAACAGAGGAGAGAAAATATGTGACGTGTAATATGTAGAAGCAACAAAAAGGCACCGAGACAAATAAACAAAGGCCAAAGGAGTGCCTTTGGGTTCGGCGATTCACTCGTCGAGATGGTGTGTTGTTGGTTGCTCAATATTATGCGTCTGGCTAAAGGATGCTAGCTTCGTCTTCCTCCACAGCTTGTTAGTGTATCCTATGGCCCCTCTTGGGACGATGCGACGCTATGAGCTACCACCAAAGATTCAAGCCGAGAAGAACTCGCAAGGGGCTCCCTCTTAGAGCGATCTTCCTAAAATGGCCGTTTAACCACGCGTTAATACTGCCATAAAGGAACAAGTCCAGAAATAACCATCACATGGAGCCAGGGGGGACCGTGGGGCTGGCCGACTCACAAGTAGCCATGATAGTTGGGAGTTTGGTGAACGCCTCTGCTACAATGTCGTCAATAGAGTAGCCTCATTGCTGGAGCTAATGCTGGCCCATGCTATGCACGGTGTTGCTAAGATCTTGGATGGAACATGCAAGGTAGCCTCCTATCAGTTCTCCTTGGGCCTCTGCTCGCCGGCTGGTAAGTAGTCTTCTCAGTAATGATGCTCTATTACAGGACGCCGTTACATCGTATCCATCAAGCAGTTCCACCGGCACCGCCTACACAGCGGCCTAGCCGTGGAAGGGAGCAAACGTCACATGTACAATGGGCAGGACTAGCGTGGTGTTGTTGGTCCCCCAGATATCGAGGCAATGCTGTGAGACGGTGCCCGGTCTACTTCGCAAAAGCTCAGATGATAGTAGTAGTCAGTATTGCGAAATCCTCGTTCAGAGTGTGGAGCCCAAGACCTGATGTGCAGCTACACGCCATGGGCGTCGCTCTCAAGGACGGATACATCGTAAAACGAGAGAGCACTGGCAGCACCGCAGTGGGAATAGCCGAAGCGCAAAGCTTTGGTCTGCACCATAATTCAGCCCACCCGCGGCGATGAATTGAATTTGACGAAGGGGGAAGAAAGGCGGTGGAAGAGCTGACTGAGATGGGGAGGATGTAAAAGCATTAGGCCCATGGGAAATTTTGAGGGGAGGTAGTGGTAGTGCTACTGGATATGGATTTTGGTTCCTGAGGCACCATGGAATCACATCACTAATAATACCAAGCAGCTTCTTGGTCTCAGCTAGACCTCAAGTACTAGGAGCAGTTATTGCAACTGGAAACAACGAAGGACATTAACGATATGCTCGCCGCTACCAAGTATCGACAGCTGCCTCCTAGTATGCATAGCAATCGCGTTTTGATGGATACATGACATTTGAGTTTATAGACGCTCACAGCATATCCAAGCTCGCCGATGGGTGTCTCCAGAGAGTAGCGTTTCTCAGACATGACCTTTTTCTGAACAGGAAACTCACGGGCTGAAGTGAACGTCATACATGCTTCCGCAGGTGGCTTTAGAACATTAGGTGCCTGTGCACTACTACAGATACATAGTACCTACTACTATACCTATGAGGTATAGTAGGTAAGAACTACTAGGCACCTAAGGCATTGGGATCTGGGGCTAGACAGCCTTTGAGTGAGCGGAGAATCGAATGCCATACCAGCAGGGAGTGGGACATGTGCCAATACGAAGCCATCCATTGCTTCTTGCTACCACTAGGAGGGCAGGAGGGCAGCAGGCACTATTTTAGAGGGCTGCGAGAAATATATACCTGTCAGGCAGTGATAGTCTAGCATCATACTATTGGCCTCATAGTAGCAGTATAGGTGCCTGGATACATAATAACTAGGTACATCAATGGGGCTGGCCATGGATGTTGCCAGTGTCCACCGCCTACATCTTGGGGTATTGAACAGCCTTAAAGATGCTTGCGCCGCCGGCAGACATCTTGCGGTGTGAATGCCTCACGTACTGCTGCCTGCGCGTACTGGCAGACTCGCCTGTATGCCCTTTTCCAGCAAGCCGGATGCTGCCAACAAACGGGGATGTCCGAGTACTACTTCTCACACCGTACTCTGATAATGCTACTCTATCTGCTGTGGGTATACTTGTGGTGGTTTCTGCGGAAGGTCGCAACAGTGGATACAGCTACCTAGATCAATGCTACTGTCTGATGCCTGCGTCCCTGGCCTGTAGACGTCACCTCTGCGATTCATGCACAGCTTGACAGTTTGCGATGACCCTTTATCGAATGGACAGGTATTATTTCGGTGTGGCGCTGGTGAGTGACTGGTGGTGTTGTCGCCAGAGGCAGTAAATATTCGTGCTCCGGGCTCTATTAGTACTACTACAAGTAAGTTGCTGACAGGCACTAGGCCTATAGTACCTATTACCTGTATTAGGTACTACCGTAGGTACCTAGTAGCAGTAGTAGTGCCTCCTGCAAGCACTTGGCGAGCCGACTGTATTCTTTGCACAGCAGGATTACATTTTTCCTTCTTTCCATCCTTCTTGCTTTCCTTTTCGATTTTCACCCCCCGAAGCTCAGGCAAGTCTTCGGACTCTAATTAACCCGATGCCCATGAATGCTTTTTCCCCTGCACAAAGTGGCTCTGCGCAATCAATCGCAGACAGCCACGACCTCCTCTCACACTCTCACACAACTTCCTGGTGCTGTTGGTTGAGATTCTTCTGCTTTGCCCGTCTTTGGTGGGGCCACGGGCGGGTCGCGCCGGGACAGCGCAAAGAGCATCTGATGGACCCGTCTCGCACCAGAATATACGGTGTACCGGTACCAGCGTGTACTGGCACACCCATGCAGTGCCTCCACACCTGCCTGCCAGTGCGGCGAGCTGCATTGGAAGCGCATGCTCGTAGATATCCATGTCGTTAGATGAAGCGGGCAGCAAGACAAGAGCAGTACATGATCCGTGTGTTCCTACGCAGAATATTCGCACTATCCCGTACAAATTGAAAGTGCTACCGCTATTTAAGATAGTCATGTTCAGCTCTCCTGGCCGTTGAGCGCAAATTGGTGCGTCAATGAGGGCTAAAGACGCATTCGTCGACTTACAGCATCGATGTAAGCTGAACAAGAATGAGTTTGGCTGCGCTAGCAGCCCATGCAACGCGCCACAAGCAGGAGGATCATTTTAGAGCCGCATCTGAATTTCCTGGAGCCCAGTCCGCAGAACAATCAGCCCTGGCTAGTGCGCCGCCTTCCATTTGCTTTTCGTTGTCCCCCATCAAACCAGAAAACGCAGGCTCTAGAGTGAAAGGCGGGCATCGGGATTTGCCCTCCAAAGCCGGCCGTCTCTTGGATAGTAATACCGTACAAGCAATGATGGTTTTGCCAATCCCGGCAACACTAATGAGAGAATTACATGTGCGCACGGGTTGTCATTCTCCCGCGGAATCCATGTCGTTGGCTCTTAATAGGGCACAGCTCTCCATGCAGCATCAAAGTTCTGCAACAACAAGCGGTGGACCCCGAAACAGAGCAAAGATGCTGCTCCTAACAGCCGACAACTTACAGCTCGGGTCCTAGCACTATCTACATGTGGTAATTTCTCCAGAACCGGCGACGGTTTGCGGGGCGGCAGAACCAGAGTGTGCCGTTCCTTACTCTGGTATACCGCAAGATCCCTCAGCCAGCAGACTGAAACTCAGATTGAGATCAAGGCCGCGACCGAGGTTGTATTTCCTCAGGCATATACCAGCACTTTCAGAGCAAGGCAGTACCTAATACGAGTCCATTCAGCCAACTTTCGTACAAGCAGGGCCGGGGCTGCATACCAAGCGGGTGGACTAAGAACTGAGCGTGGGGAAGGGCGTGGGGCGCGACAAAGTTTTGGGCTTCCGGCGTCGCGGAATGATGGCTGAAGCAAGAAATTAAAAAGAACCAGAAATGCAACCGAATCAAGAGGAAGGAGTGGTGAAGCCGAATTACAGGTGACTAGGACCTGCAGGAATATGCGTGATAACGGAGCTCGTGCTGCGGGACGCCACCAATCGAACCAGAAATGTTGAAAGAGGCAATCGATCCAGTGTGGTGGCCAGTTAGAGGCCAGGATTGGAGGGCCTCGGCGAGAGGGAGTGAGGAAAGTACAGTACCACTGTATGCTAGTATGCCGTCTGTGTATATGACTCTACCCGTCGTCCTTGCTCTTTGAGGGTGAGCGTGTGAGCGAGTGTGTGTGTCTTGTATCGATACTATTTGCTGCATTTCCAAGGGTCCATGCAAAGACGTCCAACAGCGCTGCCGGGATGTCCAGCGTTGGTGCAGTTGGGCGTTGGTCATCATCGTCCGTACTGTACATGATACATGTACTTGCTGCTGCTGTACGCAGTTAGAGGTAGCCCGTGCTCTGGACAGCACCTCTGCTGTACGATGCCTACCTAGGTACCTGGTACCTGGTGCTGGCGCTGGGCCTGCAAGTGCCTGTATTACTCGCGACCGTGCCACTCCATGCATGCTGCTAGCAGTAATTACCGGCTATTGGGAGCAGCAGCTACATAGTATGGCGATGTTGGCCTTGCAGCAACACTGGCACCTGGTGGACGGGTGCCAGCAGGCTGTGCTGTGCCAGGTAGCACCTCGCACTTCACAGCATGATTGACGCTCGTCATTCTGCCGGCATGCGATGAATGAACCCGCTGGAATGGAAATGTCCCCGGCTGCTGCGGAACATCACCGCCGACTGTACGGAGTCGATGCTGGTGCTGACTGGCGGCCCGAGCGAGATGAGATGGCCTTGCGGCAGTGGCCAGTTGAGCGGTCCAGGGCTTGCCGCACCGCGCGGGACACAGTTTTAGTGCCCCCTGGCCTGCTGCTGGGACGGGTACGGGGACGGTACAGGTACTTGCATCACCGTCGAGGCCAGCGCCAGAACACCACCAGCAGCTCTGGAGGGGGGTGTGCCTCGTCGCTGGCTCCACGCGCGCCACACGCCACCCTCTGGGCCGAGCCAGGTAGGCAGGACTTGCAGAGCCCTTTCCCTGGTAACACCTGGACCGGCCGGCAACAACATGACTTCCTAGAGCCCATGTCCTGGCTTCGACCTTTTGTCCAGCTCAACGTCGCCGCCTGCAATGCTCATGCCTGCGAGACTGGAGCCAGAGCCAGCGCCGGAGCCAGAGCCGGAGCCAGAGTCAGAAGCTACAACCACGACCCCGAGCAGCAGCGCCCTTTGCTCTCGGTGAGCGGCCAGGGAAGCGAAGACCAAGGAAGAGGGCAGAAGAGATCCGGCCCTGACTGGCGCCTAGCGTCCGTCGCAAAACCACCAAGAACCAGCCCACCGCGTCTTCGTCTAGCCTCCCCTCCACTTCCTGTGGCTTCGGGGCTCTTTTGCTCTAGCGCCAAAGCAAGTCCAGCAAATCATCGTGTGTCTGTCGAGGCAGAGAGCCTCCCTACTGAGCGATCAATACCGGTCTCATTCGCACGCTGCGGGCTGCTGGTCCCAGCTTCTCAGGATACAGCTTGCCGTTCGGAGGATTTTTTTCCCTCTTCGCTGGGCTTCTGTCGCTCACTCTCTGCTCTTCTCTCCCTTCTTGCGCCCAGAGGCTTGGATCAGCGCAGCCGTTCCTTTCGTTCGCACTTTGTTTTGCCTTTTACCAATTCCCTTGCTCGCATTGGCGATCACCTCCAGGGGGGGCCACTTGACTCAGGCCAAGAGAGGGAGAAGAGGCAAAAGCAAGACTCCAAGGTTTCACTCAGTCCTTGCTTTTTTTTTTTTTTTTTTTTTTTTTCTTACTTTCATTTTTTCTTCTTTTATCTCTTGTTGGCTAGTAGGGGAGGCAGGCCATTCATCCTGGACTTCACGCCAATCCCCCGAAAGAGCCCTAGGACCTCGCGACGCTTGCCATTAGCCAACGACGACTCACAACAAACATCTGTCGATTCTCAATTCGGCATCCGTGGACTCGGCCTGACCCTCTGATCTCCAGTCTTTGGCCCACTCCGGACCCGAGTCTCGCGCCAGTCTTAAAGGGCCAGCCGTCCACTTCCCCCTTCCTCTCTGCCGCACGCCGATTCCCAGCTTTTTGGTACCTCACCTCCAACTTCTCAGCATACTTTGGATATCCTCTTATTCCCGTCTCCCGGCGCCAGTCACTCGCTAAAGTCTCCTAAATTGAGCCACCTGCGCCTTCAAAAACCATCCACCTGCTACTTGACAGGCACTCCCGTTCTTCTCTTGTTAGCCGCTGCTTCCTATTCCTTACGAACTGGTGGCAGAGGTGACCGAGGTGACCGGAATCGAGATTCTCAGACCTCTTTTCAAGGATCCTCAGGAGATTCAGATTTACAGCTGCCTGAGATAGCAAAGGCAAAAGTTGAACCTTCGCTTATCCTAACCCTCAGCATCTGAGAGGCGCACTCTTGTACGACCTGCGATTATATTTGTGCCACCTCCTTGGGTTTCAACCCGCGAAATATCCCCGTGTAAGTCATCATCTATCTTCGTTGTACGTCTGGTCACCCAACGCCGTCCCTCCCGTCAGTTCGGTTATATGCTATTCTCCACACATCTATCTCTCTTGTCTTAGTATGATTGTGCGTATTGACAGGCGCCGTGCATGACAATGTGTACGTGCGGCTACGACTTGGTGCCTTGTTTTACTACTAGTCAACATGGCTTCTTTTCTTGGTAGCCTATCAATCGCATCAGTCTGCTTCGTCCCAATTCTTACCTTTTTGCCTCTTCTGGGATAGCCGTGTGTATCTCTTGTCTCACTATATTCCCTTGATTAAACCCTGTTTGATCTCCCTGATTTTGTTTTTCCCTCTCATTCCTTCTTCCTTCTGTGTCGTTTCTACCAACTCCCACCTGCAATCTTGTCCAAATTTAATAGCTGCTTCAATACCAAAGCTTAAAGCTCAGCATACTCTCCGGGAAAGCCTCCCGGGTTTCAGTAAGAGTGAGAGGCGTCCATTCTTATTTGAAGATTAGATATTTGCACCCCCATTTCGTCATATACAACAATCTACCATTTCCCCTTTCTTTCCCTCTCTCCTACTCTACCCCTATCTCTTTTTATCTCGCCTCTTCATCTCTTTTTATATCTCAACTCAGGACCGCTTAGTGTCACCGGCTATATCCAGAGCAAAATAATGAGGTTTTCCTCACCTTACCTGAAGTCATGCACATTTACATATTCTTCTGCCAAATTTCTCGCTGTCTTCCGCTTTTTGTTCTATCTTTAAGCTTTCTTTCTGTAATCGTTTTACTAATCTTAGACCTTAGTTAATCTGATAATATTCACATTGGTTGATTTATCGCATCTACCTACTCTTAATTGCTAACGGCCATTTGTTTCCCGGATTCCTATTTCCGTGCTACCTGCCTGGACAGCCCTTAGGATCTCCATTATTTTTCTCAAAGGCCATTAAGCTCTTATAGGACTCGCCATACTCGCCATGTCGTCTCGAAACGCTCCAAGCGGGTGCGTTGCACCCTCCCCAGCCACTGCTGCTCCGCCTTCGCCCACGAATCTGCGACTAACTGTTGGGCAACCGGTCAGCGAGTCGGCCAACGAACCAGGCAGTGAACCAGAGGAGCGACTTCTCCAGGACGGATATTGGGAGTACGGACGGTTTTATGGTAACTGGAAGAAAGGAAAGTACAATTTTCCAATTGATAAGGTTTGTCTCCGCTTTGCCACAGTATATGCGACATCTATTTTGACATCATTGCTCAGGAGGAGCTCAGTAGGCTGGATATTCTCCACAAGTACTTTATCGTAGAAACAGAAGATCGCGTTACTTCCGTTCCTTTAGATAAAGAAGGACGACCGAAAATCATGGATCTCGGAACGGGCACAGGTATTTGGGCATTCCATCTTGTGGAAGGGTAAGATTTATCAATGTCGTCTAGTCCAATCTCGTTGCGTTTCGTTGCGCTAATAAAAGCCAGTTACATTCCGAATGCCCAAATCATGGCTGTTGATCTCAACCAGATTCAGCCAGCCCTGTAAGTAGATAACCAGAGACTTGAGTTGTGTTGACTTATCTAATGCGCCACCACAGCATCCCTCCAGGTGTAACTACAAAGCAATTTGATATTGAGGAGCCTTCATGGGAACCACTCCTCCGCGACTGCGACTTGATCCATCTTCGGCTGCTCTATGGAAGTATCAAAGACGATCTGTGGGCCGATACTTACCGCAAAATTTTCGAGTGCGTATATGATATATACTCTACAGGCTCCTTCTCATCTAACGTGTTTAGGCACTTGGCCCCTGGAGGCTACGTTGAGCATTTGGAGATAGACTGGACACCGCAATGGGATGGCGACGACCGTCCCACACACTCAGCTATTCGTGAGTGGTCTCAGCAATTTCACCGCGCTATGCATCGATACCGCCGCAGTGTCAAAGTATCGTCCGAAGATACCAAGCGCATGGTAGAAGCAGCTGGCTTCACTGATTTTAAAGAAACTACGGTCCGGTGCTATGTGAATCCGTGGTCTACCGATCGCCACCAGCGAGAGGCTGCTCGGTGGTTCAATCTGGCCTTGGGCCTAGGCCTCGAGGCTATGAGCTTGATGCCCATGATTGACATGCTGCATATGAAGAAAGAGGATGTTGTAGACCTCTGTAAACGGGTTAAAGCCGAAACTTGCGTTCTGCGCTACCACGCCTACTTTACTCTGTAAGACCCAACCAGCATGACTTTGAAATCTTTTCTTTGGTCGGTATTAACCTGCATACAGACACACCTGGACGGCCAAGAAACCCGCCAGCCCGCCCCAGTAAGGCGCCTGAGTGTTCAGTATCTTGGCCACTATTCATGGCTTTCAGGCATTTGCATTCATAATTTATAGGAAGCTGGCTGTGATATTGACCAAGATCACTGATCATATGAGGCTAAAGCAAAAATACGATTCCTCAGGGATCATCTTAATGGCGCTCGGCATCAATAACAGCCTCCTAAGGCGACTGCGACGTGATAACCACCTATTTGGCTGGGCTGATGCCTGAGTATGGCTAATGACCGACATTATAAACGGATTTACATGAAGCAAGGAAGATCCAAGGGCTAGATCCCATGACGGCTTCGCCTTCCGGTGCCAGTATATGAGTTTATTTGCCGGATATCACGGCTCCGAGAGCATGGTTCATGTTTATAGTATGGTAATGTGTACAAGTTAGCGTTTGGAAGTAACAATTTAGAATTGGGAAAGAATCATTCTTCCTCCTTACAATATGCTTTCCTTGCTCTTTCTTGTACGGTGAAGAAACTTTTAACGCAAGCGTGTATGGATTATAGGGCTATGGGTGATTCAATGACGCCTATCATAGCTATGCTACCAAAAAAGCAGCCCAGTATAACTAGCATGCTTGATTGACTGATTACAGCCCATCCAACTCCTCCATGTCTCAGTATAGTATTTTGCGGCTATCTTGTGACGTTGGTCAGTAGTGGTACTACTACTAAGTAGTGACAGCAGTATCCTGGTCTGTATACCTATTCTTATGTGACGAGTAACATAAGTTGGGAGAAAAGCGAGAAATGGGGGTCCGATACGCACGCCATGTAACCTGGTTAGATCCGCCCAGCCCAGGGTGTGTAAGTAGACCGGGAGGAGGAGAAATAAAAAAAAAAAAAAAAAAAAAAAAAAAAGCTTGGCATAACTGGAGCTTTGATAAGAGGGGGGAATGAAAGAAGCTCTCCGTATTTGCAGCCTTGTGTGTCTTGACTATTCTGTAATGCTCCATTGGCAGAACCCCGACTGTTGTATGCGATGAAGTAGTATTTTTCTTTCTTCGGATAGGAGTGGGGTAAGATGTTGAAAATTAAATGTTGGGAGTGGAGGGCTCCATGCTTCGAAAATGTTACGGTGACTAGGAGGCTTTGGATTAATGGAGTAGAAACTACTTTGCCCCTGAGAGTTGTCTTTTTTTTTCTCTCTCTCGATGTCGGGCGTACAGGCTGTACTACTATCTGCTAGTCATATATGCAAGGGGAACTCGTTTACTGACAGGGTGGTTTTAGCAAGGAGGGCGTTCGGCTCCATGGATACTTTGCACTCGGTACTTCAAGACGAGAGACAGTAGCAGTAGTCCTACCCTCTCTCAACGGAGTCCAAAGACAACAAGTAAGGCGAGATGAGATGGGACCAGTCGGCTCTGGCCCTTTAAGCCACGACGTTGTACGAATGTTACATGTCAGGTGTGACGGTTAGTCTTGGCTCACTACCTCGGTGCGGCCAAAAAATCGGTATGTACCTATCGCTTATCCGACACATATGAAGACGACGGTAGGTTAGTCACCGGTTTAGCTTGTGAGAGAGGCTGGGCTTGAGCATCCGAAGAATTTGTCATGGATTAAAGTAGCTGCTGTTACTGCTGATATAGCATCGAGCAGGCCTCTGATGTACACGTGATAACAAAGGAAAGGGGGGAAATGTCAAAACCAAGTGCTCACAGCCAGATACAGCCAATACACAAGGGAAAACAGGAGTTCCCCGAAATAAAACAAAATGTCCAAGCCAAAACCCTTCCCTATTCCCCTCCCGATCCTCGCTTCGTCTTGCTCAACCACGCATTTCTCTAGCCCCCTTTTTACCAACCGGTTTGGTTGCACCAGATATCCTCTTTGCTTCACCAGTTGGGATTTGTGATACCAACCACGTTTGCCTCTATTTCGTTCCTCTTTATCTATCCGTACATGCCGATTTTCGTATTTTTTGTATATGATATGCGTGCTTTTTTGTGTGTGGATGCGCGTGTGGGTGTATGTGAACGCGGGGTTCCTAGTCATCTCTTCGCCTCATTCCTGCTTTTTTTTTTCCTACCACGGACAACTCTCATGCTGCATCAGTTAAGCCTGGCCCGAGAAAACGCCCAGGCCTGATTGCCAATGCTTTGTATATTTGACTTCGTTTGAAAATCGTGGAACTAGATATGCCCCAAGGCATGTTTAGTGGTGGGAGGCAGTCTCTCCTCGGTAGCCAATGAGCTTGAATCGGCCAATCATCTCACCAACGGTGAAGAATCCAAGGCACTCGGCGAAGATGACACCGCCGGCAACGAGCTGGCTGGGCGTCAGGCTACGGACCTGTTGGAGGAGGTTCTGAGGAGACTTGAAGATGGCGCCGCTCTGGACGGACTTCCACAGAGACTGGTAGAAGGACTGGAAGGTTGCAACGGAACTACGGGACAGGTTAGCTTCGCAAGAGGCAGCATGTAAAATGGTGAGTCGCTTACGGAGGGCTCATCTTCTGGGCGTGGAAGACGATCTTGCCGGTCTCAAGGGCGACCTTGCCGTAGTAAACGGCCTGAGGGGTTTGCTCTGCAGAGTTAAAGCTCACGGGTCAGCAACCAATGCAATGGGAACCTGATGGGGGAGAAGCAGCTACAACATACTCTCAACGAAGTTGATCAGCTTGCCGGTTCGTCCACCGACCTTGCCGAGTGCGCTGGTGAGGCCACGAGCAGCGCCGGCAATGGCAGGTCCAGCAGCGCCGGCGACGCGCGACAGGCCCTGCGTAGCCTTTGCCTGGTACTCCTTGGCCTTGGCGGCAGCGTCCTTGGCGGTCTCAGAGGCCTTGTTGGCGGCGGTGCTCTCGCTACGGCGGAAAGCAAGCTGGCGCAGAGCCGGCGAGCGGAGCATGGGACGAGCAAGTGACGAAGACATTATGGCGGTCGTTTCTGGTGCGGATGGACGGGAAAAGGAGGAGAGTCCAGGGGGGAGCCGGCGGGTGTCGTTGACGCGGATCGTCTCGTTTCGCAGCAGAATCGCTCTCCTTTGCGCGGGCGCGGACGGGCGGGCAATTGATGGGGATTTTTTTGGATTTTTTTGTTTTTGGATTTTCTGTATGAGGGAGAAAAAAAAAAGCTCGGGAGATTTCGTGAGGTCGCAAAGCCGAAAGGTGTGATGTGTGGGGGCTTGGCCCGTTTTGGGAAAGCACTTTCGGAGGGGAGCGCTTGCCTGCTGCTGTGCCTTCCATCCGCCCAAGATATGGAGAGTACTTGTCGCGCGCACTCTGGGCGCTCACATTTGCAGGTACTGCTTGAAGGCGTGCTGCGGTGTGCATCGCTTGATGTGTTGAAATTCACCTACCATGGCTTTGAGATGATTCGTTGAATTTATCTTCTTTTTTATTCTTTCAATCTTTTCCAATATGTTCTTTTTATTTCATTTTTTTTTATTTGGCTTCTGATTCGCCTGGTTATCATTACATACATGGCATCTCATATTCTCAAAGCAACAGAAAAATGGGCCAGGGAAGAAGGGTAAACGAGAAAAGCAATAGAAATGAAAACGAAGCTCTAAAATGTAAGTTGACAGGCAGGTCAATTGGTTCCCCGGTCCAATCTTTCGTATATGCCAATGATATTCAATTCTTGCAAATCCTTCCAGCTGTTTATCGTTGCGCCAATCCATTACGCCACAGTCCTTTCTTCATCTCATAACTCGCACAATTTTTCAGTCCAGGCTCTGGATCATAACCTTGATGGCGCCGCTCTTGGGATTTGCCGACGTCTCAAACGCCTTGACGGCATCTTCCAATGTGAAACGATGTGTGACAAACTTGGACAAATCAAGGACGCCGCTCTCGATCAGGCGGATGGCTCGCGGCCAGGTGTTGCTGTATCGATACTGCAGCTGGATATCGACTTCCCGTACACTCGCCCGCATGAAGGGAATGTTGATCTCATTCTTGCCGACGCCAATGATGAAGACTTTGCCTCCGAATTTGCTGGCATAGATGGCGGCCGCAATGCTACTCTCGACGCCGGTGCATTCCATGGTGACGGCTGGCTCAATACCGCCAAAGGCTTCGACAATGCCCTTGGCAGTCTCTTCGGCCGACTTCCCTATCTCAATTTTGTGCGTCGTCACGCGAGGGCAGACTTCCTTTGCAAACGCCAAGCGGCTCTCAGAAATGTCTGTGATGACGAGCGGGCAAGCACCGGCGGCCGCGCAGCAAAGCATGGATACCAGTCCAATAGGGCCAGCTCCACAGATCAGGACGGGATCACCAAGTTGGATCTTGGCCCTCTGCATGCCAGCCAAGGCCACACTCAGAGGCTCCAGTAGCGCACCATTCTCATAAGACATGTTGCCAATCTTGTGGCACCAAACGGCCGGGTGGTTGACATAGCGTCGGAGCAGTCCCGGCACCGGCGGCGTAGACAGGAACTCGACCTTTTCGCAGCCGTTGTAGCGACCCGTTAAGCAAGGCTCGCAGGCGTTGCAGATGATATTGGGCTCAATAGCAACGCGGTCGCCAACTTGGAGGCTTGTGACACTGGGGTGGACGGCGATAACTTCACCAGCTGATTCGTGGCCAAGGATGTGATCATCCTCTACAATCATAGGCCCAATGCAGCCAGCGTGCCAGAAGTGAACGTCAGATCTAGACGAACATACTCGATTAATTATCAGTTACTCTACATTTCGCATGGTAGCATTACATACCCGCATATGCCGGTGCTGCGGACGGCGATGGTAACCTCGCCGGGCTTCAGATCAGCTCCAGATTTGACAGCATCGACGCTGGGTTCAGCTTCGCTTATCCAGAGGTCGTGCTTGGGGTTTGTGAAAACGCCAATGTTAGGCTTCAGCGAGATGGCTGCCCCTCCGGCTTTGGGAGCGTCATCAACGGCAGAAGGTGACATAGTGTATGTGTGGTAATTTGACGACAGAAGCTAGACTGAGGATGTCGGCTCGCAAACAGACGCAAAGTTATGATCAAGAGGAAGAAAGGATCAGCGAAGGAGTAGCGAGTTTATATATTTATACACGCTCTTTTTTAACTATTCAGGGTCCAGAAACCGGCGTCGGCTATGAAAAGGTAAGGCATCCATCTATCTACCCAGAAATTACTCCAGTCCGCTCCTAGCCACAGACGAGCTCCTCCTCCTCTCCTCTTCCTCCTACCCCCCTCCGTCCCGCTCATGCGCCGCAAGCTTAAGGTGGGGTTCATCAACTTCCGAATGAGAACGTGCTTGAGGCGAGCTCCCCGACAGCTAAATTCTAAGATGCTAGCCTTACAAAATAAGTGGCCCGGGGAGAAAGACGCCCAATGTATTGTCATGGCCATTCCGGCGGAGTGATATTAGACCCGGAAAATGCCTAAGCGCACTCGCAGCCAGACCGTCCGGGGCCGTAGAGACGGGGACCGATCCTGACCCGCGCCAATCACCGCGGTGGCGGCGAGTAAAACAGCGCCACGAGTGTGGACCGAGAGGTTTGCAGGTATCATGGCAAGATTATCCGTCTGCACAGATGTTTGAGGTATGTGATAACGCCGCAGACAATGGGACAGCATTGCTCTTTTATAACACAGAGCTTTTGCAACTCACAGGCTTCAAGCTCAAGGGCGGCCCATCTACACTTGGATACCCACCCCGCAATGGCAACTTTCTTCGTCTTCAACCGCTTTATCCGCCCAGGCCCTCGATAGATATCCGCCATAATTACACTAATGAGGAAAACACCCTTCGGAAAAAATCAAGCCTTTTGCCTCATTGGGCTTTACACAGACATCACTCGTACTCCATACACACCACCAACCAACAATGTTTCTGCTTCCGTCCTCTTTTTTTCTCTCGTTCTTCACCCCACATTAGCTTAATCACCCAAGCCCCCTTCAGAACGACGACTTGTGACTGGTACGGGTATAAACTCGGTGGATCTTTAATGCTCTCTTGAATTTAGGCATGTTCCATTCTACCAGCGCTTCCCTTACACCGGGTAGCCTTGTCTGGTGACTGACTCTATTCGTCTATTTGGGTTTATGCCTTTTTTTCCCCCTTTAGTAGCCGCAGTAGTATCTGATCATCCTTCGTCGTAGCCACTTGATTAGGCAGCCGAATTTTCATGTTGAAGTCCACCATGCAGTCTTCCCGACTGGTTGGGTACACGGCTTAATTGCCAATTGCAGAAGCAAAAAGAAGGTTGGTCTCCTGAAACGGAGGAGCAGGAAAAAAGACAAAAAGAAACATCAATGCGTGAACTGGGAATCGAACCCAGGGCTCCCCGACGTTGCTCGGATGGCAACGGAGAATTTTACCACTAAACCATTCACGCTTTGGTTCTTGTTGAAATCGCTTGCGCAAAATATCATAATGAACTTCGAGAAGAAACTACGTGCGTAAATTACTACCGTTAACGACAACTACTACGAAAGCACTCACGAAGCTACATACGTTGATCAACCCACCCTTAACCAACCTAGACCTATTTTATCTCACTTGCGCATGGATAGTATCAACTATTGTAGCTTGTTTTCCCTGGTTTTGTTTTTTTTTCTTTCCCATGGTCCTGCTTTCCACATGCAGCTCTGCCTTTGGTGCCACCTCTCTTGTTTCATTTGGATGGACGGTGTGCAACTCTCATCTTCTGTACTCAACTTCTGCAAACATGTTTGCGAGTTTGAAAATAACTGCGATACGCACAAGCTACGTACTTGGTTATACAGTCGAGAACATATCAATTTTGTATCATACTGTTGTACCTTCACACACACAATTTGACAGCCGCGGTGAGCAAACTCGTGTACGTTTACCATTTTGATCGCTAGCATCTTTTCAACCACGACGCGGACGAAATGGCCCGTAGGATACGTGTAAGTTTCGTCCATAATGTGAATAGAGAGAAGAGACGTCACATCACAGGCACGTAAAGCCTTGATATCCGGCTAATAATGTGTGTATTAGACTCGGCCCTGTTCTAAACGACCCATGATCTTGGGTAACAGTCCTAAACCATTGCCAAATGCTCTTTGATTCGTTTTTCTTTGTGTATTTCCCTTTCGTACGCCAATATCGCATTCCCCCCCAAAACGCCAATACCCATTGTCCCCCAAAAAATATGTGCCTCCTCTCCCTGTTATTACAGTACTCCTGTGTATTGATCCATTCCTTCAGCACGGTATAGTATAAAAATAATCCGTTGCCATTACGCTCTAGGCCTTGACTGTGTGATCTGTGCATGGTGTCACCAAGGCGTTTCTCAAGCGAGGCCCAACATTACACAGGTTTTCCAAGGCTAGTCTTTATTCGCCAACCGAGACGACAACGTCGCCTTTACAGTTGCCGTAAGAGCAACACTCGGATGGATCCATGTCGCCTCGAAGGATGGCATCAACTTTTGCCTAGAAAAAGTCAGCAACTCGCATTCAGACGGCCAAGAGTTTAAGAGTCTTGCATCTGCACATGGGCCCGTGGGACCAACTGGCGCTGAAACAACAAGCGACGCTTGCAAGATGGCAGAAACTATCCACAAGAGCACCGATTTCATCATGTATATCGCAGGAGATGGGGTCGGGGTTTCGCCTTATCAAAATTTTCGCAGCCCTGACTCCTCGCAGCAGAGAATATATGGTCGAGGCTGGTAAAGCCAGAACTTCCAACGGAGAGGAAGAGCGAAGAGAGGGAAGAGGGAAGAAAATCCAAAGCTTGAGACACCAGCTGTTGCAAGGCGTCGTTGTTGTTTCTTGCGCTGCTTGACAGTCGAGATCAATGAGAAAAGTAGGAGGTTGGTAGAATCGTCGACGGACTTTAGGGAGAGATGGCGGCAGGAACTTCTCGATCGATGTCCAACTCCTCGCGGTTTGTTCTTGCGGGTTTTGGCGAGTGTATATATGGATACTAGATATACCTAGCATATAATCGCGTACATGTATTTCCGGATATCAGATCAGATCCCTCAGCAGTGGCTGCGCCTTGCGTCAATTAGCATCTCAGCAGTCTCTGCGGACTATTTATGCATGTGATGGCTATCTAGCACAAGCTTGTCCTCGGCATCGAACAAACAGTGGGTTGTCTTCCTTTGTGCTACCCAATATGCAAGCAAACGGTTGTCACAGCTAAAAGAAAAACAGAAGGAAAGCGGCAAATTTTAAAGGTTAAGCAAAATAAATAAACGGGTATCAAATCTCAAAATGATTGTTCAGTCGCTTTGTGCACAGCGGGAAGAGGCTTCGCACCTTTATAACCCGGTTCCACCTCCACCCTCGTCCGTCTCTTGATAGATTCTATTTCCTCCACAATGGCTCGCTATTTCTGCTTCTGCCTTGTAGAATTCCGCCAAGACAGACAAAGACGCTACCAGGCGTGGGTTCTGAATACGAGGTCTCTGCTTCTTCTTTGGCTGGCGTTTGGGAGGATCCTTGCTTGGTTCCCGCAGTCCCTTGCTGGCTGCGCACCGGCATGGAGTGTTTCTGTCCTCCTCGCTTGACTCGACGCCCTGGAGAGAGACAGCAGGCACTTTGTGTTACAGGAATGATGTCGATGAATAGTTCAAAGAATTTAGATTTTCAGCATTTGTAGATGCAACTTTTTTTTTTCTTCTGGAATAAATTCTGCCAAAAATACATACGGCATGTCTATAAGGCGGTGGGGATATGGTTTACAAGCGCGACTGCCGTATCTATCGTGATAGTGGACCACCGAAAAAAAAGAGAGAAACGTTTCCAATATTCTCACAATTCTTCGCGTGCTGCGTCCATTGATCCGATTGTGACTGGCAGCTGAGACGAAACCGCCCCAGCATCCCTGACGCCTTCATTCTTTCTCGCTCAATTTAAAAAGACCCTTGCGCTGAGAGATAGAGATGTTTCAGAGGCCTCATGTCTTATCAAGTCAGCGTGGAGCTCATGCTCTTGTCAATCTCGCGTTAACAGATGCTCGGAATCCACCAGCTAGCCAACCCTGGTCTCCTTATTCGAGTAAAGGCCGATTCATGACGACATATTTGCCGCTATATTCCTGTTCCTATGCTAAGACCCCTGAACTGTATGTCTCTTGGCATGGCATAGCTTCAAAAAGGGCACATGTGCCATCGTTGCACTACCACCTGCTTCGTGCCACACATCCCTTTTTCTTCTTCACTCCTAAACCAGCATCGATCGGAGAGGAGCCCGGAGCCGTGCTTGCCGAAGCCTGCCATTCGTTGCACCGAATGTCTGGGGGATAAAAGTGGTGCCCTCCAAAAACCGAGAAACCGTGCAGTTCGTACGGAGTGGCCGTATTACCGATTACGCGATGGAGACTCTGCAAAAAACGGTGATATTTTTACAGCCCCGCTGCGAAGCCTCAAATCTCAGCTACGCGCTGGCTGCGCAGAGCAGGTAGCTTTGTTAGGCAGCTACCAAGGTATCAATGCTCTCTTGTTAAAGCCCATGGCTCACACCAAGCTCCAGGCTTCGAGCCCTATCCCTGCGAATACTACTGTTGCTGCATCGCTCTCTGGTCCACCAACGGCTGCAATATCTCCAGCGTCTGCCACGCCGATGCATCCTCCTCGAAGAAACTTGATATTTCCATCCTCGCCGCCGGGGATACTCCACAGCTTCACACGCTGGTCGTTACTTACACTTACTCCTAGAAGTTCCGTGCCGCGACGGACTAACAAGACGCCTGCAATGGCTGCGGCGTGGGCTTTGCGCACGATGCTTCGCTTGACAAAAGTCCAGCTGGCATTGCCTGTGCCGCGCGAGGTCTGCCCGAGTAATGTTACACCAACGCTATTGTCGTCGCCCCCGGTAAACACATGGTACCCTTCTCCTGATTTCATCATGTCCAGACTTTTGATGCTGTTTTGGTGCAATGGCACGACCTGTTCCAGGACATACTTGTGCTGGGCCCCTTCGTCGGGCTCAGTCCGCCATAGGGCAAGGTGACCATCGGTGGATGCTGTGAAGAGTACTGGTAGCTGATTGCGTATGCCAAGATGGCGCGTCTGCGTGAGACACGCTCCCGTGTATGCTCCCTTTATAAGGAGTTCGAATCGGCCGCTGTCACTTGTGTAGCGATACGTCCTTAACACCGAATTCGAAAATCCCATCGTTACTATTATACCGTCCCCATTGTTGGATTTACAGACATCGAAATCCATGATGCGGAGATCGGCATCTGCACTTTTATCCGTAAAGACGCCTTCGCAGACGACTGCCAAGCCTTTGTAATCAGAGTCCAAGTTCCGCACTCTCCATACGAAGAACTCTTCATTACCAGCGCTGCTGAAGAGATAATCATCTCCTAACCAGACAAGCTTTTGGAGGCCTGTAACGTGGGTCTTCATAGCTGCCACACATCGTAGATCTGCCTGTGCACCTTCTCCAGCAGGTTGATAATCCCATATGCGAATAGAAGTGTCTTCGGCGCCTGTAGCTATATAACGGCCATTGGAGCTCAGACTTCGAATTTCTCGTCCATGGATTCCACTCTTGACCCACTCGTGCCTCAATTGGTCTGATGAAGATATGGAGAGCTTTGATGTCTTTGTAAACGCGAAACGATAACGACCAGGTATCGATTTGCTGCATGTCAGCTGGAACGTCCTATGCGCTCCACCACATTCGATTGTCGCTACTTCTTCTCGTCGTGTCTCGTTCCAAATGACAAAATCCTTGCTTCTAAACCCGTATAATACCAGCTCGGGCACAGTGTCTTGGGTAAACCACGCGCCTGCAATCATAGGTCCAAAGGGTGGTGAAGTTTCATGTCGCAGGTGAAGGAGAACGCATTCTGGCCGCCGATCTATTTCGTATATCCTGTATTTTCCATCGCGGCTAGTGACAAGGATGTAGTGGGAGGTATGGTGTGAGCCTGATTTTAGGGGTAGTGGGAGAATGGCGGTGATTGTATCGCGGCTTCGTGTTGCGATATCTAGGATTGGGCTGTATGTCTCATCGTCTTTGTGATCAAGAATTGATAGCCATCCATGCCGAGATCCAATGACGAGCAGATCATCTACTTTCCCAGCCGCAGTAGGGACAAATCTAGGATCGAGGCCCCCAGTCTGTGCTTGGCTGCGGACACCGCCCGTAGAGATGTCAATCGAAAAGTAATGAGAATCCGCCTTTCCGTGGAGGAAGACTAAAACCTCTGCCGAAGCGGACCTCGATCCATCTCTGCTTTTATTCGAGAGACAGATCATATCGGTGATCTTGCCCAGCATGGAGGAAACGTGTGTGATACTCTTGGATGACAGGCTAAAATGGTAAATATTTCCGCTCGCTGTACCCAGAAGAGCGGCTGTGGGATCAATGGCTTTTACGACATAGCAAAGCTTCACCTCTCCTTGTCGCTCCTCAGGAACATTTATTTGCTCCCACTTTGGTTCGGTGTGGGATTCTATTAGGTGTCCTAAGAGAAGTTTTCCATAGCTAGTAGTGACAAGGATATGGTCGTGAGAGAGAAAATCATAGCGACTAATAATCTCCTTGGAAGACACAAGGCCCTTTAGAATGTCGCTGGCATCCAAAACTATTGAACCGCCGACACTGTTTGACCGTTCATCAATCAGGGCAGGCTCTTCAATGAGACAGATTTGGCTATCAGTGCCACCGGTGGCAATGAGTACAGCCTTGTCTTCGGCTAGCATGGCCCTTGACCAAAGGTGCTTCCCATTATGCAGGGAAAATGTCTTGCTGTGGGACATTTTTCCGGTTAACGATTTTGAGCTAGGATTGGGCTCTCCAGCCGACGCATCGCAGTCAATTTGGAGACGCCATCTCTGCGTCGTTGCATCTTCGCCAAAGGAATAGACGGATAAGGCATTTTCTCCGCACTCGGGGCCAAACCTGACTCCCCATATGCGCGATGCGTGTCCCATTACAGCTGCAATGGGAGTACCCTCCTCGCTGGAATCTGAAACACTGTCGCCACGCTCAATATCGTTGCCTCCAAAGCCCGTATTGATGACCTGGTTGGGCTGGAGGGGTTGAGATCGGGCTTTGTCTTTTCTCTCCGTGATATCCCAAATGCGAATCGTCCTGTCGTCGCTGCAGCTGGCAACCATCTGTACCGAGCTCCCGTCGGATAGTGTAATTGTACAGATGTCCATGCCGAAAATAGATCCCTCATGACCTTCAAAGTTGAATAGCGTTTCGGTTGACCACCTGCCGCCTTCTAGCAGGTGACATTTCCATACGACAACGTGGCCGAAGACAGTTCCTCCGGCAACCAGTATGGTGTCGTCTGATATCCAACTAAGATGAGCGGAATAGAGCATCGGTCTTGAGGGTGCAATGACGGCGCCGAGGGTGATCTCTCCTGTACTGGGCGAATACTTTAAGGGAATAACCTCGTTGTGAGCCGTGGCTAGTACCGCAACAGAAGGACCGGCTTCTGAGAATGCACCATGGTATATCCAATCAGGAGCCGTCGCCCTGGCTATCGCAGGGGGCCGACCATTCACAGAACCATCGCCGTCATCCTCCCGAGTGAGGCTTTCAACAGCAAGGATGGCTATGTGGCAGAAACCCCATGCAAGAACTTGGCCATGCCTCACGGAAATCCCATGGATAGGCTGATCTATGAATACGCTTACGCGAGAGACGAAGCGGCCTTTGTGGCGCCCATTTTTCGCCTCGTAGACAACAAGGTCAGAGTCTTCGCCAGCGAAGACAAAGAGCCTCCCAGAAGGCGCGCGGTGTAAAGCTAGAGCCGTAACGGGGTCCTGGGAGAGGTCTCGCCTGAATCTGATTTGGCTTGCAGTCTTGTATACAGTCGATTAGCTATGCTCTTGGAATAACAACATATGTTCAAAGGTCGTGAGGGGCAGTTGTGATGGGGCGAGCTTTCATGTTTGAATGCTGGAGGGGCAGTTTAGAATTTTATGCAGAGACGAACCATGATGTCGGCAGAGTTGTAGAGTAGGCGCGGCTTTTACGCTATGTGAGCCACAGGCTCAGTAAGATATGTACCTTATGCTATGCAGACATTCAATAATGACTCAATGCTGTCGATGTTGTGTCGTTGAGTTGCGCGGTGAAATATTTGGCGTCAAAAAAATTTCTGCGTGCATCTACTGACTGCGATTACCGAGTAAGGCCACCAACTCACTAGCACCTATTCAACGCTTTTATTTACAGCCACAACACACATCATGGCACACTTTGTTACGAAAATTTTGAACACATCATTGGCACCAAGAAGTCTTTTTCTTTTTGAAAATTTTCTTGTCGTTCAGTCATTGAAATGTATCCGCTATACTCTATATACAGATTGTTCCCCGCCATCTTGGGTATCCAATCACCAACGGCTGGTGCCACCGCCCGTAGCCATCCTGTACTTGAAATATACCAAACGCCATGCAAAGGAATGTTTAAAAAAAAAACACATCGCAGCAAGCACTAAGCATCCATTCCCTTGCGTTCTTTGTTCTCATATTCAGATAGTCTGAAGAGCTTTTGAAGAAAGAGATCACACCCCACCACAAAAGGACGCAGTGGTCCTTTTTTTTATCGTTTTAATTACCACTTCGAGTCGATGTCTATTCGAAATCCATTTAGGCTCGGTGAGAGTAAGGCTCGTAAGCAAGGTCAGATCGGCCAGAGCCGGAGTTGAAGCGGGGAGCACCAGAGGTGTAGCCGGTCTGCTCGCCGAGAGGAGCATATCCGCGAGATCCAAATCCGCCGGTAGGGAGCAGCTTCTCGCCGTCGGAGTGGTGGTTCTTCTTCTGGCGCTTCTCGGGGGCGCAGCAGCAGATGGTGAAGATCCAGAAGAGACTGGCACCGATGCTGAAGGCGGCACTGATCCAGATAATGGCCAGGAAGCGGCCGTCGATGTGGACCTTGGCGCCGTAGAGGGTCTTGGAGCCATCAACAACACCAGCAATAACGGCAACGGTGGCAGTGGCGAGAGAGTCGGCAAGGATGATGATGGTGGTGGTGAAGGCAGATTCACACCACGTCAGGCACGAAACGGCACGGGAGAAGTTTGAGAAGATGCCAATGAGCAGCTCAAAGCCGAGAGCGATGAGAGCGACGATGAAGGCAATCTCAGACCACTTGATGAGCTTCTGGAAGGCCGAGACGGCGTCCTTGATATCCTTGGGCAGCTTGATGGTGGCGCCGCCGTCCTTGATATCGGTGGTGTTGATCTGCTTGGAGGCCCAATCGAACTGAGACTTGGTGCAGGTGAACTTCTTGTTGTCGTCGGAGGAGCAAGATCCCCAGAGCGTCACGTCGTAGTACTTGTGAAGGCCAAGATCCTCTGCGGTGATGTTGCCAACCTTGGTTTCCTTCATGCTGAAGTCGGCGCGCTTGGCGAGGTCGCTTACGCTCAGCGGGCTGATGCTCAACTCGCTGAGGTCGACCTGCAGGAGTCTGACATTCTCGTGGGCCACGCCGGCGAGGACTGCGTAGAGCAGTGTGCCGAGCGAGGCAATGGTGAGGATGAGTGGCAGAGCCACGCAGAAGAATCGACCGACACCCATTGCTGTCTTTCTTGCTGGTTTGTTTATCTGTTCTGTTTATCGGTGGGGTATCCTGTCAGGCACAGAGAGCGGCTCTGGTGTAGAAACGAGGGGTTTGGTCGATCTTGATTGGCAAAAGTCGACCGGAGCAAAAACGAAAGTCGAGTCAATGCGCTCGCACAAACAAGATGGAATGAAACGATGGAGAGTGAGATGGGAATAAGCAGCAAGAACGGATCATGATATACGAGTTGGGCACCAGGTGGTTTTAAAAGCATGGAGCGGGCTTGACGCAGCGTCGGGTTGCTTACATGTTTTTTTAGTGGGCTGTGTGACATGCGGCGAATGGGTGGCGCAGTAACCAGAGCTGCTGTGGCAGGGAGGGTGGAGTGGAGCGGGCAGTGCGAGATTCAGAGACGATCCAGCGCGGTGCGGCCAATGCCACTGGCTCAGCTCCAGATGGTGATGGATGCTTAAAAAAGCGCACCTGGGCCGGACCCATGCCTGGGGCGCACAGGATTTGCGCGTGCTCCAGCACAAGCCCGCGTAACGGGTGGCTGGGGGGCATCTGGGGGACTCGGGCTTGGGACTTGGGGCCTGGTGAGACCCGAGAGCTGCTGCTAGCACGAGAACGGCCTCTTGGTGCCTGTGCTTGTGGCATTGTGCGAGTCCAGGGCCGTGATGATGGCGCCGTTAGTAATGCTCCCAACCTCGGCGCCATAAATAGACGGGAAGAGAGCCACCAAGCAGCTATAAATACTGGCCCCTGGCGCTCTCTAGGCACGGAGCTACCCTAGCACGGGCAGAGTCTTTGAAGGACAATTGCCAGTAAGCACCATATTCGTGCACTGGAGCACCCTAACGAACTGGAAAGAACCAGTTCCGTGCTATTTTGGCAGAGAGCCCAACGCGCTTTGAGTAATCTTCAAGGATGCAGGGAGGATGTCTTGTTGGACCGTCGCTGCGGCCTCCAGGGGTCAGAACCTCTGGCATCCCATGCAATAGTCTATACATACCTCCTAGTACTTACTGTACCAATCCTGTGCCAATCCTGTAATATAGGTACCTGTGTACAAACATCGGCAGTATTGGGTATTTTTTTCTTCATACTTGTACATACTTGTAGCATCAATAGGTACCACCGCCTGCATGCCCCGCTAAAGAAAGCTGCATATCTACCTCCAATGTACTGTATCTTGTAGACCAGGGGCTTGCAAGTTTGGACACGCAGCTTGCTTGGCAACCAACGTCATACCTCGAGTCCAATCGCGAGCAATCGACATCACGGTGGCCAAATCTTTCCTGGCACGAGCCCGTCTACAAAGTATAAACCGCAAATCTCTTGCTACATCTAGCAGCAAAAGTGGCTTCCGGATCGTCAAAACCGCCCCAGACCGTGGTAATAAACACAGTGAACCCTGAGTCGGCGATTTTTGTTTTTTCTGGACCTGCTTACGACAACAGCTGGGGACATGCAAGCGCATTTTCTGTGGTTCCTGAGCGCTGATCGTGCAGTCTCTAGCTCTGACTGTGCGCGGAAGCCCACATCCGAGAGTAGGCGTTATTTGAGCGGTGACTCTCCACACGGCGGCTGTTGGCCGAAGTCCCAATGCCCAGATATTTGAAAGAAGAAGAAGAATAAAAAAAAAAGTGCCCTGGCGAACCACCCCGGCCGTCGAGAAGCGAGCCATGCAACGCATCTCACGCAATGGCTCTCTTCCTACAGGGTAGATAAAACACCGCCTAAAAGCTGGCTCGGTACGCAGGACTGCTAGTGCCTCTGCTAGCAGCGATTAGTGATGGAGCTAGTGCTCGCCAGCTGGGCTGTGAGGTGAACTGGTTATTTCTAATTTTAGCCCTCTGCGATATCTAGCAGCAGAAGAAAACTGCCCCCTCCGCATGGAATGGAATCCTCAAGATGGAGTTCACATCGCATAGGGAGTTCTGCTTGTTGCTGGGTTGCGCAGAGAAGTCTCGCAGCGCGCGTCTTTCCACATCCTGAACGCTAACCATTTTCCATGTTGGTCAAGCAGAAACGCAGACTGCCTCAGATTGGGCTGATTAGGGAAAACGTGGCATGGATAGCTTACTCAATAGCGGCGGAATCTGGATAAGCAGAGGCTCGAGTTAGGCTAGGAATCCCTCATTCCTCCTTTGATAAGTGCCTAGTAGGTACTGTAGTACTAGTAATAGGTAATGCTTGTATAATGGGCAAACTGCAGTGTTTTTTGCTTGTAAGGAATGTTTTTGGTGCCTGGCCGCGAGCCGTCGCAATTTAGTTTCGTCGCTTGTCGTTTCTCGTGGGACTTGTGCCTTCTCGCGCTTACTTACCGGTCTGTTTCAATCTTCTTATTGTGTTGACTATTCTTCTGCTCATTCTTCTAGCTCTTATCTTTTGTTGTACAGTAAGGTCGGAAATTAAAATAGAGAGAGATGACTCATCCTCCGTGAGCACCAAATGCTTTAACAGGACATCTAGAGTATTTTATGGTCCTCATGCATGGCCAACCAACGCTTCTGCAGCCCTAATGTAGGCCACTCTGATGTCGAAATAGGAGCCACAACTTCACACCGCAAGGAACTGCTCTGAGTGTAAGATGGGATGCTCCAAATAGGTCAATAGACAAATCCCAGATTGGAACCAATGTCAACAGCACCGCCTCTTAAGGCCCTCGCGACTTAAGCCTACCTTCGTACGAGCGCACTCTACCACTACGAAAACCAATATAAGCCATCTTCAGCGCCACACAGAAGAGCGTGCGGGTGTCTTCCGAAGTGGCACTCGAAGCGGGCCATGGTGTGTTTAGAAAAACCAGAGAGGAATTGAGCATTAGTCTCTTGATGCACATTGGAAAGGCGGTAAAGAATACTAAGTTTTTGACGCTCTTCTTCAACAGCACAGTGCTGGTCGCACCCGCAAGGGGATACCAGAAGGCTGCGATGGTATCCAGTTAGGTATCGGAGGTTCATGGACTCTGTGCTTGATCCCATTGATGAATTGTACAGATGCTTGGGTAGCAGTAGAAGTTGCCATAATATCCGAGAGTACACATCAATATGGCGCCAACGGCACATGCCGAACAATTGAATCGGGACAAACCGCCTGGCATTGTGCGTGCCGTCGCTTCTCTCCCTCTGGGGATTATGTCTACGCGGCCATCTTTTCACGAAGAGTACACGATATTGGACGGAGAAATCCGGGCATTTTATCTCGACACGAACATCCTTCGAAGGATGTTGCCGTAGTTCTGAGGCTCAGCTGCTCGCAATCGGGACATGAGGCACCAATGGGAAGGACAACCAAGAAGGCGTCACCGCAAGGCGCAATTCCTTTGTAGTTTTTTTGCCTCCGGATTTCATTTGTGATGCATATGCACTCGAGAGTTCCATGGTACGGTGAATTATCCTCCTGACTGTCTAGCAAGAAGAGGGCCCGTATGAGAGAAAATGAGCCGCATGTCGTGCGCGGCCAAACGCCACTTTGAAACCCGTGGGTTCTGGGCACGAGGATGCTGGTTTCGAAATACGAACAGCTGCCTGTCACGCGCAGAGTTCTACCAAGGAATACCCATTGTGATGCATCGAGACCGCAAAACTTGACTTGTATCATGTCATGGCATTCTGCGCCGCTTGCCTTGCCCAGAAACCCATTGCGTCGTCAGCACGTGCCTGTGAGTCGGACGACTTCTGAGCTGCAAGGGCGGCACGACAAGAAGCATTGAAACAAGCTGCTGGGCTGTTTCCCGGGTGCGTGGGGGCTGGGCTCGGTCTGCGAAAGCGCAAGGCCGGGCTGGGATTGGGCGGCCCCGGAGCCGCTTAGAGCCACTAGGGCGAACGCTACAGCGCTCTGGGCTGGCTGTCAGCGCCCAAGGTGCCCAATAACGGCCAGGGGTCTTGGTCGTGGCACCCGGCATTGAGGGCATCGCCGTCCGTTGCTTGTTTCTTTGCCTTGGAGCATCTCCGAGCTCAGCGCGGAGCACGAGTGCGCATTTCCGTTGCATCGGTGCCAATTACGACTCTATTTCCCGCCTCCATCTTTTCGCATTGGCTGCGATAACACGCAGAGAACCAGGCAACAGCTCCTTGTAGGCGTCCGGCCCACCTCTTGTTTTTTTTTTTTTTTTTCCGTCTTCCTATTCTCTTCTATGTATTTCCCCTCCTTGTATTCGCGTCCGCGCCCGACGGGCACAAGCTCCGCCTCGCCGCATCCAGCCCAGCCCTCCACATCCCAGAGGCTCGTTGCCTCGTCCGGAACCAGCACCTCGAGTCTGCCGCCTTTCGCCGTTCAGGAGGTATGGGTGTGAAACTCTAATCGCGGGTACGGAGTTACATGTGTGCAGTTACCAAAGGTGCGGCTGGCTTGTGTCACAAGGCCCCGGCTGGGACGACTTCGCCATCCACCCCGCGGCTATTCACAAACAATAGCTTGGGTGTAGCTCTCGTTCTAGCCTCTCTTCGCTGTCTTTTATCAACACCTCCATTTCTGCCATCTTCCTTCGCCGTCTTTGCATGAAATTGCCATCCAGTTTTCATTTGCTGCCCCCGTTGATGTTTCCGCAGCACGGCACATCGATACCATACACTTACAAGTAGATCGCGTACGCCAGCCTCCACCAACGGTCTGCGGACGCGCCCCCACCGGCCGTCTGCCCAAAAGCCCGATCCGCACGGTAGTCTCTGTTGTGCTCTTTTCTTCGCAGAGGAGACCTTGGAGACAAGAAACAAGGGAAAAGAGAAAGCTGCCATTACATAAAACAGCGGTCGACCCCCCACCGCCAACCTGCAGCTTCTCTGTATTGTGTCTGCGAGGTGCAAAACATCTTCTACTTCAAGTTTATTGCTATTGCCTGGTCCACGGCACCCTAAACCCAAGCTTCTCAGCGCCCATCCCACCTAAGCCAGGCGAGGCGGCGTTAGCACGTATTTACACTCGCCGCCATAAGCTTGCCGAGATAGGAGCTCCGAGTGAGCATCGCCACCGGGCCCGTAACGCTGTCCGCACGCTCTATCTAGCAGAACGGCCTGCCTAGTAGTGATAGCCGCCTTGCCGTCTTAGTACTTGTATGTGCATACCATTCATATTCTGTTTTTCCTTCTCCTCCATCAAATTCCCATCTCTTGCGGCGAACCGAGACGAGACGAGACGTCCTGGCCGTGCTTCCGAGACTTGGCTTTAGCACCGCCTGATCCATGTTTCGGCTGTAGGCCCTGATCTGCAAGGTACCTTTTTTTTTTTCTTCGTCTTCAACTCCCGCTGTATCCTGCTTCGCCTGTCGCCCGGCAAGTTCCTATAAGTACCTGGACAAGCTGTCTCCCGCAGAAGCTGTGCCTTTGCTGCCATCGTTGCCTCGTTATCACAGCCTCTTCTCGATGCTGCGTTAACTTTTTGCGACGCTATTGCGCGAGCTTCGTCTTTCTGCGAGGTCCCAACTCATTGCCGTTATATCGCATACACACATACACACACACCATACACCACCCCGCTCCTGCGCCCTGCTCCCGCGTATGCAGCAGACACAACCGCTCCGGACCGGCCGCGCTGATTCCGCCGTCTAGAATTTTTTTTTCCAACGGCCGAGGCCACTTTCGCATTTTGACCATCGTATTCCCGACCTGCTTGTGGGCGGTTCCTGACCCCGGAGCGCTGTTTCCAGAGCTGCCGGTCTCGACCCAGAATTTCCAGTCACGAGCAGCCGCTGCCACGACGTCATCCGCTCCAACCCGACTGAGCTCTCATAAGCTCCTCCAAGCTGGCCTGTCCTCCTAGGCTCTCGCCTAAGACAACCAAAACGGACGCTCCAAGGAGCCAGCGGTCCTCTTTCTTTACCGACCTCGGTCGACGATTCCATCCTCCCTAAGACGGGCTGGGATTGCGGTTACTCATCCTCTTCTAAAAACCCCATAAACAACTTTTGCCACACGAGCGCTGTTACAAGACGACAAATCCGACCAACAACAGGGGTCTGGAAACGCATAGGTCTGCTCGCCTCGCTGGCAATCTCGTGATAACTTTTTTTTTTCTCTCCTCAATTTTTGCTGCATCGAAAAACCATCGCCCTCGCACTCTGTGGGCTCTCTAGCCTCATCCACCTGAACCACAATGGGCAACCAATCTTCCAAAGAGGGCGGCTCCAAAAACGGCGGCGGGGATGGCCTCCAGTCTTACCCTTCCTTTAGCAAGTCGGATACCAAAGACTCGACTCGATCTTTCCGTGGGCTGCGGTCTAAAATCCCTGGCAGCGGTAAGACCGACAGTCCGAGAAACTCGGTTCTGCTCAACGGCGACGATGCTGCTTCGGTCAAGTCTGGCAGGAGTGGTCGCTCCAGCATCTCCCGCTCCGGCCGCAGCACCGATACGATCCCGCTGAGAAGCCCCTCGACCGACCTATCCGCAGCGAATTCAAACGAAGAAGGGGTACTACCCCCGCCGTCCCCAGTCTCCGAATCAGTCATAAGCGGCGCTCACGATGTAAGCGCCGCACAGGCTTCGGGCGAGGTTGACCACGTTTCCGACCAGCCTCCGTCAGCCAATGCCAGCGTCAATACACATTTGCTCCCCCCAGGCCAGTCCATCCTAGTGAAGCGGGCAGATACTCCCGTCAAGAAGCCTAAGAAGCCGAAGAATGATCCCATGGGCATGGACGAAATAAAGGAGATGGATCTCGATGACTATATCAAGAGGCTCCTCGACGCTGGATACGCCGGCAAGGTCACCAAGAGCGTATGCCTCAAGAATGCGGAAATCATGGCTATATGTGCTCGGGTCCGAGAGATCTTCTTGGCCCAGCCTGCTCTGTTGGAGCTCGATGCTCCCGTCAAGATTGTTGGAGACGTGCATGGACAGTACACCGATCTCATTCGCTTGTTTGAGATGTGCGGCTTTCCCCCAACGTCCAACTACCTTTTCCTCGGAGACTATGTCGATAGAGGGAAACAGTCTCTTGAGACAATCCTGCTATTGCTGTGCTATAAGCTCAAATTCCCCGAAAACTTCTTCCTGCTCCGAGGAAACCATGAGTGTGCCAACGTCACTCGAGTCTACGGCTTCTATGACGAATGCAAGCGAAGGTGCAACATCAAAGTCTGGAAGACATTTATCGATTGCTTCAATACGCTTCCGATTGCTGCCATTGTGGCCGGAAAGATCTTTTGCGTCCATGGAGGTCTGTCGCCTGCTCTGAGCCAGATGGACGATATTCGCAACATCGCACGGCCCACCGACGTTCCTGACTACGGGTTGTTGAATGACCTTCTTTGGGCTGATCCGGCCGACATGGAGCAAGATTGGGAAGCAAACGAGCGAGGAGTCAGTTATTGCTTTGGAAAGAAAGTTATTACCGACTTCCTCGCAACTCATGACTTTGACTTGGTCTGCCGCGCCCACATGGTGGTAGAAGACGGGTATGAATTCTTCAACGATCGAGTATTAGTCACAGTATTCAGCGCACCAAATGTGAGCCCCCCTTGCAGCTTGAGATCCACCATAAACTCATCTTTGACTTGCTAACCATCTGTAGTATTGTGGTGAATTCGACAATTGGGGCGCAGTCATGTCTGTGTCTTCCGAATTGCTTTGCAGCTTTGAGCTTCTCAAACCTCTTGACTCCAGTGCTCTGAAGAGCCATATTAAGAAGGGCCGAAATAAGCGCCAGCAAATGCTCAACAGTCCTGTAAGTAAGCTGCTCAGCTGTCCAATCACTTATATACTGACAGTTTCGTAGCCTGCGCTGGTCATGCCTCAGAGTGTCTAATGACGCTAATTTTAAGAGAGCTGTGCTCTCTATACTCTCTCTCCTCTCTCACCTTTCGCATTCCAGCCTTTTCCCCACGACAAAAACAAAAGAAACAAGGAGGCGGCTTGAAATTGCCAGTAGGCAACACCATACATCTTATACCATATTCTTAAGAAGGGGGCTACGTGTCCATGTGATTGATATGGCAAGACAACACAGCATGTGGCTACCACAGCCATGGGGTAATAACCGTGGCGAGTGATTTGACTGGCTTATTTGAACGGTAAAACGTAATTGTCTGAGCCAAGACCTGGAACGGTCTCTTGGCATCACGCCCTGCTATGGGTCGCATTTCTTTTGGGCAGGCGGATATTATTCATTATTTTTCTTTTATTTTCTATTCTTTTCTTTCCTTCCTGCTTCTTTTTTTTTTTTTTTTTTCAATACATGCCGGCGCCGTGGACATGGGAGGACCAATTGGTAGATGAACGAGTCTTGTAGCAGATAGGATCTATAACCATGGCATTGGGGAATTGTTCACTTGAAGTTTGTACAACATGGGCTCACGCTGGGAGTCTCTGGGATGCCCACCGCAAACGTTAGATAACACGCCTATTTGCTTGGGCCAACTTGGAGTAGAAGATTTAGCATGGGACATTTTCTTCTTGAAGATACATTTGACCTGGTCATTATGTGATTTGTGCTGCTTGTATACTAGTATTTATATGGCTGCATCATGCCTTGCTTGTGATGTGTATTATGGCGGTTGTGTGCTTAGTCATCAAGCGACAGATTTTGGTCTTCGCATCAAGACCATCCCACTTCAGTATGATCACTTCAGGTTCAGGTTCAACCACCACCAACCGCCACTATGAGTTCACAGACACTCCGCTCGCTATACCGAGCGAAGCCAGAGCTGGGGAATGCCGGATATGCCCTTAGAGGCTACCTCCGCCAGTTCTCCACCACGCAATCGCAGCTTGACGAGGCACCCAGCGATCCCAAAGCCAACCCTTCGGCTCGACAGCGAACCCGCGCAGCGGCCAGCGAGATCAATGCCCTGCAGAAGAACCGAACAGGCAGCCAGGGAGCCCAAACTCCTGCAGGCTCTTCAGCAACGCCGGCACAGCCCCGAGTAATTGATGTGCGGAGTCTGCCCAGAGGAGGAATGCTTCGAGGGCGGGGTGGACTGCGAGGACGAGGCGGCGGGCAGAACGCAGCAGCGAGCCCTCGGGCTGCTTCACCGAGCGGAAACAGATTTGCGGGTTCAAATAGAGGGAGGACATCTGCGCTCAGCGCCGGACGGGGAGGACGAGGTGGTGCCACGCGAGGAAGAGGAGGCAGGGCTGGCGGCGGCAGAGCGGCGAAGGCCAAGGAAGGTGGCGAAAGCGGCAACAAGGCTGCTGCTGCTGGGCCGCGAGGAAAGAGACAAGATCCCTTTGAGAGGATGGATCCCCAGGAGCAGCAATTTGACGATGCGATGCGATTCGGAACGAAGACGACCTATGCGCCTTCTTTGACGAAGGAGACCCTGGCGGCGTTTGTTCCCGCGATGCCCTCGACGCAGGAGGGTCGCTTGGCGACTGTTATGGAGAACTTGAATATCCTTGGCGGCAGAGCTGACCCCGTGGGCGTGCCGCAGCACTTGCAGGCGAAGAGCTACGCCGACGAGGTGGAGGCCAATGGGGCGCGCTTCTTTGCGGACTTGAAGGCGAGGGAGGCGGCGGAGGAGTATCTCCAGGAGAAGAGGAAGCAGGAGCAGCAGACGCCAGCTGCTGGGGAGGAGGGTAAAGAAGAGAAGGCGGCGCCTGCGGAGCAAAAGCAGCAGCAGCCTATCATCCAGGACGTTGAGGAGGCCGTCAAGAAGACGATTCTGGAGTCGGTTGTGGAGGGCAAGCACGAGAAGCCCAAGTTCGCGACGGACCCGGTGGGCATTTCGAGATCGTGGCATCTGAGGGCGGGTACGTATACGCAGAAGGACGTGGAGAGCTTTGAGAAGAAGTTGACGTCTTTGCTGGGTGCTGCGGGAGGTGCTGGTGGTGCCGCGGGCGGGAAGAAGGCGAAGGCTTGAAAGACTTGAAGGTTTTTTGATGTGGGAAAAATAAAAGGGTGCATATATATATGTGTGTGTGTGTGTGTATTTTTGTACGATTAAAAAGAAATGATAGAAATACGGGCTGTGCTTATGATAGTGAAATCTCATCGATATTTTGAGTTACATGAAAAGAAGGTTGATCACAAGAAGTGTTACAACTAGAGCCATCTCCTCATCTTCATGCAGTCATACCCATGTGAAGCGTTTCTTATTTTTTATAATGTAAACGATGGTCTGTTTGCGCTTATACATACGCCCTTGCACTTTAATTGCGATCAAGCTGCTTAATCACCTGCGCCTCCTCGCCATCAATCTCCTTCATCTTCTTATCCTGCACCTTCTGCAGCTCCTTGTCCGCCTTCCTCACCACGTCCGGCAGCACCGTGCCATTCTTCTTCCACTCCTTGAGCGCCTTCTCGTGCTTGGTCCGCGCCTGGCGCACCCGATCCTTCCAGCCCTGGCACGCCTCCTTCACGCGGCGCACGAGGTCGTCCTTGCGCTCCATCTCGACCTTGAGGAGGAGCTCGAGCTCGTTGTCGTCGGAGCGCTGGGGCTGCTGGTTGAAGTCCTTGCTGGACTGGACGGCGGACATGATGGGCTTGAGGTACTCACGGTCGTTGACGAGGAGGGAGATGATGCGGCCTGAGCGGGGGACGATCTGGGCGAGCTCGTTGAGGGGAAAGGTCACCTTGGAGCCATCTTCGTCTTTGAGGGCGACGGGGAGGGCGCCGAGGGCATCGGGGTTGAAGCGGCCGCCGTGGAGGACGGCCTGGAGCTGGGCTTTGAAGTGCGCATCGATGGGGGAGTAGGCGGCTATTAGGGAGGAGAAGTCGAGGGGGTCTTCGGGGTTGGGATGGGTGTTGTCGGAGGATTTGGAGGAGCTAGGAGGCGAGAAGGAGGAGGAGCGTGATGGTGATGAAGCCTCGGGGCTGTTGCTTGCGGGGGCGATTTTGCGCTTTTTGAGGAGAGGTGTTGACTGGCTGAATGGGCGAGCGAGTGAAGGAGTGCAGGGAGCCTTGCTGGTGTATTTGAGGCTTGTTAATGAGAGGCGAGGGGCTGATGATGCAGAGGACAGGCCACAGAGGCGTCTATAAGAGAGAGAGTTAGCTGCAGAGCTCTCCCTCTCGCGAATTGGCAATTGAGATGCTTATATGGAGCTTTTTACCCTTCTGCTTGCGCAAACAAGCGCATTCCATGGCTGGCAAGGCTGCTTGAACGAGAGAGTGTCATGGCGAACGATGTGTGTGGTGGTGAATTGATTGATCGCGTGTTGGGAGCAGCTTGTAAAGAGCTTGCAGAGAGGTGGGGTGACGTACATACATATGGCACAAGCTGTATGATAAGATAAGATGCGGCAACGGGTTGCTATTGCTGCTAGAACAGGTGGTCTTTCAGACTGAGCAGCTGAATCTGCTTTTGACCTATTTGGACGGGATTGACTGGTTAGTTTATGTTTTTAACTATGCTCTAGTCTTCTCTACTCATTTGGACAATTCGTTTTCGAGACATGACGTCGTCTCGCCATTGTGGGCAAAATGCCACCATTCTCACCCAACTCCCTGCTGGTAGATCGGTCGTAGTAAACCAGCAAGATGTAATCGGGATGCATAGCATACCTGGTAAGGATCACACATCTTTTTGCGGAATCTAGCAGGATCAAATTTGTAATTGAACAAAATTGTACATGTGCTATATACAGCAGCAAATGTCTTACAAAGCCCTCTCTTAGTAGGTAACATCCAAGTTTAACAAAGAGGAAAACCATCACACCAGCTTTCGCGCCTACACTGCGTATCCGACGTACTTGACTCGCAAAAAAAACAAGTTGATTCTGCAAACTGAACGAATTGCAAAAAATGAAATTTGGAGTAATTGAATGACCATGGCAGGGGTCGAACCTGCGACCTTTCGCGGTACTCTTGTAAGGCGACTGCGCTAACCACTGCGCCACATAGTCTGGTGATTTCTTGTTGGGTTAGCGGCAAGGTAAAGGAGTATATAAAGCTAACTTTGCTAAGAGCAGCATTCTTCGAATATCTACGTGAAAACAGTATCGGTTCAAGTTGATTGATTAGCAGTTGAAGTTGCAGTAGCATGTGACCACTGCTCTCTTTCGTTTTGCAAGTTGATTCATGTTATTCCTTGTTATGAGTACTTATTACTGAGGCTACTTCTGGCCTAATCATTGCCCCTCTCTGCTCTTTATTCGACCGCATACCGCGACAAAGTACATGTGCATATGCTCTGATACAAAAATACATCTCACTTCGTCCTACCATTCGCTTTACGGGTCTGGTCCTCTGTATTTGATATCATTATTTCATTGTATCGTAGAACATTAAAAAGCTTTTAGCTACTCCCCACCCTCCTTACTCATTCACATATTTAGCTCTGAAGAGGCTTGCCCATGCCACCATAGGTCATCATCTTCGTAATCTGGTACTCTGCAATGCCGTATTTTGATCCCTCTCTGCCGAAACCACTCTCCTTAACACCTCCAAATGGTGAAACGGGGTCGGAAATGATACCAGTGTTGATACCAATCATGCCGACCTCCAGAGCTTCAGCAACACGGTGAACGCGCTCCAGGTCGCGAGCGTAAAAGTAGCCAGCCAGGCCAACCTCAGAAGCATTCGCCAGCTTGACGACCTCGGCCTCAGTCTTGAACTTGAAGAGGCCCGCAACAGGACCAAAGGTCTCCTCAGAGGCAATGGCCATATCGGCGTTCATGTCGCTGAGGACCGTGAGGTCGTAGAAGTTGGATCCAACGTCGGGCAGCTTCTGGCCACCGACGAGGAGCTTGGCGCCCTTCTTGATGGCGTCTTGGACGTGGTAATCGACCTTGCCGATGGCGCGGTCGTGGATAAGAGGGCCGTGAGTGACACCTTCTGCGAAGCCGTTGCCAACCTTGAATGACTTGACCTTTTCGACGAATTTGGCCGTAAAGGCTTCGTAGATGCCTTCTTGGACGTAAATGCGGTTGGCGCACACACAGGTCTGCCCCGAAGATCGGAACTTGGAAGCAATGGCACCTGCAACAGCGGCGTCGAGATCCGCATCGTCAAACACGATAAAGGGGGAGTTTCCACCGAGCTCCAGTGAGAGCTTCTTGAGAGTGCTGGATGACTGTTTCATTAGGAGCTTACCGACACCCGTGGAGCCGGTGAAGGAAACCTTCTTGATTGTAGGGTTTGTTGTCAGTTGCTCGCCGATGGCGACGGTGTTATCTGATGTCGTCACAATGTTGACAACACCCTTGGGAATACCAGCTCGGTGAGCCAGCTCAGCAAGTGCAAGGGCTGTCAGGGGGGTCTCAGCAGGCGCCTTGCACACGACGGTGCATCCAGCTGCCAGAGCCGGGCCAATCTTTCTCGTGATCATGGCCGCGGGGAAGTTCCACCTGTGAATTGTCTGTATCAGCACAATGCGATCTATATTAAATGGAAAACAAAGCTTCATATAACATACGGAGTGATTAGGCCACAAACACCAACAGGCTCTTTGACAGTCCATACTCGGTTTCCTGGTACGCTGGCAGGAATGACGTCGCCGTATGTGCGGGGAGCCTCCTCGCTAAACCATTCGAAGAAGTTGGCAGCGTAGGTCGCCTCGCCTCTCGCATCTGCAAGAGGCTTTCCGTTCTCCCAGGTGATAAGCTGGGCAATGTCCTCTGTATTTTCTGCGGTGAGGTCGTACCATTTGCGCAGCAGCTTTGCGCGCTCGCGGCCGGTCAGGTTTCGGAAGGTCTTGAAGGCATCGGCGGCGGCGGTGATGGCGGACTCGGTATCGGCAGTGGTGAATTCGGGGCATGTTGTAATCACTTCGCCAGTGGCAGGATCTTTGATTATTAAAATGACAACCTGATTAGCCCAGCGTCCACAAATACACGGTTGAATAAGGTACGGAGAGAAGCTCACCAGTGACCTCAAAGGTCTTGCCAGACTTGGCAGTCACCCACTCGCCATTGACATAGCACACATCCTTCTTCAACAAGGACGGATCTCTAAGCTATATCGTGTTCGATGCGAATTAGCTTCCGGCTACTCCCAGGAGCCATGACATGGGCCAATCGGGCCACAGCGCATGGGAGCGTCTGACACGTACCTTGGGAACCATGGTGGAAGCTCTTCTGACTAAAAGTGATGATATACCGGGAGCACAGCGAGAGGCCGAGGAAGCAGCGAGTCGATGCAGTAACGCCATGGGACCAAAGGAAACAGAGGATGCGAGATACAAAAGAGAGGGGAGATGAATCCAGTTATACTAATTAATCTACGGGCTCATTACACAATCCAAAGCCGTCGATTTTGGGGGTAGCTAGTACAAGTAGGTAGCTCTGGAGGCAGCTTGGCGGTACGTGATTGGAAATACTAAACTGCGGAGGGAGGCAAGATTTATGACCGGCCCGGGTCAAAGCGCGGATGGAGGCGGGGAAAGATGCTCGTTCAGTGACGTTCACGCGGTAATGCGCAGCGGGCTGGCGGGGTATCGGCGCTGGATCAGGATCCATCTCTGCGACACTGCGAGCAAGGCGGCCAGAACCGGGTAGAAGCGTGGATTACTTTTACATATTCATTACATTAGTATGCACGAGGCCGGGCCGGTTGAAGCGACGCCGGGGCTGGCGCCGGAACGGGAGCATTAATGCCTGGAATAGGAAGTTATTTCGTTGCATGCACTTCGGACGCGTGACTAGGAAAATCCCTTGCAGTTGCAGGTTATGCTGTAAGTAGTCTCAATTTGAACTTGACCGATCATCATGCGTGGGTATATAAAGTATGTGACAAAAGAAAAGAAGAAGAAGAAGAAAAATATACATAGTTGCGGATGGTGGCCTCTTTTTAGGCGGGTTTCCTCAATCCTCCCTACTCTTCTTTCCATGGCCTCCAGGGCCCAGTATCATTACCATGCATCATATTGCTTGCATGAGAAAAACCTTACGCCATTGCCGATCCGAGTAATTCAAACACACGCCCCTTTTTTGGCGGACATATAATGATATAAAGAAAAAAAATGAAGCCCGCTGGCTCCTAAGCATACATGACTGCTTCACTCTCCTGTCTTAGCGGGAGCTTTCGGTCGAGGATGTGGAAAGCGTGTGTTCTCGGCGTAAAGGGAATGGCTCCTGAAGCCATTGGCTGCTTCATGCCCATCTCTTTCAGGCCGCCCAGTTCTATGGTCTTGCCCTCTTTAACAGGCTCTTCATCATCTTCATCCTCGTCGGTATCCAGGTCGTTGAGGTGATTGGGCCACATGGAATAGAGAGAGAAGCCAAGGAGCAGCAAGTACACAGTCCTAAACTCAGAATTAGTATGGCGCATGTATTCTCCTGGAGATTGGCTGTGGCTTACAGCATGTATAATGTGATGAAGAGCGAACTCTGTGCAATTTGACAGTTGGTATACTGTCCGTACGGCTTGGCCATATCGCACCCGAATCTGAAGTACCAGGCCGCTGGTGCCGGGTATCTTGGGTCGGTGTAATCGGGTCCAACTTGGCCGTAAGTGCTCACGCTGTAAAGCACGACCAAAGCAATTGAGCTGGCGGTAGATACGATAGGATACCAAACTCGCATGATGACAGCAATGAGCTTGGTGAGGAGGAAGAAAAGGGAGATGACGGCGATGGCGACATTGAAATCAGTGAGCCTGTTACAAAAATCGTTAACGTTTTCCCTTTCTGTGATAAGGACTCTTTACAAACTGACTTTTGCGACCAGATGAAAGCGATCTTCGGCTGAGCCGTGTAATTTGCATAGGCGTAGAGAATGATGGCGGGGTTTGAGTTGAGACGGTGGTCCCATCCAATCTGCCACAGGGCAGTTCGATACAGGTTCGGCTGAGAGAGGGCAGTGATGACGAGGAGAGGAATCAGGCCGATGAATTCCACCAGCATCAGCCAGCGCATGGCCGTTCTTGGGACTCTGGGCCATTTGCGATGGAGGATGTGATAAGTCCACGGTCGACCGGGGGGGCCAAAGATACCCATTTTGGACAATCTTTGCCTGCTTCGTTTCCTTCTTCTGTTTTTTTTTTTCTTAATAATTTTCCCTTCAGTGAGAGAAAAAGGTAGAACGCCCTAGATTAAACGGATCGCTCAAGAAATCTGTGAATGCAGCTCGATAAGGGCGTCGAATGCCAGCTTCTTCGCTATGCAGGGAGCTCTGGATAGATGCGTGCGCGCCTCAGCTTGGCTAAGCTAAAAGCTCATGTCCGCATATGCACACTTAGTAGCGATCGTTGCGCCGAGTCTGCGCCAAAGCCTTGCTTTGTTTCTGCTCTTGCAATCGCAGCTTTATTTCGTCGTCCCTTCAGTTCCAGGCCTTGGTCTTCTCTCGTTTGTTCAAAATCAACTCTGTATTGAAAATGGTGCAATGGCCTCTTGAGGGGGCCGGCGCCATTTATTACAGAGCCTCGTGAGAGGGAACCAGTACCCAGCGCTTCCGAACTCTTCTGAAATGGGGGGGCGCTTTAGCGAGCACCTCCCCCAGCAGCCAGGCGAGTAGAGCCTCTGGTGGTCGCTGGGCGGTGGGGAAGCTTCTGCAAGGCGCCGGCGCTTGGGCCTGTGATGAGCTGCGATTGGACAGACTTCCGGGTGACAAGGAAGCCTCGGGCCAATCGCAGCGGCTGTCGTGCCTTTGTTTTAAGCGCCCAGATCCGAGATGCATGCCACGATTGGCCGGGCCGGACGCTGGCAGGCCAATTATATGGCCCGCATGCCAGCCATCAGGGCGAGAAATTTCATAGCGGCTTCGATGCGCTGCTCCCCTTGCTGGTCGTGACGCCGCGCTCGTTTCTTGCGGTTTGACATGGCAAAGCGCCCGGCTCGGAGTTCCGTACGAGTACGAGGCGGCCCAGGCATATGGAGCCCTTTATTATGGCTAGCGCGAGCAGGTTTGTTATATTCATTCACGGTTGTCCGGGCTGTTGGTGTGCAGACAATCTAAGCACTGGATTCTATTCGGCCGCGTGCCATAGCAGGTGGCGCCATTAGTGTGCCGACCCAGAAGTTTTGGCTAATGGGCTCGCAGCTTTGGAGCCGTCCGAGTGCCTGGATGCCACAATCTTACGTGTTGGCTCTTTGCTTTGCATGTTTCGTTCGATAAGGCGTGCATGCGGGAGAGGAGAAAAACCCGCGTGCTGTATGCCGCGTATGCAAGGGACATAAAGTCTCCTGCTCTGTGACATCAACACTTCAACACTCAGTTCTAAACTCTGGTGTAAAACTACATACACATAAGTTTCTCTCCTGTGTGCCGATGTCTGAGTAAGCTTACACTCAAATTGACTTTGAACCAACAGCGCCTCTTCCGCTCTGACAGAACTCTCATATAAGTTGCCAACAGGACTTATTGCTACCGCCGAGATATGCAGAAAGGAACTTGACAAGCGGGCCTCGGTTCAAATAACCAGTTCCCTGCCAGGCTGCATCGTAACAATACAGGCAACAGCATACACAACCTTGCTTATTCTGTCTTTTAAGGCTCCACCCGTTTCTCCGCACGGGACGCACCCGGGGCGGCAAGCTGAGACAGAAATGCACCCGAGACGAGACGATCAGCAAAGGTTTTTTACTGGGTATATGCAATAGCAAGGTCAACTCTGCATCGATGCCAGCACAAATCGTGATGATCGATGCTTCCCTAGTTAAAGATTGGACCCTTTGGGCCGATCACGATTCATGTCGCACAGCATCTCGCCAAGCATCGGATGGGGGCCGGTTGCGATTAGATATAGGGTAACTTGAAGCTAACATTAATAGCAGGGGAGATCTCAATTGCTAGCTCATGACTCTGCTGCTGTAGTTATACAATATTATATGTAGCGCTCGTCTAGATAGAGCTCGGACAAGAGCTGAAATTGGATGCAAACTATTACTAAGAACCTGCGCACTCTTGCAAGTGCTTCGTATTAGGTGCGCAGCTGAAGGGACCGCCAGCCGCAAAACAGGTCTAACAAACCATGTTCACCGCGTGAAATGGCCGCATATTGAGTGACCTGCAGAAGACCCTAGAGTGACAGGTAGACCCGCGGCGCTAAAAGAACATCGGAGGTTGCTGATAGAAAGCCGATCAGCAGCAATGTGTAAGCAGCACTTGGCAGATGCACATAGACTGCGGCAGCTATAACTACTAATATCCCGACAACTCATACGACAACGAAGCTGTTTCGATTTGATGGAGTTTCGGTGATGAATAAGCACAGAGCTACCAATAGCAAAAAAAAAAAAAAAAAAAAAAAAAAAAAAAAAAAACCACTCGCTGTTAACTTGCCTGCCGCACAGTAGAAAACTGATTCTGTCAAATTCTGGTTCACGCCCCTCAATTTCACCGGCGCCATGATGCTATATATGTATACGTAAGTATACCTGTACTTCATTACCGATACTAAGTATCTAGGTATGGCTTTGTAAGATTTCTTCGATTAGAAGCATGAATCTTTTCCCTCTTCTCTTCTTCCCTTCCCTTTTCCCTATAAAAGTAATAAAAAGTCCTCCTATTCTAAAAAGCCGCTAAACCGTACGTTACCTAGAGGTATTAAAGGTAGGTACTCGTCTATCTGCCTCAACACCTTGGCTGCACCCATGAGACATGATGTTATGTATATCGACAAGTACGAGTATCACCAAGCCGCCAAAGGCCGATGGTGAGACGGCTGACAGCCAAAGGAGCAAACCAAGGTGTGCTTGCATGCGCTCCTTAGATAGGTATCTTTTTCCTCAAGCGTCTCCGCGGGATGTCTGTCGACGCATCTCCTTTGCTGCTGCCTTGGAAGCACAGCTCTTTTTTTCTTTTCTTTTCTTCTTCTCCCATTTTTCCCGCTCTTTTTTTTTTTTTTTTTTTTTTTTTTTTTCCCGATGCTATTTTTTCCCCTTCTTTATCTCGGGTTCTTGATAAATTTTTTCGCCCGAATTCCACCCAGCGGCAAATGATAGTCGCCTCGTCCCTGCCTAGTGGGTAGCTCAATCGAATCTAGAACGGTCCAAAGCAACGAGTGTGAGCGTGGCTCTAGTCCGCTGTGCACTCAGAAATCGAGCTTTCTTAGCCGGGATCTGGCGAAATCAAAATGTACCTGTATGGGCTGCTACCTAATACGCTACGGATCCTTCAGGCGCTGTCTTATATGGTACGTGCATAGCATATTCGTATTAAGTACCCAGTAGTACCTGCATGAGGTAGACTCGATCTGTGCAGTATGACTTTTTAATATACACTTCGCAGTCCAAAAATCAACCTACCTCCGTATGTCAACTTGATGCTTGGTATGCCGTGAGTCGTGAGTACATATGTCTGCGATCAGTTCTCACGGCGGCACAGTGTGTGTGTCGTACGGATGAGATATGACAGCCGGTGTTAAAAATCTCTTCCATTTGGGATACCAGCCATTCACTAGGAAGGGAAAAATACTTACAGCTCGGAGCAGGTCCTCCACGAACCCCTGTCTGGCCACCTTTATTTGCACTGCTAGCGGAGGGCTGATTTGTTGGAAATTACCCGAAGAGAGATCCATTCTAATTAAGCAGGAGAAATGCATACAGTAAAACGTGGTGGCTTTTACAAGCTAATGCGCACTATGCTGCCGCGCAGGGAAGGCGTTTAGTCGGTGCGACGGACAGTGTGAGTAAAACACGACACCGTAGACAGGCTTGGCAATCCTGCAGCTCTCCAAAAAAAAGTAAAGAACATAAGCAAAATTAAGAATAGTTCGACCCACGATAGTGCTTCGGCGATGGAACCAGACCTTTTGCGCCCCCCCACCGAGGCCCTGCGTCGGCCCTGCTGTGGTCCTCCTTCAGCTGCTAGCAGCAGCAGTAGCACAAGTCCAATATCCAGTCCAGGTGCCATAATACCACTACCACCAGCACTACCGCTAGCAATGCGACCGTTTGACCACTCCGGCAGCCCATGGAGCCAGTGGGGGTTCCTTGCCGGGATTGCTTGAATCGATGATTTCGCGGCCCATCAGCCCTTTTGCCCTCGTCCCTCTCACACCTGCCGGCTCTAGTCGCCCGTTGGGCTTTGCAACTCCACTCAGGCAACTTGACATCCGGAGCCTCAGTGCTGATCAGCAGTTCCCCGGCAAAGCGACCCTTATTGTCGGGTCCGTCGACCATCTGCGGTACTCGTCTGTTGATCCATCGCCAGAACAGACCCGGCGTGTCTCTCGTGTCAGTTGCTGGATGCCGTGCTGAGCCGCCCAGGGCCCCTATTGATGCCGCGCAAAGCTGCTTACGCTTGAGCTCCCTCTCGCCATCCCAACGTCCCCCAGCCGCGACTCTTCCGTCTGCTTGCGCGGGTTCAAGACGACACTGGACGCTTTTCCCGAGCGCCGTTCAGCCTGTCTATACGTTCGTTTCGGCCGCTGGGCTGCACACACCACATACCTGGCACTGGTGCTGCTGCGGTTTGCTTTCCTCTCTACGAATAGGCACTCGTATCCAGAGCACGCAAAGTGCCCCGTTGTCCGCCGCGCCCCGACCGACGTCTCTTCGGCTGCCGTACTCGTGCGCTGTCCGCATGGCCTCCAAAACCGTTGAAAGACATTCCAGGTGCGGCTATCCATAGAGGGTCAACGGCGGCGGCGGCGGCGGCTCGCTCGTTTGGCCCATACCCACCCCATCATCCACCCTCGCTCGTCGGGCCATCTCGATCTCGTCTGCACAAGTCCCCTAGTAGGCCTAGACCCGTCCGCTACTCGGGTGTCCTGACAAGGTTCGACACCCTCTCCATAAACCCCGCTGTCAGTGAATCTTAGGTCTTGGTCTTCATCGGAAGCCTGCCTTGCTCCAAGCTTTTCGAAGCGAGCTCCTTCTTTCTGCCCTCTGCCCTCTGGCATCTTCCCCCCCTCCCGTCGCCTTAATGCAGAACGAGGACTCCTCCTCCGCAGATTGCCTTGGCTTTGCCTCCGCCTCTGCTCCTGCCTTCTCTTCTGCTGCCGTCTCACACCCGCCCTCAGCGTCGTCTTCAGCATCAGCCTCGACTCAGGCTCCAAACGCTGCTTCAGACTCTGGACTACCGAACTCTGCCCCGACCTTTGGCCAAGGACCAGCAACCTCTCCTCGACCTCTTGCGGCGGTGCTGGAGACGGCATCTTCGCCCTTCTTCGCAGGCACTTCGCGCCAGGAGCACTCCAGACACCATTCGGCAGGCTTGCCGGTGCCATGGCATCTCGACAATAGCAACACTGGTCAAGCAGGCTCTCACCCCCCAGCAAACTCGAGTGCGGCCCTACCATCGAATAAGAGCTACCCAAGCTTAAGCCAGGCTGTAGCCGCAGGTTCGTCGTCCGGTGATAGAACAGGAAAGCGCCAGTCGCGCAGAAGCAAGCACGGCCAAGCGATGGGGTCGGTGCCGGCCAAGAAGCCTCGCACGGGGGGCTCGCCTCCAAGGAGAATTGAAATGCTAAGCGATGCCATGTTTCCCCTGAGCTCCATGCAAGTGAATCGCGAAGATGCGGTCTCCCCTCTCTTTTTTTCTCATGCCCCTGCACGCCATTTCCCTCGTCCTCATAGCGTTCCTGTCTCAGACGCAGCTTCGGCTATTATGGCACAAGCTCGCGAGGAAACTGCAGGGACGGTCACGACGCTGAAACTCCCCAGAGCTAGTGTTCGCTCCACAAATGCGGCTCTCTCCGGCAGCACGCCGTCGTCCATGGATATGTCTGTACCGTCTCTGAGCCCGGATATGCGCAGCCTGCCCCCCAGCCTGCAGATGCTTCAAGGTGTCGGCGTGCTAGAGCTTCTTGAGCATGACGATAGACCGACCTTCCTGGTTGATCTGGCCAACCCAGCAAACGCTAATCGCCCTGGCTTGCCGATCGTTTACTATAATGGATCTTTGCGGGCAGCCGAGTCGATCCACAGCCTTTTGAACCCCGACCTAGAAGACATCGCGTCTCCCGATCTCCCAGAGGATTTCAATGAGTTCAAATCTTGGGTTATGGCTAGTGGGACTGATGCCTTGGACGTGCCTTCATCAACTTACGAGTACGGCGGGATTACATGGATTTGCACAACTTTAAGACGTCGATTTCGATTCATCAGCGGAAGTACTGCATATCACATAACACACCCAGCATCGCCAATGGTGGAAGAAGCAGAGGAAGAAGAAACTGCCATGCTTGGGCCAGATGTCAGTGGCCATCCTTTGTCGACGCCGGTTACCCCCGCTGTTGATATCCTGGAGCCGCCTGACTACTTTGGTAGCGTCACCGTGAAGCCTACGATTGAGTCTGTGGATACAACCGACACAACTCCCGCAACCGGCACCATAGAACCCATCTTTGATACGAACCGACGCCATCCGGACGATTTCACCAACCAGGTACTGCAATCGCAGCCAGTAAGATCGACTTTTGACTGGACCAAGATTCCATACAACGACAATCTGCCTGAGCATATCAAATTGGCCAAGTCTATTGACTGGGCCTCTACACCTCTTGGCCCCATGAGTGAATGGAGCTATAACTTGAGAGGCATGACAAATTTAATCATGGCAAGCCCAAATCCAACTGCCATGTATTGGGGCCGTGAGTTTGTCAGTCTCTATAACGCCGCATACGTGGCCTTGGCCGGCAGCAAACACCCAGACCTCATGGGCCAACGATATGCAGTTGGCTGGGCCGAGATCAAGGAAGAATTCCTGCCCATATTTAAATCGGCTTGGGAGTCTGGCCAAGCAATAATGAAGCATGATAACCAAATCTTCATCAACAGGCATGGGTTTTTGGAAGAAACCTTCTTCTCATGGTCCATTATTCCAATCCTTGGTGAAGAAGGCGAGGTGGTCGGCCTATACAACCCCTGTTTTGAAAACACTCGACGAAGAATCAACGAGCGCCGAATGCTTACCTTGAGAGAGATAGGAGAGCGGACGGCTTCAGCGGCTTCCATCAACGAATTTTGGCCGCAGTTGAGGAAGGGCTTGATGTTTAATGAATATGACATTCCGTTTAGTATGGTCTACTCTGTCAAGGACGACACCGAAAGCGAAGTGTCATCACTGCATTCCGGTAGCTTTGTCCACTCGCCCCAGCTTATTCTCGAGGGATCTCGTGGTGTCCCAGAAGGTCATGTGGCGGCCCCTCAAACCATAGATCTACGTACATCGGACGAAGGCTTTGCGCCGTATCTGCGACAATCCTTGGCAAGAGGTGGAGTCCCTGTTGTGTTATCCGAAGAAGATGATACCCTGCCAAAGCGCCTCATAGAAGGATTTGAGTGGGGAGGGTTCGGGGATCCGTGCAGAACCATTGTCGCCTTTCCGGTCATTCCTACAAACACTGGCGAAGCTGTAACGGGCTTTGTTGTGCTTGGCGTAAACCCACGGCGGCCGTATGATGATGATTACAAGTTATTCATCTACCTACTATCACGCCAGTTGGCAACTTCCATGGCCTCGGTTCTGCTCTTTGAAGAAGAGATTCGGCGTGGCCAGCGAGCAGCGCAACTAGCTCTGATGGATCGCCAAGAGCTCTCAGAAAAGCTCGAGCAACGTACACAAGAAGCCAGCGAGTTGGAATCTAAATTCACGCGCATGGCGGAGGCTGCCCCGGTTGGAATGTTTATTGCCGACAACCTTGGCCATATAAACTACTGCAACGACATGTGGTGGCAGATCTCTCGCAACGCTCGATCCGAGCAAATAGGTACTGTCTGGATGGACAGCGTACGAGTTGAAGATAGGCCTAAGCTCGAAGAAGCTTGGACTCGCCTTCTGGAGCAAAAAGTGACCATCTCATTGGAGTTTCGGTTTAATTGTAGCCAACTCTGCGGAGATCACACTGTCGACACCTGGGTCCTGATGAGCGCCTTTCCAGAAAAGGGCCCCGACGGTAGTTTGGCGTCTATCTTTGGCTGCATCACAGATATATCTTCCCAGAAGTGGGCTGAAAGGGTCCAGAGTGAGAGGCGCGAAGAAGCCGTGGAGCTCAAGCGCCAGCAAGAAAATTTCATTGACATTACGAGCCACGAGATGAGGAACCCCTTGTCGGCGATCCTTCAGTGTGTAGATCAAATCTCCAATAGTATTGCCTCGTTTATGGCCCAGTCAGACAGAACGGAAGTAGACTCCCTTTTGGAATCCTGTCTTGATGCTTCCAATACCATCAACCTCTGCGCCAGCCACCAAAAGCGTATTGTCGACGATATTTTAACACTGTCGAAGCTCGATTCAAACCTACTAGCTGTCACTCCTGTTGATGAGCAGCCAATAAAGGTTGTCCATCGCACGCTAAAAATGTTTGAGTCGGAGCTGCTTGCCCACGACATAGATTTCGAATTCCGCGTCGACAATAGCTTCGAGACATATGGAGTCAACTGGGCCAAGCTAGATCCGTCACGGCTGAGACAAGTGTTGATCAATCTCATGACCAACGCTATCAAATTCACCCAGGGCCGTGAGAAGCGTGCCATTATCGTGAGTATGTGCGCAACGAAAGATATCTCGGAGATCACAAGCCAGGGGACGTTTTACTTTGAACGAAACGATGTACAGCGGACAGTGGGTATGAACATTGACAACGAAGAGGAGTGGGGCTCTGGTGAACGATTCAATATCCACTGCTCAGTGGAGGACACCGGTGCCGGCCTTGGTGATGAAGAGATGAAGGTCCTCTTTCAACGCTTCCAACAAGCCACTCCTCGGACGCATGTGCAGTATGGTGGCTCTGGGCTAGGACTATTCATCTCCAGGATTTTGACTGAAATGCAAGGTGGCCAGATTGGAGTCTCTTCGCAGAAGGATGCTGGGAGCAAATTCAGCTTTTACATCCAAAGCCGTAAATGCATGAATCCCCCGTCTCAATATGAACACATCACGCCATTCAAGCTCGAACGAAGGATTCAGTCGCCTGCCACAAGCAGCCAACCCGCGGGCGGTTCTGCGTCGCGAAACCAGTCGGATGCGGGCCGCAGCCCCCTTTTCGATGTTCTCATTGTTGAAGATAATATTGTCAATCAGAAGGTGCTGCAGCGACAGCTGCGTAACTGCGGTAATAACACATTCGTGGCCAACCACGGTAAAGAGGCACTCCAGACCCTGCAGAAATCAAGGTTTTGGGCGGGCCAAGAGGCCGAAGGTGTTGATATATCGGTCATCCTTATGGACTTGGAAATGCCTGTAATGGACGGCATGACTTGCGCAAGAAGGATACGCGAACTCGAAAAGGAAGGGACAATTATCAAGCACATCCCCATCATTGCGGTTACGGCTTACGCACGGCCCGAACAAATTGAGAATGCAAAGGCTGCAGGAATTGTAAGCTACACCATGACTATCGTACATATATCTCCGTCTTCTTGACAATATCGCTAACCGCTTGTTTCGTATAGGACGATGTCATCTCCAAGCCATTCCGCATCCCCGAGCTACTTCCCAAAATCGAGGAGCTGGTGGGCAAGTATCAGAGTCTTTCTGTGTCGAGCGACGCATGAAAGCGATGAATGACGCTACCTGCTCAGAAAATGCCACCAATCATGCAGCGATTTTTCTTTCCGTGGTTCACCTTACGACACACATATGTCTCTGTTATGGACGTAACATATGTGAAAAAGTTTCATTCTTCTCATACCCGTCGCCTTTTTAGATTTGCATACATACGGTTGCTAAGCGTCTCGTTTTAAGCCTGGGAGTTTTTGGTCATCATTTCTTCTTTCTCCCCCCCTTTGCTAATTTTACTTTGGGATATTCTTCTTCTTTTCCATTTTCTTTTATTTGATGTCACATTCGGGTATAATCGGCGGAGTCAGAAAAGGAAACAGCAAGCCATGGATTTCATTTTTTTTTTTTTTTTTGTGTTTTCAATGTTGTCGGCATATGCGAGGTTGCCTCCTCAGATACCAAGTTTGTTTTTTTCTTAGACAAATTCCTATTTGCATACGATTGCGGAAACATGGTGAGAGAGACAGGACATAGATATACTAGAGCGTGTCCTGGGAGAGAGAAAGAGCGGTATTGTCGGATTATATATATGGGGAGATGATCCAGGAGGATGTTAATAAATATAGCGTTAGAAAGGAAATACAGACACGGAATTTCCCCCAAAGCCAAAATTTTCTATACTGTAAATTTGTTCTACTAAATTCTCATCATTTGGGATGCCTTAGTATGGACGAGGCTTTCTCTGTAAGTGATAGCTATCTACGTATCTCGGCAGTTCTCGTCATGGGTCAACTATTACTCCATACATACGCGAGAAGATAGCGGCAGACTGCTATAAATAAGCGTAAATAGTGGGGTGACCGATTCTTTCATTCTTTATACCCAAAAGACTTCTCCATATACGTTTCAAATAATTCTTTAAAAGCGATTACTTATCATGAACCAAATCTAGGAAAATCAATGCTTTTCATATATACATGTATATTATGTATTATAAAATCCAAAGTGAATATATACCTAGTCAGTATATGGGTATGATTGTAATAATATATCGTACTGAGCTTCCTTGTAATTAATGCATGCAATTCGTGTAAGCAAACAGTCCTTGCTTAATTTCTTTTAATTGGTTCCCCGGCCTTAAGTTAATCCAAAAGGGTTTCTTGTTATACAACTGTGAGAATCGGGCTGTAAAAATCAGGCTGTAACAAATTGCCCAAGCCTTTCTTCCCCGCATACGTTTTGCCTTGAATATTCACGCCTGCGATATACAGAGAGCCCTGATAACTACGTAAGTAGTTGCGCAATATCTCATGATTATTGAAAGCGTTCGGAGTATGTTCCTGGTAATTGTGCACAATGGATCCTAACAGGGCAATAATCTTAAGATAGGAAAGAATACTGATATGTTGGGATCGGGTGTGGCCTTACGTTCTACATCACGAGAACTGGTACCTGAGCGTCACCTCATCAGCGCCTTGAAGTTGCCCTGGACTTGTCTGTTTATTGGCTACTCGTGGCAAAGGTAGACTATGGACTGGCATGATGGTGCAGCAAGTATTGCATCCGTGGATGGACAAGGTGCGACTTACTCTTTTCGACGACAGAGCGCTATGGATGCTACTAATAGTGAAGATTACGAGAGCCATGTGTTCGATCTTGGGCTTTCGCAAGAAGCTGGTAACAAGGAGGAGACTATAGATTCTACGCGATTGATGGAAGGAACACAATTTAACAAGTCAATGGTTCTAGCCACTGGTCGCGTCGATTCACAGCAATTTTACGCTCCCAGTGATTCTCTGACAAGTAATACGAACGACGGCAACCAAAATTTCGGGGTCGGCTCTATGTTTCAATGGGACGTGGATTCCGCCAACACCACAACTAATAACATCGCCAATAACTTCATAGAACCATCGCCAATTTCACCTGGACTTTTTTATCCCAATATCGCCTTCGACTTCAACCCCGACCTCTTCGATTCTGAGCATATGGTGAACCTCTATCCAGACGCCGATGATGCCATGCCCAAGTCAGCGTCTGCTGCAGGTGCCTCACGAATGGGAGCGGCTGATGAGGCAGCTAGGACTCATACTGTCAATGAAGTCACTATAGAAAACTTGCCGCAAGTGGCTCCGGAGACGGCGCCGAGAAAGATGACTCCGAAGGATTTACCCACGCTGCGAGATCATACAGATCTCACCATTAATCAGCTCGAGATACCTCTCGATGAGTGCATCCCGTTCGAGACCGATGAATTTGGCGAGAAGAAGGTGATGCCCAACGGTGCGCTTCTTGGCAACCGCAAATACCGATGTCGTACATTCCTGGTCCTAAACCGTGGTGATCAACTGTTCATGCTGGCCACTGAATGCGCACGAGTACTGGGATACCGGGATTCCTACCTTTTATTTAACAAGAACAGGTCGCTATACAAGATAATTGCGAGCCAGGCCGAGAAGGACGATCTTGTCCAGCAGGAAATCATACCTTTCTCATATCGGTCGAGACAGATTACCATTGTTACTGCTCGCTCTATATTTCGACAATTTGGAAGCCGCGTCATCGAAAACGGCCGCCGCGTCCGAGACGAGTACTGGGAAACTAAGGCTCGCAAGCAGGGCTTCACCAAAGCTGATACTGCCGACGAAACTGATCTTGCCGAGGAGAAACGACCTGGGGGAGCCAGCTTTCTTAACTACGGTGCCGATGCTGAACACGTGGAGACCTTTGCGTCGGCCACAGACTCTGGTTATGCATCACTGCCAATTCATGAGTACAAAGGAAATGTTCAGAAGATAGAAAGGAATGGAAACCAGCAGTTCCACTCCAATGCATCCGACATCAACTACACAAACCTCTTGGACAATGAGAACCAATGCCTGGATGATGCTAGCTCAATATACACAACAGGTCCTAATATCCCGCCATCGAAAAAGGATGCGTATATCTCCTCTCTTGCGGATGATCTGCGAAACAAGGTTTCAACTGAGAAATTAGATGAGAAAAGCGTAGACAGGATCTGTAAGGCACTTCCTAGACATCTCAAGACGTTTGCTATGAGGGTGGGATCGAGTGGTTCGGCGTTGATTTGTCGCGATGTGATGGTCTTTGTGCGTAGGTACAGAAGGTAAGTGGGCTACTTTACTCTCTCAACTACCATTGCAGTGGAGCTGACTTTATTAATTTTTAGTGAAATTGCTATTGCCATGAGGAATAGTTATATTAGGGAGAATACTGTCCGTGCCGACGGTCTCGAATACAATACAGCTATGATGGATTTGGGTGATCTCATCAGCAATTGGGATCTGAATACAAACCTCTTGCAAGACCCCAATAATGCGCTCAACAAAAAACCAGATGATGTCATGGACGACAGTCATTATCATAATCTTGATGAAGCAGACGGGGCTACCGACTCTTTGCCAGAGCTTTCCGCTTACAGAGACTTCATTTCGAAGCATCCAGCGTATGAATGGCTTTTGCAGAGCATACAGAGAGAGCTGTATATGGATGTGTCCGGAAACGTACAGACTAATATCAGAGAAACAATTTTAGGCTATCTGCCCAAAGCCCACAGGGTCGGCAGAAGAGAAGCCCCCAAAAGATATATTTTGACCTTTACTGTCGATTGGGATCTAGCCTTGTTTTTGAGAGAGCAAGAATACAGAGAAAGCCCTGAGAGAGCAGTAGAGCGAGCTATTACCATTACTGGGTCGAAATTTGATGCTCAAGCGGCGACGACTCTACAATATCTTAGCCAAACATGGTCGTCATATGGCGTTTGTCTTTTACGTATTGTGAAGCATGTGGTATGCGATACCCATAACATGGCAATCTCTTGTATGTGGCAAGTTTATAACTAAACTTCTGGCTTTCAAAGCTAAACCTGATTCAAGACAACCTTCCTGATGGAACTCAGCTGAAATCGTGGCCTCGAGGGCCAGAGTTCAAACTTGAAGTCACTGGGGCAGCAGAATCTATAGCTGAGATCGGAGAACAACTTGCTTGGCTTGGCTCAGCCCTTCGTCCATCCCCCCATGAAAGCGGCGCCGCTGTCGTCGGTGCTTTTGTGAGCGGCATGGGGATAAATTCAGCTGAAGAACCGGCGCCAACATACTTCTGCAACATTAATTTTGAGTTTGACATGATTGATGACGCTGGCGAAATATCCAATGGCCAATGCTGGCACCAGCTGTTCCGAAATCCAGTGATTGTCAAGGGCTATCCCATCCCGCGGAGGCCAATGTCTGACATTGGGCTTGAAATAAGTCTAGATACTATGGCTAACCTGGTGGGCACCCGTCATATAAATACCTTTCACAACAAGATATTCATCAAAGGATTTTCGGCAATGCTGATACCAACGCGGTGTTCTGACAACATCCTGCTTTGGCACTCGTTCTGCAAGAAGAATGGAGATCGCGTCTCATATCTTGATGGGAGGGATTTGCATGCGGAAGACATCAGCCTGCATCGCTTGGAAACCAGTCGTCATATTCTTGGCTGGTCTTCAAGTGTAAAATATCTTGTTGGTAAGAAATACTTTATCATTTTATAGCCTTAACTGGTAGTAACATCATTTAGGGTCCGCCGATGCAAACTACAATATTTCTAGTTCCTGGTTCAGACGCCCTGATGAGAATTGTAAATTGGATGGCGTCTCCATATCAAAGGGTTGACTAATTAAATCTAATCATGAAGCCGCCATCGGAAAGAGGGAGAAACCTCCATGGGCTATTCGTGAGCCTTACAGGAAAAGACTAAACCTCCTGTCCCAGAAGTACATGGTGCTTTGGGACGTTGGATGCAAACGTGGGTGGTTGGTGAACGGAGTAAATGCATTGCTCCATCTTCTCCGCGCATCTCTTGAGTTTAATAAAACTAATGACCCCCCATCTGAATTTTTATTTAAATCAGATATGTTTAAAGAAGCAGACATCCCTTACACCGTCTCTGCGGCGAGGGAAGTCCTGAGAAATCCTGCAAACCTTGATATGGAGCTCTACAAGGAAGACGAGCAGGATGAATCGGGAGCAAGGATCAAATTTCGGGTCCGTGATCGCGTTAATGAACTATTTGAGGTCCTTGAAAAGGCCATTGATTACCAAAGAATGATAGCTGACAACAGAAAAGAGGAACCCAAATCTGCTCCACGAAAAGACCTTGAAGGCTGGAATTTTAAAGATATTGCAACAGATAAAGATCCTGTTTATCTACGTCTCGCAAAGGTAAAGACAGCTGGTAAAGGATGGGTGGATTTTACCCGAGCTATCGAAGCCGTGTTCCTATTTGGCGGAGACTTTGGCAATCTAATGAACCCAATTCCAGAGAATTCCACATGCAGCCACTGGGAGACTCTACCGCCCAACAAATATTACCTTGCTGCTAGTGCGAAGGATCTAAACGATATTATAGACAGCATGGGGGGAAATCTGAAAGCGAATCCCCCACGATTGACGGATTCACTTGTCTGGCATTCTGTCAACATGACATCAAATATTAGATGTGACGGCAGCACTCATGCAGAGACGCATTGCGAGAGAGCTCAGGCTATATGGCCATTACGTATAAGCCAACCATCCCCGAAAATCACCACCTTATCGCTGGAAGACGGTGGAGCCGTGGTATTTGGTCATAGTGAGAGCATAGGATGGATATGGAACGATTTCGGAGACCCAGAAAAAGGAAAACTACCGTTCGATGAAGAATCAGACGATGATAACTCTGCAGACAGCGGGATTGGCTCGAGTCTTCGGTCACCCACCATCCCTGAGTCGCAATATGCTGGACAAAACATTCATTCTCTCAGGCACGAGCATTATAAGATTGCAATAATTTGTGCCCTGCCTAAAGAATTAATGGCCATCCGCGCCTTGTTCGATGAAACTCATCAAGACCTACCACAGCACGAGAGTGACACCAATACCTATGCTCTTGGTCGCTTGGGAATTTATAACGTGGTTGCTGCTTGCCTACCATGCGGAGACTATGGCACGAATGCCGCTTCCAAAGTCGCCTCGGATATCGAGAAGAGCTTCCGTGCCGTGAAATGGTATTTTGTTGTTGGAATTGGCGGAGGAATACCTTCAGATGAGCACGACATTCGACTGGGTGATGTTGTAGTTAGTACTGGCGTCATTCAGCACGACATGGGCAAAGTGATGCAGAAGGACTCCAAGATTCGGAGTACAGGATTCCCGCAACGTCCTGCTAGATCGTTGCTGACGGCTCTTAGTTCGGTGCAGTCTGACCCAAGCGTCACTCACGATGCCCTGGAAGCACACATCCAGCGTATAGTAAGCTTGCGGCCTGAATATCAAAGCCCCGGAGAAGATCGCGATAGGCTATTTCCAGTTAATTCCAAGCACAATTACAGACAAAAGACGTGCGAAAACTGCAAGGGTCCTCATGTTCCCAAGAAGCCTCGGCCTCCAGGCCCGCATATTCATTACGGCCTTATTGCTTCTGGAAACCAGGTGATCAAAGATGCAGCGACTCGGGACCGCATTGGTGCCGGAATGAACGTTCTATGCTTTGAGATGGAGGGTGCTGGAGTTATGGCAACTGGAAATTGTTTGGTTATTCGGGGAATATGCGATTACGCAGACTCGCACAAGAATGACGAGTGGCACAAGTATGCGGCAGCCACTGCTGCTGCATATACCAAGTTTTTTCTCCTCCGCATACGCAACTTGGATATGCAGACTCGCGAGGTGGTTCAGATACAGAAGCGATCGGTCTCCAACTTAGAAGAGGAGGAGGTGTATCTGGGTAAGAGGGCTCGGTATCATCATGAATGAAAGGGTACCTACCTATACACTGTCTTCGTCTCCTGTACTGCTGAAGGCAAAATGGAACCCGGTAATTGGCTTAACTACATACTAGTACTTTTTATCTGTCTGATTAAATTTAAACAAGTCTTTTAGACTATGCAAAACTGATCATTTACATATACCAAAACTTCACTATTTGTAATATGAAGAGCACCTTGACGGTATAGACTAACAAATCGCCAGGCAATAAAACCTGAACAAGAAAAAAAAAAAACCTGGGTTATACATAATTGTCAAGCATTCAACTTACTTAGCAGCATGTATTGCGCCTTCTACTGTATTCCGTGTCTACTAGACAGTACATGCACACAATGCCACCAAATAGCTACTAACAATAGCATCAACACCTCAAATCACCTCCTCTTTTCAGCTAGACCTCCACTCTTGTTCAACAATCCGTTATATTTTTTAATTAACAAATTTCTCCTTTTCCTTCTCGGACATGCCGCTGTTTTCGCCACAGCAGCCAAAGTAACGTCACGTCAAAATCTCCGAATACCGTGATTCTCCGTTTCAGCTAAAACAAACAAGCTTGTGCAGCTTGGGCTGGGAGGAATGGTGGGTTTAAAGAGTCCGGCATTTTTTTTTCTTTTTAGTTCAACCAGTAGTGAGTCATTACTGAGCCCAGCATTACATCTTCTCTTCTCCCTCGTCTCGTTAGGGAAAGTACAGTAAAGAGAAAGCTGCAAAGACACAAATTTTTCGCTTCAGTATCCACTCATGATTGATCGGCTCTAAGCTTTGTAGGCTAAAAAATAGCATATCGTGTATCAATTAGTATTAGTCCACAAGGCTGAAATGCTCAACTGGTAACAACACACAAAGCCAAGAGGATCATAAAAAAAATTGGCGCTACACCATTCACGTTATATATGGGACAAGAGAGATCAATTGACTTCACGTTGCAAACTGAAAACGAATATTCTCAAACATCATTTGTATATTAGTTATTAATTATCTCCTCCTCTCGGGTATCGAACAAAGCAGAACGCGAATGCTGTATACTAGCAACATGAATTTTTTGTTTCAGGTTTTTAATAGTGAATTCTCGTCCATCGACGTGCAAAAACAAAATGAAAAGTGGTATCAGTGAAAGCAGTCTCGACAGGGTATCTTGGTATCTTGAAGAAATGCAGATCCTTCCATTCCCAGTCCTCTCATGCGTGTTTTCTTTTCGCAACAATTATATCAAGGAAAGTTTTGCAAAGTGTTTTAAGCCGTAAAAACACTCACTGTTAGCGAGTTCTCTAAGCGGCCGCAGTGACGGCGGGGGTAGCGGTGGTGATGTCCTCGGGCTTGTTCTCAGCCTCGGCCTCGGCAGGCTTGGGGGCCTCCTCCTCCTTAGCAGCCTCCTCCTTGGCGGGCTCCTCAGTCTTGGCAGCCTCCTCGGTGGCGGGAGTCTCCTCCTCCTTGATGGCCTCCTCCTCCTTGGCCTCCTCAATGGGCTTGTCGTCAGACTTGGCGGCTCCCTTGCCCTTGATGGTAGCACGGAGCTTGGAGAACGCGCCCTTCTTCTCATCGCCCTCGGCAGCAGGGCCGGGAGACTTGTCACGCTTGCCAAAGGTGAAGGGCAGAGAAGACTTGCGCTTCTCCTTCTCCTTCTTGGCATCACCGTTGGTCACAGCAACCTCAGTGGCCTCAGTAGGGACGGTGGCAGGGCTGGCAACATCGACGGCCAACGGGGTGGTGGCCTCAACGGGAGGGATGACGGGAGCAGTCTCAGCGGCGGGAACCTCCTCCTCCTTGGGAGACTCGATCTCGGGCTTGGCCTCAGCAGCCTTCTTCTCCTTCTTAGAGAAGACATTGCCGAAGAAGCTGGTGCGCTTGTTGACAGCAGGCTTCTCCTTGGGGGACTCGGGCTGGAGCTCCTCGCTGGCCTTGGCCTCACCCTCGGCGGCGGGCTCAGCAGCGGGGGTCTCCTCGGTGGCGGCCTCAACCTCGGGAACGGGCTCAACGACGGCGGGAGTCTCAGCAGCGGGAGTCTCCTCAGTCTTGGCCTCCTCCTTCTTCTCCTCCTTCTTGCCGAAGCCGAAGAAAGAAGTGCGCTTGCGGCTAGCAGAGCGGCGCTCGTTCTCCTTGACCTTGAGCTCCTCCTTGGCGGGCTCCTCCTTGGCAGCCTCGCCCTCCTTAGCAGCCTCCTCAGCAGGGGCAGCGGTCTCCTCAGCAGGGGCAGCCTCCTCCTTGGGGGCCTCAGTCTTCTCCTCCTTGGGAGCAGGGGGAGCGGGCTTGAAGCTCTCAATGGTCTGCTTGTAAACCTCGGACTCAGTGACAGCAGTGGCAAGCTCCTTGGCCTCAGCAATCTTCTCCTTCAGTTGGGCGACCCAGTTGTCGCGCTCAGCAGCAGAGACAGCCTTGAAGCTGTGCTTGTTGCCCTTGGCAGTGAAGTGGAACTTGTTGGAGCCATCGTTCTCGGGCTCAGTGGCATCAGCCTATAGGTTCTAGAGTTAGCTACATACGAATCGAGACATGTATTCAACAGTCTTGCAATGACTGCTTACCAGGTTGATGATGCCGTGGGGGGCCTTCTTGTCACCAATGAAAAGAAGACCCTTACCAGTGTGAGCAGCCCAGGCAATGTTGTGCTGGGCAACCTCAACGTGCTTCTCGGCCCGCTTGTAGGCGGCGAGGACATCAGCCTCGACGGACTCGGAGCCGAAGTAGAAGAAAGCCTTGCTGGCAATCAGGTTCCTGTGATGATGATAGTGGTTAGCGTCTGCTGCTCACGAGTCTCGGCAAAGACATGATATAAATGCGCTGGACTCACTTGGGGAAGCTGGCGCCCTGAGCCTTGTGTCCCAGGAAGCCCTCCTCAATGGGCTTGGCGGGCTCCTCCTCCTTCTTGTCCTCATCCTTGGGGGCCTCAGCAGCCTCCTCAGTCTCGGCGGGCTTCGTCTCCTCAGCGGGCTTGTCCTCAGCAGCAGGGGCTGCGGTCTCGACAGCGGGGGTCTCCTCAGCGACAACGGCGGGAGCAGGAGCAGCGACCTCCTCGGCCACCGGGGCGGCGACGTCAACGGGCTTGTTTTCCTCAGCCATTCTGGATAGAAAAAAGAGAGTTTTGGGTATCTTAAAGCGCGAAACAAACAAAGGGTATTAAAAAAGAAGGATCCAGAAAAAAGCCTTTCGGATGTGTAGAAAATGGGCGCTGGTCAAGCGTGTGTGAAGAAAGTAGGAGGAGGAGAGAAGCGGCAGCAGAAGGGGGTGGCAGGGCTACTTATTTGCCTGGTGAGCGCGAGGAAGGCTAGGGGGAATCGTCCAGAATTGTGTGACCAGCAAGCAACCCTGCGTCCGAGTGGCCAGCCGGCGAAGGAAACCTGAAGCGATAGAGCAGCGCCTGGCACAGGCACGGGCAAGGTATACAGTACGGCGCAGGGACAGCAGATATCGCGGCCAGTGACGCCACGGCGGGAGCTCTCGCTGCCAGCCCACTGTTCGACAGCCCGCTAGCGCTCGATACAGCAGTGAATGCCCTGAGACCTGGAGCTCTGGCGCTCTTTTGGGTTGCCGGGGGCGCTGTGGGCCCGGCGTCTGGTCTGTGCAGGCCTTAAGCGAGTGGGCCTGAAATTGCAGACCCGTCCACCGGCCTGCGCTAGTGGCGGACAGAAATGTTCGGCAGCCACCAGGGCTAGCAGCGGGCTTAGCCTGGGCCTGGTACCTGCGGACAGTGCCGCCTGCGACGCACTGGCACCGTCTGATATGTCACTCTGGTCCTCCATTCAGTGACTCCCAGCCTCCACTCCTCATTTTAAACAGCCCTTCTCCTTTGTCCCGTCTGCTGATAAGCTGGCGAGAAAAGGTGCGAGCTTGGAAGAATGGCGGCTGACTCGAGAATGCGCGTAGAAGACTCAGAGCTTGCTCGACATGGATCACCGTGAACCATCTAAGATTATCTTGCCTTGCCCCACGATCCATCTTTCGCCTGCGTGCAGCTGAGCATCTGCCGCCAGTCCGTATAGCGGCAAAGGCAGCACGGCGTATTCCATAGATACGAAGTACGAAGTAATGCGATGGCCTAGCTAGCAGCAGTAGCACGAGGAAGATGCAATACTATTACATACTACTTCGTACTAGCCAGTGCATCTCCTACCAACAAAAGGATAGCCACGCAAAGCTGCGTGTACTTCGAAGCGGCCGTCTGAACAAAGGCCCCCCTTTTCTGACGCCTTCTCGCGGAGGCTGAAACTATACTTGGTTTTGCTGGCAATATTACGACCCAGCACGCATTGATCTGCTTTCATTATCCCTTGATAGCGGCCTGGAATCAAATGTCGCCTCGCGGTAACAGAGTGGTATTGGCAATTCTCCAGAAGACGGAACTCAGGTCGCTGCGCTGTTACGCGTAATTAAGCAAAAGATGATCTACACGCAGTGCTCTCGGCGAAAACGAAGATTAGGCAGGAGAAACAATTCACTCGAGGGCAGTCAGTCTTATCCTCGCTCTCCCCTATTCAGTCGACGAGAGCACCCGCCATCCAGCCATTTCATATTAATCAATGGCTTATACGGAGTACATGCGACGGCACAGTGATGGCACTGTCACGCCGCGCCGGGTAATTCGCGGCAGTCTGTCACGAGCAACAATGCGTCCAACTGCCTTGTCGATCGCTCGCCGGTTTACGCTTTATTGTGTCCACCAAAAAGCTCCTCGAGGCTGCTAGTGCGCCAGCTTGTCCCTGGCCATGGCACGAACTGCAGAAAATAGAGTCGAATTTTGCAGTGGATCGCAATAAATCTGCTGCCACGCTCGCTGTACGAGGTACAGTACGGTGCTCTGCACAAGTATTACCGGCGGCGACAGCATTAGCGGCACTACTACAGATTACTGCTGCTAGCACCACGACGTCGCAGAGCATGCAAGCAACATAAACAGGGCAGGGGGGGGGGGGGGGGTCAGGGGGGAACAAGAGGCTGTTGTTTGAGTGAGTGCCCATCCAGCAATGAAAGGGGGGGGGAACATCTTTGGCCTCCTGATTCTCCTGCAACAAGAAAGCCGCCCTGATGAGTGGCGGTGAAACTCCAGCGCGCAGCCTCTATTGGAGGGAGGTCAAGCCATACAGGACGCTGGCCAGCCGTGGAGTATTAATACGGACATGTGGTGTCAATAATAGCCACCCATAAGAATGCTGGGCTGCATGGAGCATGTGGGACGAACGGCCATCTCGATTCTGTTGCTGCTTGCCTCGCCTTCAGGTTCCCGGGTTGTCGATGCAGCGAGCCGGCCGCAGAAGAACGTCATGATGGTCTCGTCCAGTCACTTGCTCCCCTCTCCCGCGTCTGTGGCTCCCTACATATGCACCATGCAAACTACTGCGGCGAGTGCCTGCGAGCGAACGAGCGGAAGAAGAAGACGCAGCAGCAGCTGAAGCCGTCATCGCATGCACGACCTCTGCAACTGACCACTTTGCGCTGAGACATGGCGGTGCTGCGACAAGTAGTCTAGTACTACAATGTATGGATGAATGAAGCATTTGCCTTGCCAGGGAACCAACCAAAGGCTCCTCTTGGAACAAGTACCGAGATGGCACTTGGCTGCACAAGAGTGGCGCGTTGTGGCCCCTTCATGTGCTGCTACTGTGTGCCCCATGTCCATGCATATGCGTGGTGTCGAGGGGGCCCTGGCTTTAACCTAAAAGCAAATGCTTTCACATCACTCCATTGATTCCACTTATGGTGCGCCCCTCCCCGTCAGCGAGATTGGTTCTACATACATACAGGCAGGTAGGCATTATACTTGTACAAGCAAGTAGGTATACACGTACATACGGAGTACCGCCCGTGGGGCAAAGGCCGTTGAACAAGTCATCGCTAACGCAGACTGTTGGCGATGGTGTGAGTCGTCATGCGTCCCCGAGTGAGCAGCCATCCGCAGCACGCCACCAATCGCGGCCGCCTCGTCCTCACACATACTGTGCATTCCATCTGGAGCTGGCAGCTAGCCAGAGCTTAGCTGCACCACCACGTTGTTGTCATCGGCCATGTGACGCCTACTTTAGTGTGTGATGTGGAGGAGCAGCACGAAATTGGCTTGAGACGGACTGCGGCTGCGTTTGCGATGCCCGCACTTGCTTGTGCAAACGCATCTTGTATCGACGAGTCTTTCGACGAGGCTGCTGCAAAGAAGCCAAGCTGGGAACAGGCCTGTTTGAGACGGCGTCCCTGGCAGTAGCACTTGAGGAGCCATGCATTCAATTTCCCCCCTTTTTAACCACCCAGAACAAAGTATATGTACTGCTGCGATCCTTGCCTTATCTATGGAATATACAAGTATCGGCTTGGTAGGGCATGGCGCCCATCGTCCTTGTCGTCTCTTCTTCCCCTTCTTCCTCGGCCATGCATGCATCCTCGTACGAGCTACTGTGCATACTGTAGTATGCCGTGATATATACGAGGGCTCGTTCTAGTCCTGCTGCGACGTACAGTGTGCTCAGCCAAGCAGTGGTACTAACCATAAAAAGCCCCGACCAGTATCTCCGGCGAGAGAAGAAAAAAAAAATTAAAAAAAAAATTACAGGGTACAAGGACCCATTCTTTTAGCAGCTGCTAAAGCCGGAGAGAAGAGATTTCATCCATGCGACAAGGGGTCTCCATCAAATGAGAGGCGCTCGATAAGTCCATGGTCATTAACTGTCCAGAAAGAATCATTAAACCAGCCTGGAGATGCAAAATGAGGCCCCTTTCGGCGGCACTCCGCAAATACGGACTTGGAAGCCCTCGCTTGCCCTAGATCCCTTCACATTGGACGATAGCAATTGTACCTTGATCAACAGGAGGTTGGTTAAGCCGCATGTGAATCGCAATCTCTCTTACCAAACGGCATGTGTGTTATCAGAACTCGAAATAGTTACACGCCATGCACAGAAGCTGCACTGAGCGCAATCAACATGCAATCAATACGGATACCTTATATCTCAAACCAAGTTCGGGTCTCCAGCATGTGAGACCTTTATTGGTACATACCTTTTCCCTCAGCAAGACAAGCACCCATTGAGAAAGCTGTGGACGCATTGCATCCAGTATAATAAATAATGAACCATGGTTGTATTTTGAGCGTCGAGAATCGGCAGCGTGAGCGGCAGACTCGATATCTCATTATCCTTCCAAGACCGCTCTGCTTATAGAAGAAACCAGCAAGGCTATCTTCTCTGACTCTTTCAAAATGCTGCCCATTGCCTGATGCCACTTGACTTGGCGGTGCCAATCTTCATACCAATGCGGCTGCCCGTTCCCCTCGATCTATCCGCCATGAGGACCCTGCTCGCCCTCCCGCACTCCTTGACTCACCTGGTTCATTTTAACGGTTTCCTTCTTGTTTATTTTTTTGTTTAATTTTGTATTTTTTTTTTTCAAAATCAGTGCGGAGTGCTACCATTATTGCTCCATATGTAAGTAAACCGGCGAATAAGGACTCCTGTTTTACGGTCCAAGATGATTGCCGCCCCCAGCTACGTGAAACATTTATTATTAATAGACCAAGATATGTACTGTACTACAAGCACTTTCTTTTTTTTGTTTTTCTTTTTTAATTTTATTCAACAGGCTGTGGGGAACACAAGTTAAAATGGCATCCTGCAAATCAAACATGTAAACCTAGGATTCTTTCCGGTGGCTGGACGTGCGTTGACGCTCGACAATGCAGATGCAGCAGGGACAATGAATGGTTCACAGCGCACTCTTGGAACTCCTTTATTGCATCGACCTATGGCGCCGCCAAGAGGCCTTGTGACGACAAGCCGCGACTCCACTACTCGGGAGTTGCACGGATCTAGCGTGAGCCCACCAAGGCCGGAATACATGGACAAGTAGCAGCGCAGCCCGTCGAGTCCGTCACAGAGCAGCGCTGGTTGAATGTCACACGCCCGCGAAGCACTTTTGCCGCCATCTTAGAACCACATCTTGATCGCCAAGTCACCCCCGCTTCGCCAGTCGCGCTCAGAGCAGTGGAGACATCGCATAGCATTGGCGACGTTGCTGGCTCATGTTGATGGCTTCAGAGACGCCGCTGTCTGTTGATCATGGATGTCCACTTATAACCTGTCAACGGCGGCTGTCATGGCAGACGCCAGGCACAATTGCTATGCCTATCTAGGTACCAAGCATTATGCAGCTCGCCTGGGCGAATCGTATGATGGCTGGCCCGTCACTTGAGCTGGCTGCATAAGCACCAATTCGTTGATAGCTCCCGCCACTGAGATGGCAAAAAAAAGACGAATCTTGGACGGAGGCCGCCATTTCCCGAATCCCACTACGGTATAGGTATCAATACCGGTATATCCTGTCCAGCTGGTTCTCGGCCGGCGGCAACGGGCCTGTGGGAAGCCGGCGGCTGCATCATCATCATCGAATCGAATGCTATTTCTGCTACGACTAATGAATCCGTTTCAAGTCTGGACTCTTCACAGCGGCACTACGGCTCGATTGGCTGTTCAAAGCCGGCCTAAGGTGGTGTGACTCTGCATCGGGGCTCTAGTCTACGAGGAGCATCCCTGCGAGCAAATCTGCAGCACGGAGTACAAGTGGCTGCCATGCCGCCGCCGGAAGAAGATCCCCTTGGCTGATACAGGCAGTCGGTTGGCCTTCCAGAGAGGCCGTTTACCGCATCTACGTTTCAGGCGTGCCATGCAGATTTTCTGTTGATGTCATTTGCCTTGTACTCCGTACGGATTGCCCTGGTCCTTTTACTCTCTCTCTTTGCAACGGTTAGCCGCACCTGATACGAATGCTACTACGTTTATGCAGACCGGATGAGCAGTCACATTTCCCGAGGAGATGAATTCGCCTTCTAGACCCAGTATCTCTGACTGTGTAGCAGTGAATCTCTGTGCTCTATAAAGGGTGTATGCCCAAAAGGGAGATGGAGAACTTTTCACAAAGAAAGAAAGAAAAAAAAAAAAAAGCTCACTCTTAGTTTTCGTAGGGCGTAAAAACTGTACATACATCACGCTACAACTTGGTGTAACCCCAACAGCGACGAGAACGATACGGGATCCGCGCAGCTACAAGCTGAACCGAGATTCGAGTCGTGTGATCTTATTTAGCTTAAAACTTGATCAACTCAGTAGCAATGCGCGCATGTAATAAACACCCTATTACCGAGGAGATTTCTATTTCATTCTCTCTCGCCTTGGCTAGGGTCTTGGCTTGAAGGATTTCCATATTGACGTCTCTCTTTAGAGCTGGCTGCTAGCCCACTCAAAGTCGTGAAGCACGATTACGCTTTCGTAGGGACTAAGCACGCAAAGTGGTATCTGCACCGAGAAAGATCTTCTCTTTTTTTTTTCCGAGTCACGATGCCTCTCTCTTGCCTTTTCTGAACACATTCAGCGTTCAGTAGTTGCTGAATCACGGTCGTTGGGGGGGAGATATTCGGTCTTGTTTCGCGATTTCGGAGATGGCTTTGAACTGGATGAACCCCCGATGTCGGATATTGCGCGGGGGAAAAGGAAGACGCGAGATTGCTTTGTAGAGTAACATTTGCAGTGATCGAAATTTCTGGAATGGTTTTTTGGAACTGTGGGAGGTTAATTGTTCTTCTTGGTTATTTGCCGGCTAACGTAGGGTCTTTTTCTGGCGCTCTTGTCTGCCTTTTTCGGATACCCTGCAACTGACATCGGTTAGAAGAATTGGACAAAACATCAAAGTTCACGGGATTGATAGTGTGATATACAAAAGAGAACGTACTCGTAAAGATTGTCTATGCTATTTGAGCGTGTAATCAATCTGATTTCGCGAAATAACCTCGAGCATGAGACTTGGACCGTGATGTTAGATTAACCTATGATATAGAGATCTATGACTACCGCTATGCCATTCGAATATCTTCTGGGAATATTGCTGCGATGGCAATTGCGTATATGCTTCGATAATATTCTTCTGGCAACAAACGCCTTATCATGAATCTTTCTCTGGATTTGCTCTGGTGCTAATAGTGCTGACGATGGAGATGAGAACCAAGTGAGGCTTGGCTATGCTTATAACTTTGTTACCATCAACCAGAGTATGGAACGGTATCGTAACTATTCCGATAGAGCTTGAATTGGTAGATATTCATCGTTTCCGATACACTAATTGTGCGTTGTTGGTGCGGTATAGAGCCGGCAAAACTAAATTTCGGTGTCGTATCTAACAACTCCGCAAAGCGACGGTTGTCTTTGTAAAGCTTTTAGAGGGCTCACTTTGTAGTCTGTTCTCTCTAAAAAGGTCGGCGAGGATTCTCTGCTGATGGACGTCGTCGACCTTCCGCACCAGTTTCCTATTTGAATCTGTTTGGCTTCTTCCTGGCCTTCATGCTCAACTCTGCCTATTATCCACTTTGACGCCGATATGCGAATTAACACAAATGTTCATTTTATAAATTTCTGCTTCTTCATGATTTTGTGGCTCACTCTCTGTTCGTCCTTGGAGTAGTTGTCTTGAGTCGAAGTTTAGGAGCGCCTTTGGCTGATTGGTAGGAACTAAGTTGATTGTCAGAGATACAGGACAAATAGCGCAGGCAGGGTTTGTGACTATCTTTACGGCTTTCCTGCCAATGTTTAACCAATTTGATGGCATTTGGTACTCTTAGGGGTGTATCTACTCACAAGAAACAAGGAAGTGGTTAAAGGCTCAGATTGCTCATCCGGTCAATATCAAGATGTAAGAAATTCGAGCCTCGTTGAATGTATGGCTTAGAATCCATATGGTTTGCGAGTACACTCTTCGGAAGTAGTTTACACTACCGACGGCTCTATCTGACACTTCACTGTTGCTTCTGCTTGCTCCCTATGAATGGATTTGGCGTTTGTTGTATTTTAGGAGTCTATCTTCGCAAGATAAGACTTGAGATGCAACTGCCATTAATGCAAGCTCCGAGTGCACCTTCTTCTCAAATATTTAGAGATAGTGAGCGACGCTACTTCTATGTTCTAAATGTCAAAAGGTGAATAGAGACATAAACAGCAGGCGTGGCTCTATTCTCTCTTGTTCCCCAATACTGCTATTTCAACGATATAATGTGTACACATGAAGACACTCGTAAAAGATGTACATCAGACTGTGATGCTTGTTATTTTGAGTCTTTGAGTGGCTATTGTCTCTTGGATGTTGGCTTCTGTTGCTCTGTACGGTTCTTTAGATCCTGAGATGAATTTGTGATAGCGCTGGATTTTCCGCGACGAAACGCAACTCTTTCGAAGCTAATTTCGTTATCATTTCTAGAATTAAGTAATTTCAATATCAGAAAAGTTCTTAAAGATCTCATGATTGGTTTGAAAACGGGAATGAAGACTTGCTTTGGCCGAATCTCTCTCCGTGCATACAATCTAGGCTCTGGGGTATTCTTGTGATAGAGTAAAAGTAAGTTCCAACAGTTTCAACTTTAAAAAGTATGGACAGTCGGGGAAATGGTGTCATGCACCGCTAAGCGAGATGCTCAAGCGGTTCGTTGGCACGCGTTGGGTAGCCACCGGCGTCTACATCGCAAGAATTGGCTTCGTGTTGGATGGGAGAAAGTATCGTCTGAAATGATGTTCCAAGTTGAGCTTTGATTCCTTCGTATTTGCCGTTACGATAGAGCGGTTGATAACAGAGCTATGGATATCATTATTCTGTATGTTGACGCTGCGGCATGGTGGTTTGGTTCGGTAGACGCGTTTCGATATTCTAGAGAAAAGACAGAACTAAGCGGACACTGAAAAGTATGGCGACTCGAAGAAGAAATGATCAGAGTTACTTGGAAATCAATTAATGAGCAATAAACATGCATCAGAGGAGGAATGGCCAAAACTACCTACGGCTGTTTGATAGCATCGCTGTTCTGTATCGCCTCTCAGGATACTTCTGCTAAGGCGGGGGCGAGTGATAGTCAAAAGTTGTGTGGTTGGGAGAGATAATCTTTCTCGAAATATTCGAAATGCAGTTGACGAGATGGATGATTAGAAGTAGAGTGCGTGTTTTGTTTGGATGGAAAATTCACAGCTTTGAATGCCAAGAAGAGACCAAACTCACTGAAATCAAACGCAAGGGAGTGTTGCCGGTGGATTGGACTGAATACCAATCCCAGGTCTGTTCATATGAACAATGATGTAGCCTGAGAGAACAAAGCAAACGAGCCCAAGGAGGAACTTCAACCAGGTCCCACAGCTCGGTGCGTGCGTCTTCTGTTACTGCTGCACCTGAAAGAAGCTCCTGGTAGATTCAGAGAAGAAGTCTACAAGATTATGACGAAAGGCTCTCTGGTCTGATATTAAATGGCACTACTAAAATCTAATATACACAATGAATAACTATCCAACTCTGCACTATAGCATCGAACATACTTCGCCTGGACGATCCAAGGGCTGAGGATTAGGTGATGGAGCTTGATAATGTAATTTAGTTAGGAGCTTTAGGGGGGAAACACTTTCAGTTGCTCCTGGAAACCGTACTAGGCATTTGTTGACGTGCTGTGAAGCTTGAGGTGCATGTGGCGGCCTACACGTGCCCAAAAAATATTCGATATGAATGCAGGCCAAAGTTTTCCTCCTCCTCTCCCCGTTGCTTTTTCCCACCCCCCCACACACATCGACTTTGAATAACCTCACACTTGCCCTCAGGCACCAACAACAAGCATCAGATACCGATCTACGTCGTAGAGTCAGGATATCCCTTTGTCAGATACTGTTGTTTGTTCTCTGAGACTTTTCCTTTGGCAGCTCTTCTCGCATTACTTGGTAGGTCCCTCTTGGCTTCCATCTCCATTGTATCCTGCACAAATTCGCACAAACCCATCAATCATCGCTTCATTCTATCTCCAGAATCAACGAAACGATTCTCTCGTGCTTTTTATTTGGCTATTTCCCCCTTTGCTGCCATCATGCTTCGTTCGTCCTTTCCAAACGCTGCACACTACCCATTTGATTTCTTTGTGTATCCATCAGGATACCAAACCTCCTCCCTTCTTCTATGAAGAGATGAAATAGGGAGAACGATACAATACACAAAGAACTTCACTTACCGCGTGCGGCGATGCTCAAAGATGATTTCTGCACTTGAGCAATTTTTGATCCTCTGAAGATATTGCAGATGCTGCTTCTCCTGTTGGAATAATGGGCTGGCACTTATCTGGCTACTACGCTTAACATACATGCATTCTCTATATCTCGCCTATCGCTAGATTCCCTGCAAAAGCACTCACAGGCATCGGTCTCTCTGCCCATATGCATCCTTGATCGTTGGCAAAGGAATAATTAGCAATAGTAGTCATATTCAAGGCTCAGGCAGCTAACGAATTGATATACAGGCATAATACTGAGAGAAGTTCTCTGTTGTTTAAAAAAACTTGATTGTGTATATTGACGAAATTGGGTTTTGATATACAATCGCAAAAAAACTAACCTGCGCGATGGATTCAGACGACGAAGATTCTTCGAGTAAGCACAAGCAGACGCTAAAATAAGATCAAGTTTGTACTAACAATCATCCCAGCCCCCATCTCGCATTATGGGATGCAAGAGTCTAGAAAACGTCTTGAAGAGGTTGGATTTCATCCGAGTGTCACACCAATGACGCCTCAGGAGATTGAGAGAGAAGCCATAGCATATTTGAGCGGCCAGGTTGAACGAGAATCGCGGAAAGATTTCTATGAGTCTCAAAAACTTCGACTCGGCTCAAAAAAATTCAAGAAGAGCAACAACAAGAATGGCAGCAAGGAGCATGGCAAAGCTCGTGACAAAGCTCGTGACAATGATCGTGGCAAAGGTCTCGATAAACGCCGTATTGTTCTCACTCAGGTAAGTAATTGACTTATGCTGCAGTCCTGAGGGGACAACCAAGTAGTGACACACGTAGGGCCCCTGGTTCAACACTAGGAAATTCAAAAATGCCATCAAGGGAATGGAGTCAGTCGGACACGGTGGTAATACATCGGGTATTGTAGCTGTATTGCAGCATGCTCACGCAGGACCAATGATCTTGGACGAAATCTTCAAAGATGGCCACATATCCGCGATGAATCTATCCAAGGCTTCTGGCAAGGTCTTCGGGCTAGTAGGCTCCAACGTGGTAAGTCAACGTCGTGCGCTCTTTCCAACTTGACGGAAGATTCCGAACGTGTCTGACGTATACCAAATAGAAACGGTGGGACTTCACAGCAGCAAAATATATTATCGATCCTCCGTCATCTGTTATGGTCGTCATGGTTCCGAAATATACCGTTGGGGATATACGAGAAGCTGAGAAGAAATATCCCCTCATGATCCATCCTGAGGATTGGAACAATGAGCGTCGAAGGCTAGAATTCGAGGGTCATCCTGATATGTACAAAATCCGATCAATTGAGGTGGAACATGTCTACTTCAGATGGGCAAGAGTCTGGAGAGAAACTTGCCAGCGGGCCGCCGGACCTTATTGGGCGTCGGAATGTGAGGAAATTGACCCACGAACTGACGAGGGAGCCATCGAGTGGTGGAAAGGAAATCACCGTGCCATAAATGTCATGGGCTCACTAAAGCCACTCGATGAGATGTGGTCAGCTAATCAGCTTGAGGGGACTAGCTACAAACCTCATGTGATGCCTTACACGTTGGCTATGGATAGCCTTCTAAAATTGAGTAAGTACCAAGGATAACCGTCTTGAGCTGCTTGGAAGGTTCATTCTAACATATGTGGCAGTGTTTGAACTGTTCAGTGCTCGAGCGCACATTCGAGTGCTGCATTTGCACGACGTGCCATTCCTTGACCGTCGGGTGCTCGCAATAATTCTCCGAGGGCTACCCCATGTTGTCATGGTGGGCGTTTATAACTGTCCTCTTATTCATTTCGGCGATGTGATCCCCATCCTAGATCTCCTTCATGAGATCAACACTCAACGGCGCGACCATAATGTGCCCGAGATTCAAGACTTCGATTTCTTTCCGCATTTTAATCAGGGGATGCCATATGAGTACGAGAATGCAGCTACGTACGGCGTGTCATGGAGCCCGTTGCCGATGGACATAGCCCAGCGAGGCATCTATGCCATCATTCTCAAGGCTCTCATGAAATCGAAGGCAATGGGCATCGGCCTGCTTTTTTCGCCAGCTCACGCGTTCATAAAGTATTTGACCAAGATTCCAAACACTCCGTTGGGAATTTTCGGCTTCTTAGATGCTATTTATCGATATCTGGAGGTGAAGAAAGACGACCCCGCCCGCAGCAATCTGAAGCTACAAGCAATATATGACCTCGTTAAGCCCATCCGACTGGCCTTGAATGAAAATTTGGCGGATGACTGGCCGAAATATTACACGAAGCGGATGGCAAAAACCCTACTTTGTTGTTCCTCGTGTGGATACGAAACATTGGAAGAGTTTTTCCCAGCTGGTTCGAAGAATCGTCTGCCACGACACCGACGAATTTGCGGCGGATGCCACTTGCAGCTATATCTTGACGAAGAATGCGACCATTGGAAAATGCAGAAGAAACGGTTGATAGACAAGCTATGTCCTGACTGGAATCGAGAGGCCTTCAATGAGGACGCGCCGCTCTTTGAAGATGGAGCAGGACTGATTCGTCTTAAGTCCACGGAAACAGAGCGTCCATTGCCCCAGTTCCTAACCTTCGTTGTCGATGGATTGCTCCGGGTATCTCCCTATTACGAGCCATTGATGCGAGACAATAAGATCCAGTTTGACTCGCTGGCTGGCCTGCCTAGTCTTCAAGATGTCGCCGAAGACTCGGAGACTATGCAACGGTGGTATTCTGTGGTTGTTCTAGCTCTTCGAGAGGATGTCTTTCGTCGTGGTATCCACGAACTTCGAAATCAGTACCGCACAGGCAACAAGAGAAAGAGGATTCCCGCATTTGGCTCTACGCGAATGGATGGTGGAGCGCCAGATCATCAAGATGAGCTTCAACCGAAGAAAACTGATGATGGAAAGAAGTGCTTTTATGACCAAAAGGCGGCTTTGAAGGCGGCGCAATGGATGGTCAAACGGAAATGGTGAACAGCCTCGTCTCTTATTTCAGCCATCTCTTCTTTCAATGGCTTTCCCGCTCTTTCTTTTTCTGGGTTCTCTTTCTCGCTTTTCCTTTTCCTTTGATTAAATTCTTCTTTCAGTTCTTCTCGGTTCTTCCCAGTTCGTCTCTAAGCTCCTTTTTGAACTTCTCTTTGAGCTTCTCTATCTTTTATTCTTCGTCTTTTTTTTTTCTTTTCCACCCAAGACGAGGATTTGCACAATTTGCCGATCCAAAATTTGCTAAACTGGCTAAGGAGCCACAGGACATGAGACTTTGGGCTTTGGGCATTTACAAACGCCGAGGAGCGGCTTTTATGTACGAGAAATCTGTATGACAAATGTGTATGATATTTTCAAGTACGCCACTAGGTGGCAATAGTTCACAATGAGGTTTAAAAGACAAGAATGCGGCATCCTAATGAGGTGACTTATAGGCTAAAGTATAGTCGCTTTTGTAACCATCATCACAACACTTGCAGCGGCGACACTTGTATTTATGCAGCTGAAAGTGGTTAGAAAGGCATGTCATTATATTTCTTGCATTTAAATGTATACTTTTTTTCTCCTTTCTTTTTCTCTCTTTTTCTTTTCAACCTCTATCTTGCTATAGTTGTGTACATGTAGCGTCGTGGGCGAGAAGTTTTCATATAGAAGCTCTCATTATGGCAAACCACGTGACGAGCCAATCGGCAGTGCGAGTTCGCAAACTTGTACCAAAAAAATGGCCCGACGTCTAATCCTCCAGCAAGCTAAGAACTGCCAACCTTGCGACAATGGCTTCCCTACTGCGCACGTTCTCAATAACCACAGGGCTATTACGCTCTGCACAGGCTATTAAGCCGTTCACGGCAAGCAGCTTTGCGACATCACCAAGCCCGATTTCCTCCTGGATGGGATGGCTGTCCAAGCCCGCAATTGCAGGATCCCTGCAGCAGACGAGGGGCATGAAGGTTCACAGCTCGGTCAAGAAGAGGTGTGAGCACTGCAAGGTAGGTTGGAATAGGATTTATAACTTCAATTCTAGGTACATGCAGTGGGGGACTTGTTCGTGGGCTAATGACCAAATCTGCAGGTCGTTCGACGAAAGGCCGGAAAGCGACACAACGGATACCTGTACATCATCTGCAAGGCGAATCCTCGACACAAGCAGCGACAGAGCTAAGCGAATTGCAAACTTTTGTTCTTTTTATTTTGACGACGACGACGGCGACATATGGGCATCCGGAACAGCTGGGAACTTTGTACAATATTGGCGCATAAACGGTGACGACGAACGGGGCGACGGACAAAAATAAAGTGAAAAAAGGGTCTAGCGAAATGCCAATTGATAGACGACATTATGGCGATGGCCCCAAACAGAGACGCGAATTTTTGTGAGATTTGACGTTGGAAGAGCCTTTATATACGTCCTTGAACAAAGACGGCCGAACTGCCGTCATAAATGTACATTTCATGTAGTGTTACATACCCCCGATATACCTCTCCATACTTTCCCATTCCGTCTTGCCTGTTGATAAAAGATATCTGATGTGAGACTTATCCGCGGAGGATCTGAGTCAGCAGGGCCTTTATTCTTGGTGCAAATAATTGGATTGCCAGCGGATTGACTTACAATATCTGTGACATTGCGATGCCGCTCAAACTCATCGCGGGCATATTTGCGAGACTCAGCTCTCGTCTGAGGATCAGCAATGCGTCCGGTCCTTCGCCAAATGGTCCGATATAGTGCTAGAGCTCTTGATCGTTGGAGAAACTGAGTTTTGAATAGTCAGTTTTTTTTTCTACTTTAATCGTACCTTGGGATGCATTATAAATATGGTGGTATACGTGATCAAGACTTATCGTTGGCTTGAGCCGAGAGGCCGGCCGTTTGGTGGCATAGCCACGGCTGAGATGCAGCAGGCGGATGCCGGGAATCATTAAGGATTATTCATGGACCAAGGATGGATTATAGTACAAGAAAAGGAAGGAAAAGGAAAAGAAGAGGAAGTATGGACTTTTTTTTCTGGCGAATTAATAAGTCGAAAAAGTTGGCGATATGTTGCAAGCCAAAAGGGCTTGAGCCGGCCAAACCTCGGATAGTGGTGTTGATGACTTCTTGATGGCGAAGTACACCGACCTTTATGGGCTTTGAGATGGGTCAAAGCCTAGACGATTTGACGGCAGCTGGATTTGTTGCTTTGGCTGAAATTTTGTTGATTTAATTCTTCTGTGACGTTTTACAACTGGTGCTCTTTGAAACTTTTCGTGGCTAAGATAAGATAGTCGGAAAAAGGATCTCTGGCCCTGTATTGAAGGCACATCTCTCTTCATACTACATACTCTTCCGGTTTAAATAAAGGCAGAGTTTCCACACAATGGCTGAAGAACAACCAGCTAAAGTTGCAGGAAAGGCCAGAAAATCTTCAAAAACGAGCCCAATTGCTACGGCCAACGATAAGACAGACGAAGAGTTTATCAGGGATTATTTAAAGCCAAGGTACAGATAATACATTGCCCTACGAAGTATATGGTTGAAGCAGCAGCTTCTATTCTATATTAACCCCCCACCCCCTTTATCTATGAGGATTTTCAGCAAAATGTTCTAACTCGATAAATTATCCCATTTCTCGTAGCCAAGGATGGACATTATGGACGCATCCCCTCACAAAACAGAGCTACTCCCTTGAGCTTCTATCACCGCATAGTCTCAGCAAAGACGACTTCAAGGCTTGCTTCGACATCATCGAGTCTACCAGCGGAGAGGACTATAAGAGCGCCTCGGTAGGATGGCATCCCGCCATGAAAAAGAAGGAGATGAAGTCGCCGGACTTGCGATATATCCTGGTCAAAGACGAAAGCGGCACAGTTCAAGGGTTTACATCACTGATGCCTACATTTGAGAATCACGAGCCTGTGCTGTACTGCTATGAGGTGCATTTGTTACCTGACCTACAGGGGTAAGTCGTTTACCTTTTTTTTTTTTTTTTTTTTTTTTTTTTTTTTTTTTTTTTTTTTTTTTTNGCATTGTTTTGCGTGTACTGTTTCTATAAAAGGACATGTCACAACCTGGATAGTAATAGTAACATGAAAAGCTAACTATTTCATCTTCCACCTGATTAGCTCCGGTCTCGGCAAGCACCTCATGAACTTCCTCATCACCATCGCAGAAAACATCCCTTCCACCAAAAAGGTTATGCTTACATGCTTCATCAGCAACCCCAACGGCCTTCGGTTTTACGAAAGGATTGGCTTCACCAAAGATGATTTTTCTCCTAGGGATCGCGTGCTAAGAGGCGGCAAAGTTGTGCGCCCTGATTATGTGATTCTGAGTCGTGAGACGGCACGTGGCGGTTCGGAGGGGCTTGTGGATGGGGAGTTGGAACGGGAGGATGGGAATTAGAATGTTTTAGACTAGACATGTTGAGCGATGAATTCAGACTATATGTATGGTCTCAATACAAGCAAGAGGCAAATTAATGCCGTCTAGAGGTGCAGTCTCAATACAAGGCTTCGCAGAGCACCCACATATAGCAAGAAAAAAAATTTCACAGCATGGCTCGCAAATCAAAGTCTCGCAGAATTTTGGCATGCCCCGAGAGGACAGCCGCTCTTTATTAAAATTATAAAATCATCATTCATGTCATGAAAAACGCCATGCCTGCCTCTTAAACCTTGATGGGAGGTCTTTTGTTTACTCGATATCTTTCAAGCTTCTGACCACAAGTAGCCTAGACCCAAACTCCAGAAATCAGATTCAGCCCTTTCCTTTTTTTTCCCCGCCCTCTCCTTTTGTATAAAAACACCTATCCAGAATTCTTCTCATCAAATCATCGCATTTATGCATAAAGCTTCTTCTCATATGACTCCATGTTCACGTTACCCTCCAACTGAGCGCTGGCAGTGCGAAGCTCAAATCGCAAGACGCCGCTGGCGGCACACTCGTGCAGCTCCTTGAGACTGCGCATACCACAGTCCTGCATAGAGTGCTTGAGACCAGCAGCAAGGTAAGGAACGAATTTGGAAATCGATCTAGAAAATATGTTAGCCTTAAAAATGCACCTTCTTATAGAGTGAGCGTTTATCGTCTTTGACTTACCCTCGGTGAGCCACGGCACCAGCGACACCCTGAGCAACCAAGACACTGTCGCCTTCAGAGAAGTAACGAGCAGTACCGGCGTTGCTCTTCTGGCTGTCCTTGCCGCCACCACCAGCCTTCTTGTCCTGCATAGCATCAATGGAACCCATACCACGGTAGGCCTTGACCAGCTTGCCTTCGCGCGAAACGAAAGAAGTACCGGGGGACTCAGTGGTACCAGCCAAAAGGCCACCCATCATGATGGTGGAAGCACCAAGAGCAAGGCCCTTGGCAATGTGACCAACGTTTTGGATACCGCCATCAGCGATGCAAGGAACGCCAAAGCGGGCAGCGAAGCTGCTGACTGCGTGAACAGCAGCTGCCTGGGGTCGGCCAACAGCCATGACCTCCTGAGTGATGCAAGCAGAGCCACTTCCCATACCAATTCGGAGACCATCAACACCGGCAGCGATGAGGCTGGCGGCCTGCTCTCGGGTGACGACGTTTCCACCAATGACATCCAGATCAGGGAATTGAGCCTTGGTCCACTTGATCATCTCCACCTGATACATGCTGTTACCTTGGGAGCTATCAAGGATAACAACGTCAAGACCAGCCTCGACAAGCTTCTGCAGACGGATCTTATCCTCAGGCCGGGTGCCAATGGCAGCAGCGCAGAGAAGCTGCTTGCTGTGGGGAAGCTTAGAAGCCAGCGGGAAGTGCTGGTTCTTGGTCAGGTCAGAGCGAGAAATCATGGCAACCAGGTTAAAGTCCTTGTCGACAATGGGGAGCTTGCCCTTCTTGGACTGGGACAGGATTTTGTTCGCCTCGGTCAGGGTAACGCCATTGGGAGCAGTGATGAGATCGTTGACCATGACCTTGGAGACAGGTGCGCTGTGGTCATCTTCGAACTGGATGTCTCGATTGGTGACAATACCGAGGAGCTTTGAGCCGATCTTTCCGTCCTCTGCATGCCTGAATTAGTAACCAAGTCGCCAATTTGCTTCAGTTGCATATTAATGGGCAGATAACATGTGCAGGTCATAGTATAGGTGGTCCTCAGGACAAAGGTCTTTTGGTGGAACGAAAGTTATAATTTAAAAAGGTTTATAATCACGTAATGCAGTAGATGAAGTGATTGGGTGAATGTGTGAAAAATTTTCTTACCTGTAACTGGGAAACCACCGAAGCCCCATTTCTCCTTGAGAGCGATAGCCTCGCCAACTGTGGTGTCGCGGGTAATGACAACGGGGTCAAGAATGAAACCGTTCTCGTAACGCTTGACCTTGCGGACCATGTCGGCCTGAGCATCAGGAGAGCAGTTGTGGTGGATAACACCCAGACCACCCTGGAGAGCCATGTGGATGGCCATCTCGTGCTCAGTGACTGTGTCCATGGGCGAAGAGACGAAGGGAGTCTTGAGTGTGATGCGCTTGGTGATGGCAGAGTCGAGGGTCACCTCTGACGCAGGGAAGCCAATGTAGCCAGGGAGAATAAGGAAGTCATTGTAGGTCAGGCCACCGTGCTTGGCCGTGTCCATGAGCTCCTGTCTGTCGAGGCCATCACGAGTCTTGTACTCTTCCAGCACCTGCAGAGCAGTGGTGTGGTCGAGGATCTTGGCAGAACCGTTGATGGCGGCCATTTTTTCAGATGAAATTTTTGAAATAAGAAAAGATGACAGACAAAGAGCGAGGTTGAAGACGAAGGATCAATCAAATCAGGATAACTTGATCGACTGTTTGGAGTTGATACGGCGCTTCTTCCCGTAGGAAAGAAGAAGAAAAAAAAAATTTAAAGCGGACCGTCTGAATTTTTTCTACTTATGCTTTCCACGCTACAGGGTCCGACTTTAGGAGGGGCAGCGGCTTCAGCGCGGGGCCTCTAAAATTTCATGGCTATGTGGTACCTGGTGCTAGGTACTGCTGGATATCTAAGCAGCCGCCAGAATTTACACATCAATTACCCTGCAGTATTTGGCCAAAGAGAAGAGTTATTCTGTAGGCATTGAAACTGTGGGTTGTGATGGCGCCCACTCACAGCAGACTTCATCGTATGCAAGCACATGTGTTATTGTCCAGGCAAAAGGGCTTTGTTAGGTAGTTTGACCGGGAATATTCCCGTGAGTTGGTGTGTGTGAACTCTCACCTGTCACATTGGCCGCACATCCAGATGTTCTTTAATTGACCCCCACAATTGGTGCGAAATATGCAGAAGTGAATACGCCATGGCAGTGCCGGATTGGGACAAATTTGGTATATTAGAACCTTATACTTGGGAAACTCTCTACCTGCTGATAAGGTTCTGGACACAAAGGCAGTACATTCGGTAGTAGTAGGTTATCACTCAAACAAACACCTGCAAATTGGTATATACACTTCTAGCAGCAGCCCCTCCAAGGCACCCCGCCGTGTCTGTACCAACCCTGTCTGTAGTGCATAGAATCTGCCAGCAGTACGTCACTCTGGATCGCTGCGCCGGAGAATCTTCGGAACAGTTCGCATGCATGTGCATACGCGGACGCCTGCGGGATGGGGAAGCTGTACGAGGTACTGCAGCCTTGGAGATCTAATTAGCTCTTTTTTTGATCTCACGATCAAGAGCTATAGATTGATGCTGTGCCCGCGTGAGGCAATGAGAGGCCGTATCGCTTGAGATCTGTAGTTCGTGAGCTTGCGACAGCTGAGCCGCCGACCCTGGCTTGGCCCCTCTTATCCTCAAGCTGCCTGCCGGCGCCTTCGCACGACACCGAGACATACGCACCCTCCCGAAGACGCGCTGGATGTGGGACAATGTGATGGAATTTGCGGTACAATGTCTGATCCTGAAGACGCATCTCCCAACGGAGAGCGAGTGGCGGACTACGAAAACCCAAGTCCTGCAGTAGAAAACGATGACGACGCCGATGTCCCCCAGCTCGAGGAGCAAGATATACCAGAAGACCCCAGCTCTGTGGATTTGGAGGAGGAGAAGCACACTGTAGATGCCACAGTTGTAGAAGCATCTGCTCAAAATGGGGACATTTCTGAATTAACATCGGCGGACGCAAGCTCCATTGATGCGATCCCGCGGAGAGTAGGGAGTCCCATTGAGTCTGTCACCTCTGCAGCTGGAGACTCTCCCTCGGTTCAGGTACGTGATGCTCTCTGTATGATTCGACAAACGGCCTGACAGGCATAGGGCTCGCGTGTATCCTCTCCAAGCAGCAGTGTGCTGCCAACGGCTGCCTCCCGTTCGGGATTTGGCAGCCCGACGCCGTCCTTCCGACCCTTTGATCGACGATTCCAATCCCGCATATCTTCCTTTAATGCCCTCAGCCCTCGTCCATCGTCTCCTGCATTTGCGGCCAGCCATAGCCGCCATGCCTCCTACAGCTCCAATTTTCCTTTAGATCAGGCCGATACGGATACTCCATCGCCTCCATGGGAAATTGTAAGGTGGACAAGGCTGAAGAAGCTGAATAGCTATGCGTTCTCAGAATCAGGGAAGCGGAATTTTGGATCACCTACCTGTCTTGCTGTATCCGCTTCAATTTTCCTGGGAACCTCCAAAGGCATAATATTAATGTTTGATTATAGCCAAAACCTAAAGCTGATCATTGGCCCTGGAACCAAAGGTATGTTCTGTAAAGACCTATAAGTGTGCATAGCTGATTTTGATAGCTGTTGAATCTGGACCAATCACTGCCCTTGCTATATCAGCAGACCATACAACTATAGCTGGTGGCCATTCTAACGGAAGCATCTTCACTTGGGATACAACACGGCCTTCACGGCCTTTCCTGACAATCCCGCATCTGGATGATTCCCAAGTACAAAACAGGACAGTGGATGGTCATGTGCCAGAGGCGTCTGTTATTCATATAGGGTTTCTGGGGACCCGGCACACAGCTCTTGTATCCGCAGATGACCACGGTATGGCCTTCTCCCATCTTGCCACCAGAGGTACTGGGCCACTAGGCAGAACGGTCAAGACCACCAGGATATTGGGTCGGTATCCCAATGCGCCAATGCCTCCAGGCAAAACAATAAAGCCCAGCACCGTCCTAGCCTTTGCGCCTCTGCCACTGGGAAACATTGAACGTGCGACAGACAAGATGGGATTGACTGCTATGCTTACTCCTTATTTACTTGTCATTGTTTCCACGACCCCAGTTGCTCAGACGCAACACAAGTCGGCACGACCTAAGGATGTTCCGGCTCACAGCGCAATGACAGGCTGTTTAGCTTGGTTTCCTGCTGTACATCTTAAAGTTGCAGACTCACACACTGGATCTACCATCTCGAAAGCAAAACTAGCATATTGTTGGTCTAACGTTCTTACAGTGCTAGACGTGGAAGAGATTCCCGGAGATGACAGTGATCAGCCACCTTCGTTGAGGTTTAAAGCTCGAAGCAGGTGGAAATGTGAGGAGTCCATTGCTGCTGTGCAGTGGCTTAGTCGCTCTGTATTGACAGTCTTGACAATCTCTCAAAGACTGATTGTCCTAGAGGACAGAACCATGCGCATGACGGAAGCGTTTGATCTATTGGAGAGATACATCTATCACACTGACCTTTTCTCCACACAACTACACACTCTTGTGGAAAACCTAGACGAAAATGATGTATCCATGCATGGGGTTGTAGCCGACGCCTTTTATATGAGTTTCAAAGCATACAAAGGGAGATTGTTCCTCCTAGGTTTCAACGATGTGTCTATAGGCGCATTATCAAATTGGGCAGACCGACTGATTGCCACAATGGAGCATGGTGACTATATAGGGGCTATTCAGCTTGCTACCTCATACTACACTGGTGATGCCAACAAGCTGACTGTTGGACTCCCTGACGATACTGACCTAAGACATAACATGGTTCGCGACAAAATAATGGAGATAACTAGCGCTTCTCTAAAGTATGCCTTTACGCAAAGGCAAAAGCATAAGACAACTGTGGATGATGACCATTTGAAGCAACTCGCTGAAACGTGTTTTGTGGCTTGCCAAACTGTTGGCAATGTTGAGTTTCTGTTTGAAGAGTTGTACGAATGGTATAGCGATGCTGATGCTGAAGGCATATTCCTCGAAACACTTGAGCCTTATATCCTTGACCAAACGATTACAATCGTTCCACCTACAGTGGTTAAGGATATGGTAAATTATTATGTCGTCAAAGGGTGGGAGAGCAGGCTTGAGGAGATGATTTGTCACATGGAGACGGCAACTCTAGATCTGGATCAGCTCACCATTCTCTGTAAGCAACACAATCTATACGATGCGCTTACCTACGTCTGGAATCAAGCTTTGCAAGATTACATTACTCCGATGATCGACCTGCTCAACTTATTAGTCCCTTTGATGTCTAATGGGGATTTTATGGCTGGTAGCACGAGCGATGACTATTACGGCGTTAATGCGGTCAAAATATTCCCCTATCTCTCCTACATCCTCACGGGGCGAATTTACCCAAGCGGAGAGATAATGGACGAAGAGATAGCTCATAAGGCCAAGGCAGAGATTTACTGGTTCTATTTTTCTGGGAAAACTATTTCATGGCCTAAAGGCAGCGGCAAGGAGTTTCTCACCAGGATTAACGGGGAACCAGAGCCTACATTTCCATACCTGAGAATGATTCTCAAATTTGATGCCCCTAGTTTTCTCAGTGCTTTAAATGAAGCGTTTGAAGACTCGTTTCTAAACGATTCTTCTGACAAACACCCCAGCGGAAGCGGTTCCAAAATGGACATGCCCGAAGAACAGATCTTTGGCTTGACAATCAATCGACAGTACATTTTATCCATCTTGCTCGATGTAATGAACCCATCGGATTTTGCTCCAGCAGACACGATATATCTCGACATGTTTATTGCTCGAAATCTCCCCAAATTTCCTCAATATCTGCTGTTCTCAGGCACGACTTTGTCAAATGTCCTCACAGGCCTATGCAATTACCCTGGTCCGGATCTTGCTGAGGACGCGCAGCTGAGCGCTGAATATTTGCTATCAGTTTATCATCCTTCGGACATGTCCGCATTGATGCCATTGCTTAAACAGGCTGGCTTTTATCGAATTCTGAAGAGAGTATACAAAGTCGATAAACAATATGGAAAGCTTGTGCAAACATATTTTGAAGATGCAGAAGACCAAGATTTGGTATTTGACTGCATTGCGGAATGTTTACGATCTCATAGCGAACTCAGCCAACGGCAAAGACAGGAGGTCTTGGAAGTTATCGAAAATCATGCAAAGGACTTGCTTGAGCTGAGCCCCGAGCGTTCAGCCTCGACGCTTGCATCACAGGTAACGGAGCTGCATCAACATATTTTGAATTCTGCCGCCGACGCTCCTGAACTACAACATGCGTATTTAAAAACTCTGCTGGAGCCAGAAGACCCGTTAGCGGATGAGCAGCCAACACTTGATCGGTATCTTGTCGAACAATATGTTCAGCTCATGTGTAAGTTTGATCCACAGCACGTTTCGGACTACATTGGGCTCGTTCAGTCGGTCGACCTTCAGTTAGGCAATTTATTGCCCATAATGGAAGAAACCGGTGTGGTGGACGCTGCTGTAGTGCTCATGGCCAATGCGGGACAAGTCAACGATGCTATGGAGCGATTAGTACGACACCTGGGAACCCTCGAATCCGCCATGGAAGGTCTTTTGCGATCGCATAACACGAAAGATGGAGAGGACGATAGATCGCTTTCTCTGCAACCGTCGGCTGAAGCCCTTCTGGAGAGTCTGCAAAAGTACGTCCATGTTGGGATTTGGCTGTGTCAGGAACAGACAAAGGCACCACGAAGAACTAGCGTGGTATCGAAGAATAATAAGACTGCCCAGGAAAACTTGTCCGCAGATGAAACTCTCTGGCTGAGTCTTATTATTGCCTGTGTGCAGGTAACTCAAAAATTGTCTCCATCTATACAGGCTGTTGCCAACGAACATGCGCTTGATGAAGAGAAACTTTTGGCAAAGCTACGATCGCTTGTACAGCACACATTTACTTCATTGCTTGTTTCCACTTCAAGTCAAGCTTCGAATCAAGCAAATGGCCAGCTAGGCCCTGTTGCTTTCTCAAACCCTGCGTCTAACCTCTCCTTCTTGCGAGTATTGAGATCGTTCCTCACCAAGGTCGCAGCATCGTCTCCAAGCTTGGCAGACCTCCGTAGCGTGCTTGCGTCTATCTTTTCAGCATATGCTTACGAAGAGTCTATTCTCCGTCTGTCAAATCGTCTTATAGAACGAAGCCTGTTCACAAACGTCAACGCATCTGTTGAGCTTAGACAACGTGGATGGAGGCCTCGAGGCTCTACCTGTGAGGCTTGCGGCAAAAGAGTCTGGGGTCCGGGCCTTGCGGGTACTTCTGTTTTTGAGGCCTGGGAAGGCAAGCAAGCCCTCGAAGATGCGGCGAGAAAGCAGAGGCAGAATCAAGTTGCAGAGCGAGCCAAAGGCCATGCAAGAATCACGGATCGTCGGAGCAAGGGCAAGAGCTTGGATATGCGGCCCTCAAGCATGCTGCTCGAGCAATATGCTGGAAATTCTAATAAGGATCAGCTGCTAGGACCGCTAGTCGTGCTAGCCTGTCGGCATATCTACCACCAGACATGTCTGGATGCGTTACAAGAGAAGCAAGAGAATGGCATCTTACCAAGGGATCTGGATTACAAGTGCCCTATTGATGGAAGAAGTCATATGTGATGGAACAAGTTATAGGTGTATATTATCTGTGTATGTACATGCTAGCAAGCAAAGCAAATGGCGGGTTGTGTGTTATGGATCATGGCGAATTGAGATAAGTAGCCATTGTTATTCTTTTCCTTTTGGGATAGGGATAGACAAGAGATATGAAGCTTATGAATTACTCTACCTGGCTTGATAATACTCATTCTATGTGGTTGAAAACTTTTGCGGTGCTGTCTTACAAACTATCATTGCCTCAAGCCGCTGTAAAATAGTGGCGTGGGGCCTTCTACAATAACGCGGGATGCTAGCCTCCGTCACTTTGCTGTATACTTGCCAACTACAACAATTTAAGCAAAGCACCTCCACGGCCCTCGCTTGGCCGCATATAACCCCACCATGTCTGGCTCAGACGTGGACGGATCTGATGGCGAATACATCTCCGACAACCTGTCTTCAGGCTCCTCCGACCAGGAATCGCCGCCGCCGCCTCTGTCGCAGAACTACTTCGCGCCTCCATTCTATGGCCGACCGCCCACGCCTCTGCCCCCATCACCATCTCTAACGTCGCTCCTACGGCCCTCGCGCCCGACGACTCCAGATGCCTCAGACGACGACATCGCTCCCGTGCCGCGCACGGCGCCCAAGGTGCCGACGTACGAGTACTACGGCTTCGTGCTGTACCTGTTCAGCAGCCTGATATTCCTCATGTACCTGCTTTGGAGCTACCTCCCGGCGCCGTTCCTGCACGCGCTGGGCATCTTCTACTATCCAGACCGCTGGTGGGCGCTGGCAGTGCCGGCGTTCCTGGTGATGACGGTGGTCTACATCTACGTGGCGCTGGCGGCGTACAATCTGGAGATCTTGACGGTGCCGATGACGAGCGTGGAGACGATTGTGGACGGGGCGGGGGCGCTGGCGATGATTGATTCGAAGGGGAGGCTGAAGGGGAGCAACAAGAGGGAAAAGAAATGCGAAAGCAATGGGAGGCTGAGATGGAGGGAGATTTGGAACGAGGGAACTGATGCGGTGCTGGATGTTCCATTGGCGGGAGTCTGTGAGGTGTTGTATGGAGAGGGCAGGGATGCGTCCGATAGCGATGAGGAGATATGACGGGATCTGACAGAAGCTACTTCGAAGCGAACTGGGACTGATTTGTATGATTATCTATTGCGGCGTTTTTGAAAGACAAGCGGCTGGAGGATTGATATTGACACTTAGATATACCTATAGTAGGTACGGCTGTATACCAATGATGAATTCGTTTGGCATGAGCAATAAAATGATGCCATTGGCACATACCATTTACAAGCTCCATAATTTCCTACCTACCTTGCTCACCTGGTTGAATTCTATTCTTTAAACAGACGCCAGAGCAAATGAATGACGATATTTCATCTTCATAGACCTTACTTAGATGCTAGTCTATAAACTTGAAGCTGCTACGGTTTAGCGCGCCAAGGTCCATCTATAGCGGCATTCCCCACTACAGCCTTGCAGGAAAAAAAGTTGCACGGCTGAGCTACAAAATTTCTAGTGCTATTGCACACATACAAGTTTGTGTCGACCAAAAACTTCAGCCCTCATCTCCAGCCTCAGCACTAAGGAAAAATCAGGCGCAGACTGCCGGATTTTGCTGCGCCCTCCCTCAAGATGGATATCCTCAAAGTACTGTCGCGCGGTACCAAGAAAAGCGCAAAGACTTCGCTGTCGGGCGGCAGCGCAGTGGGCAAACTGCCCTCTTCTGGAACAAAAACCAACCCGCAGCTCTACCACGACGAAGTTCGCGGCCAAAAAAGAAAGCGCGATGTCGAAGAGCCCGAGAGCAAGATTCCTGAAGTGCTGCCCGAAGTCGACTTCTTTGCGCCGAAGGACGTTGCGGAATCGAAACCTGCCAAAATGGCCGAGTCGAACAAGGCCAAGCGAGCGGCGAGCCCCGATGCTGAGGCAGAGGCGAAGCTGTTGAGTGCCGAGGAGTGTCGCCAGTTGCTGCGGTCGCATCGATTGAAAGTTACGCTGCTGGGCAAACGGGAGGAGCAGCACAAAGTCAAGAAGCCGAAGAAGAAGAAGGCCGTCGTTGAGGTGAAGAAGGACAAGAAGCCGCCGCAGCTGAATCCGCAGCCATTGGTGTCGTTTGGCCAATTGCGAAGCACATACAACCTATCACGCAGAGTGGCTGAAAACCTTTCATACCAGGGCTACCGTGTGCCGACAGAGGTTCAGATGGGCAGCATGCCGTTGCTGATCCGGCCTGATCTGGCGCTAAAAGGCGAAGAAGGGCTGGAGAATGGAATTGATTTGCTGGCTGTGGCGCCGACGGGAAGTGGAAAGACGATCAGCTTCCTCGTTCCGACGATCAATAATATCATGAGGAGGAGAGCGCAGGAGAAGCTGCATGGCATTCATGAACTCGAAGCTATTGTGATTGTGCCGACTCGAGAGCTTGCGTATCAGATTGTCAATGTTGGAAACCAGCTGGTGAAGGGAACTGGAATCAAAATTGTTGGAATGAGAAAGGGCATGATTCTTGCTGCTGAAAGCCAGGATATTGGCGAAGGTGACTCAGATGATGAGGTAGAGAAGCCGGAGGAATCAGAAGATGAGGAAGAAGATGAATATGACGAAGAGGAAGAAGAGAACGAGAAGAAGGAAAAGAGCAGGAAGCCTAAAGTCGTGTCAAAAGTGGATATCTTGATCACAACGCCTCTTTTGCTACTCAACTTCCTGACGTCTGGATCGACGAGCACACAGAAAGTCCTCCCAACTGTTCGTGATCTGATATTGGACGAAGCAGATGTCCTTCTCGACCCATTGTTCCGCGAACAGACCCTTGGTATCTGGAATGCCTGCAGCAGCTCAGAGCTGCGGCTCTCATTCTGGTCTGCAACAATGGGTTCCAACATCGAGACGCTGGTTACTGAAAAGCTGGCGTCGCGAGCCGAGTCTCTGGGCCTTTCCCAAAGACCGTTGGTTCGGTTGGTTGTCGGCCTGAAGGATACTGCTGTCCCGAATATCGTGCATAGATTGATTTACACGGCCAGCGAGCAGGGAAAGCTTCTCGGCCTGCGACAGCTCTTACGGCCTACATCAAGCATCGACTCAGGGCCGCCGCTGCGACCGCCTTTCCTCGTCTTCACACAGACGATTGAACGAGCTACGGCTTTGCAAGAGGAACTCAAGTACGATATCCCCCTCGAGGCGGGCGGTTCATCTAGAATAGCTGCTCTGCATAGTGGTCTTCCTGATGCAGCCCGAGCCGCCATCATGCGCAAATTCCGATCTGGAGAGATTTGGGTTCTCATTACCACCGACGTTCTGGCTCGAGGTGTTGACTTTGCTGGTGTCAATGGAGTCCTGAACTACGATGTACCCGGATCGAGTGCCGCTTATGTGCACCGAGCAGGAAGAACAGGACGAGCTGGTCGTGAGGGCGGCATTGCCGTTACTTTCTACACGAAGGAGGATATTCCCTTTGTCAAGACGGTGGCTAATGTCATTGCTGAAAGCGAGAAGCAGGCAGGCAAGACAGTAGAGGAATCTTCAGTGCAGAAATGGCTGCTTGATGCTCTGCCCAACGTCGGCAAGGAGGACAGGAAGAAGCTCAAAGAAAGGGGCGTGGAGTCAAGGAGGAGCGGAAACAAGGCCCAGATTACATCCCGGAGTGGATATGAGCGACGCAAGGAGCATAACAGGAAGGGTGCCATTGAAGGAAGCAAGAAGAGGAAGATGGAGGCTGAAGACGATGGTAATGGCAAAGGCAAGGGCGATGGGGGTGGTGAATGGGGCGGATTTGATGACTAGATTTCACGATATCCAATATACACAGTCTAGACGTGGCATTGTATGGCAATTTTCAGTTTTTGGAGCTATCTATATGGCCCTTGTTCTATTGTACATGTGTCTTAACGAAGAAGACATATTTTTATTTATACACATATCTATACAGCCCACAGATATCTCATAATCTATTCATGAGGAAAATCGTAGCATCTTATTTCTCATTAGCTTTCTCATCAGCTGACAATCCAACCACATTTCGTAGCGTGCCAAAGCTCAAGCAGTCGCTGATACGGTTGGCGCCCGAAAAGAGCATCACTAGACGCTCGACACCACATCCCCAACCACCAGTGGGGGGAAGGCCATAGTCGAGAGCCTTGACGTAGCTCTGATCAAGAGGGGAGGCTTCCCACTCATCTTCTTCAACAGGCTCCGAGGTAGCCTTCTCAGCATCGGTATCCAAGGCCGGCTGCTCTGCGAATCCTACAGTGCCGTCAGGTTTGTTCACAAGGCTGCGGTGGACGGCTAGTTTTCGTTGCTGCTCTTCCGGGTTGTTCTCCTCCTCATACATGTTGGCGAGTTCTCGACCGCCGATGAAGAGCTCCGCACGAGCGGAAACTAGCTGATAAGTCTTGGGGCAGAGGAAGCTCTTTGCCAGCGGAGACATGCAGGCGGGGTGATTTGTGATGAAGATCGGCTCTGTGAAGGACATGGGCTCTATATATGTCGCGGCGAGTCGATCAAGGAGCTTTGGTAAAGATGTTGGCACCTCTCCAGGAATCTCAACGCCTGAGAGCTTCAGAACGGCGAGGAGTTCGGGAAGAGCGCCATCTTCTGCAGTAAGCTTTGGGAAGCGAACCCCGATAGCTTCCTCCAAAGCGGGTATAAATTCCACCTGCTTGAACGGCCTAGTGAACTTGCTGAGGTCGATAGGCGGCAGGGTAGTAAGTTGCGTAGAAATCAGCTCTTGAGAGTGCTTTGCAAGAGTATATATCAACTCTTCTGTCTCCTTGATGAGGTCAGGTAAGTTGGTATAAGCACTGTAGAATTCACACATCGTGAATTCCGGATTATGAGTGGCATCGACGCCTTCATTTCGGAAAGCAGGACCCATCTCAAAGACTTTGTCCACGCCGCCGACGACCAGACGCTTTAGCCATAACTCGGGCGCTATCCTGAGTGCAAGGTCTTTGCCTCGGAACTCTGTGGCGCGTGTTACAAATGGCCGTGCAACCGCACCACCGGCGTTCTCAGCAAGAATTGGCGTCTGGAATTCGAGGAATCGCTTGGAGTGGAAGTGATCCCGGATCTGCTTCATGATTTCGGATCGTAATCTTAGGATGTCGACGACGTCTCGATTCACTAGCATATCGACATGGCGCTCTTGCATTTTTGTCTTGGGGTCCGTGAGCTTCTCTGGAACTTGTTCCATAGATGGAGAGAGGAGCTCAGGCAGCTCTCGAGCCTCTAGGGAAAGCTGCCCTGTATTTGTACGAGTGGCAATACCAGTAACCGCTACCAATCGGTTAGCCCTTGCAGAGGGATAAGAGGAGCTTAATTGGCCTACATATATGGTCTCCAACTTGGATCAGATTTTTAAGAAGGCGGAATTTGTGAACACGAGATTGCTGCTCTGAGGCAACTTTGCTTTTGTTGATCATGATTTGGACTTTTTGAAATTCATTGGTTATGTCGAGGAAGATGAGAGAATTTCCCACAACTCGCTTTGATCGAATTCGCCCAGACAAAGTGACAAGCTCATTCGAAAGCTCATCTTGGGATTCTTGCAGAAACTCAGGGACGCTCTTCCTAATAGATGACGATTCTAGTCGAGGATAAGCCTCAGGGTATAACGGATCATCGCTCCTTTGATCCTCTTGTAGTTCTTTCCTTCGATGTCTCTTGAATGGCGAGATGCCATCTTCATCCTGCTCTTCCTGCTCCCCTTTTGCAAACCTCGAAGATTCATTGATGTGAATTCCAGGTTTGGTAGAGAAAGCTCGGACTGCCTGTCTGTTTGCAGACTCAAGGCACAATGAAGGGGGCGCCCAACCCCATGGTGCAGTTGAAAGAGCAGATCTGGGGCCGAAAGACCTTAAGCTACCATTCAACGCAGCAGACTGGCGCGCCAGTCTTATGCAGCTGGCGGATCTCATCTCTTCTAAGCGACGATTGTCAGCTATTGCCACCATAGAGCAAGCGGATTGTGTAAAATTATGGCAGTATGTTATGGTGATCAGGAAAAGGCAGGTTATTTATCTCCAACAGCAGAGCTGTTTCAATCGCAGCGGTTCTGAAGCGAGAATGCGGATTCATCATGATAACAATTGACAAAAGAAAGCATGCAGAATAACTTACAAACATAGCGACGGCACTGGAATATATGCCTCAGTGCAAGAAACGCAGATGCGCACCCAGCAATCCAGACACCAGTGCTTTGAAGGATGGAAATTTGTGCCTCAAACGGACAGTGTGGGCTATTTATGATTTTTTTCTTCTTTTTTTTTTTCCGCGCACTGGCGCCTCCCCCGTAATTGGAGACACCCCGCCAATTGCATGCAGCTCACTGGCTAGCCTTCCTGCTAAGCTCACCACCAAGGCCAGGCTGAAATTTATTCCGACGCGCCATTCCTCAGTATCTCCAACTACTGCTTCTTGCTTATACGCGTGTCATTTCGCACCAAATCAGGTCGGCATTGGAGCCTCTTGCGCGATCTCTACGAATTGGCCCGCCCACAGCCGCTGCCTTACCACGAGCATCGCAATCATGGCCCAGCAGCCTTTGCCCACGTCGGCTCAGCCAACCGACATCTACGGTGGAGGTTCGTTTGTCACTGTCTGGGCAGGGCGAATCGATGCGCTGCACGGGGATTGGAAGTAACGCAAGCTAATGAAATGTGTAGATGAGGTCTCTGCACTCGTTCTTGATCCCGGCTACTGCAACACGCGAGCAGGCTTCGCTGGCGAAGATGTCCCCAAGTCAATCCTGCCATCGTTCTACGGCCATGTCACCAGCGACCCTCCCCGAGATCTATTCGGCGATGAATGCATCATCCCACGCAGCGACTTCGAGGTCCGCAACTACATGAATAAGGACAGCGTTGTAGAGGACTGGGATGTGGCAGCCAAGATGTGGGAATTCATGCTGGTTAAGCGCCTGCAGCCCGAGCGACAGACACCGCCATCGAAGAATAAGCTGAACGACGACGTGAAGGAGCAGGACGGCGAAGGAGATGTCGCGATGGAAGAAGTCGAGGCGATGGAGAAGGCTCTAGAGGAGTATCCTTTGTTGATGACAGAAGCTCCGTGGAACTCGCCCAAGGCACGTGAAAAGGCCATCGAGCTCAGCATGGAGAGCTGGGGAACCCCCGCCTTCTGGCTAAGCCGGACTCCCGTTCTGTCGTCATTCGCTGCTGGAAAGGCCACTGCTCTTGTCATCGACGTTGGCGGCGCCAATACCTCCGTTACAGCTATCCATGATGGCATGGTTTTGAAGAGATCTATCCAGCGATCACCCGCGGGTGGTTTATGGCTGTCTTCGCAGATCCGCAACATGTGGGAAACTTCCGAGCCGAAAGTTGACTTGATTCCGACATTCATGGTCGAGAACAAGACTCCTGTGGATGCTCTCGCCCCTGCCCAAGCGCGACTACGCGAATTTCCCTACAAGATCCACGACTCTTATCGAGCATTTGAAGAAGAGCGGCTCTTGACCGAGTTCAAGGAGTCTGTCGTTGAGGTTTGGCGTGGGCCTGGAAGATACGGTGCCGCCGGAAACGAGGAGTACATCAAATCTCAGCCTGGCCGTGTGTTTGAGATGCCTGATGGCTACAACCAGATGTGGCGCGAGCAGCGATTCAAGGTAGCTGAGGGCATGTGGGACGAAAACGCTGGATACCCCGTCCCGGAGTCGGAGCGCCTCACCAAGGCCCAGACCATCCCCGAGCTTATTCGCTCCGCCCTCAACGCTATTGACGTTGACCTTCGAGGCAACCTTCTCGCCAACGTTGTTGTTACGGGCAGCACAAGTTTGATCAATGGCTTCAACGACCGTCTAAATAACGAGTTGACGGCGATGTATCCCGGGCTGAAGATCAAGATCCACGCTGCAGGTCTGTCAAGCGAGCGTAGATTCGGTGCCTGGATTGGTGGAAGCATTCTTGCTAGCTTGGGAACTTTCCACCAAATGTGGATATCCAAAAAGGAGTATGAAGAAAACGGAGTTGGCATTGTCGAGAAGCGATGCAAATAGAGGATATAAAATTCCTAATTTCAGGGGGATACATTTTTGGTGAAGGATTATGGCGTACGGAGTTAGAAGAAAGATGTTAGTGCTATCTATCTATGCTAAGGGCAATAGGACGCTGCCACTGAGATCTGGCTGGAGATCAGAGGCATTCGTAGATCTAATCGAGTTACTTTGTGCAATACGAATGGAAAGTGAATACACTAAGCTAGCCCGCAAAGCTGACCTTGATTTCAACTTCGTCCAATCGGCCAGGCTCCAGCTTCATATCCTTCCAAGCCTTTTCAATGTTTATCTCAAGTACATGCTGGTCGCTTTGTGATACACCCACAGTTTCTACCGGGACGGCCTGGTCTTGGAGAGTTACAATGAAATCTTCTTGGAGTGTCATATTCGGTAATGTAGAGATATAAATTCCTGAGAATTTCTTGAGTCAGCAAACATCTTCTAGTTCGGGAATCGACCCTCTTCTACTGACCAAATACTCCTAGGGCCTTCAACTTGACAGCAACAGACAATCTTCCGTTCTCTTTCATGCTGATACTGCTGGCTACAATGGCTACGCTGCCAGTCATTTTGTTAATCAGGCCAAGGTTTGCCACCCATATTTCCCCATATTTGTGACCGTTGAGAGGTACAGCCTGGAAAGCTGTGAAAATCTCGTATCCGCGGACGTCCAAAGATCCAACAATGAGCGAAGTCGGATCATCAAGCTTCATCGGCGCAGATGCCTTTCCTGTGGCGTGGGCCCGTACAACGTAATGCAGAGATGGCACGGTGCCTGGGAAGCAAGAAAGGGGAATCAACTCTGTGAGTGGGCGTGCTGAGATGTTGAATATGGCTACTATTGGTGTGCCAGTCTCAGATGCTCCTATAACCAAGTTAACAGCAGTCGCTCAGTCAGGTAGTCTATACAAACTCGCTTACCATGATAGCTGCCAACTTTAAGAAGCAGGTCATCGTCATAACCTATATATGGATATATGGCCTTTCCTAAGACGCTTGGTCTAAATATGACAGTCTTGCCTTCAGGGGTCAGGCCCGTCATTTGGCCTATCAAGTCGAGATTGTGCTCTCCAGGAACGTCGGTGATATAAATCGGTCCACCGCTGACACATCGAGCAGCAGCATGAAACCCAGAATAATCATGTACCGTCTGGAACATATCCCAATCTGGAAGAACATTCAGATACTCCATGAAAATGCTATTGTATGCGTTCGTCCATACATGCCAAGGGTGCGATGAGGGAATCTGAGGGAAGAAGTCGTCTGAGTTGCGAACTAGTAAAGCGGGCCGATTTGGTATCATCTGAGAATTGAACAGTGCCTGTGGGATCTGCGACATGCATGATATGGCCTTGACGCTGAAATAGCGAAGAGATGTGAGATTCCACGCGTCTAGATATGTGTTGATGAGCTCCCGTCGGACGGAGGCACTGAGCCACATATCAACCATGAACTGCGCATCTGTCTTGATCCCATCAACGCCAGCATCTGAGAGAAATTGATAAAAATCATCATAGAATTGACGAACGTCGTCTTTAGCAATCACTGTCATTTTGCCTCCGAGAGGCAAGTTGCGGCGTTTAGCCTCCTCGCGAATTACTTCGATAGTTTTGTACTTCTTGGCAAGCTTTCCATCGGGCGAAATGCCACCCCAATATCCCAATAGGGCGTGCCATACCGCAATATGCTGGATTTTTGGACTTCGCTCCCGGATTTTACTGATGGCTGCCTTTAATCCGTTTGGAAAAGCTTCTGGCTCGGCCTCGAACTCAACCCATCCGTATTGAAACTGGCTAGCGCCTCTGTAGTCAATTGACTGCCAATTATCGTCAATAATAAGAGACGTGATGTTGATGTTGTGATTTTCGAGCTTGTCAATTGCATCAATGATCTTCTGTTCTGTTAACCTTTGACCGAGTGCGTTCCATGTACCTGCAGAGCTATCAGCCAGTAATACTTTGGAGAAAGAAAGATATTCTGGATGGACTAACAGAACCCAAGTCCATCATACCAGTTTTCAAGCCACTCTGGCCGAACTGCATCAGAAAGAGCTTTCAACTCTTCTTCCACCGCTTGGTTCGCGCTACGAGCTTTCATAACAAGACTTCTTGCATGGTACATTACGGCGGCAACAGCCCTTTGGAAATCATTTCCTTCGGATACTAGGATAGTTGTCTTCTCATCGGAGGCTGAGTCGTTGCGCACATTTACTGATACGGCGCCGCTGGAGGTGTGTTGAAAAACAGGTACTGAATCATTTATTCCCGAGACAGCCAATAAGACCATGTTTCTGCCTTCTGGGCTTTGGAAAGCTAGCAGTATTGCGTCTTTATCGAGCGAAAAGTGGTCTCTGCCATGCCGTGGAGCTAGCCAAGGCGACCAAAGCCGAACAACGGCAAACCATCTGAATTATTCTCTTCATTAGATGAAGAGTAATTTTTGATAAATGGATATATGGAATACTCAAGGGAAGAAGGGTTTCAAGACTTACCTTAGAAAAGAACCCCAAGGTGTCCCAATTTGAATATCAGTGAATGAAGACAAATCGTTCTCTGCGGGAGGCACCACGGCTTCAAGTGACCACAATTGCGTTTTTGGCGCTTGGCTCATACGAGATGCAACTTTCCAGGTTGTGTTGAGTCCAGATATAAGGTCGGCCAAGTTATCAGACTCTGTAGGTGCCGGGAGCACCACAATGTGGCCGTCCTCCAACCCTTGTTCGTCACGGATCCATCTCCAAGATTCATTAGAATTGTGACGGAATTTGATGGTAAACCGTATAGAATTTTTGAAAGATACTTTTGTAGCATAGTATATCCTGAAGACAGCTTCTGATTCAGCATGGAGAGCTTGCGGTGCCAGGCTGCTCTTTATCCTGGGCACCTCAGCCTCGGTCCAGCCCTCGCCATCAATTGAGTGCCAAAGAGCAACTTCCCAACTCTCTTCAGCTCGAAACTTTGGTATCTCCAACAAAGCAGTGAATGGAACGCCGTCGGAGCTCTCGACAGGCGTTACCTGGCTCAAGGGAGGGTAGCTTTGGAGTATCGCTTTCATACTCTCGGGCACCGGAGCTGGCTCAGGTTTTTGCTTTGGTATATAAAGAGTTTTAAAATCGTTTGCAAAGTCATATGTTTCAGGCGCCATTTGGATTCTTAATTTGAATATCAGATGATTATTTACCCAATTGGTTGCGTTGAAGCTAAAGCTCGCTCCTGCTATGATATGTAGGTATTAAGCCCCAGCTGTACGCAGTACATTAAAAAAAAAAAAAAAAGAAGAAAACCATAAGCTGTTTATGGCTAATATAAAGATCTCTCATCAATAGAAAATGAGAAATAATGGCTAAATCTTGGGCAGGACGATGTTATGCGGACGAAGAAGCACTAACAGCGAAGACGAGTTCCCCGCAGGTCAGAGCCAGGAATCACTGAGGGGCCAGCAGGGGATAAACAATGCGCGAAAATAATCCCATACGTTCGTTCAACAAAGAATTGGAATAGTCTTGAAATTTGTAGTGTTGCGTAGACACTCTCCATCGCAGATACATATGCTTTAATCGCATAGGGCATATATCATGCCATTAGGTACCAACACATCAAACGGTACTCCATCTCAAGCCAGGCGTTGATGGCGTCAATCAACTGTGGATTCTATAACAGAGCATGGATAATGAACTTCTTTATTGCTTCCCTTCCATTGAGTTATTTCATTTTTAAAATCCTTAGCCAGATATGCTTATTGAACTTCACTGCTCACTGCAGTTTGCCAGTATTTGCGCAAAGAGTCGCTCCCAACCCGAACCCGTATATCCCAGCCCCAAAGGCACTGGTGTGGAGATGGCTCGGATGATGAAGTTAGTAAATCTGCGCTCCTGATTGGCCCATCTGCTTCGGTGTCGTCGGGCGTCGGAGCTGGTCGGAATGACTAAGCAGCCAAAACCTCGAAACTAAGGCCACAACCCGCTCAGGAAAGCTTCTTGCCGAGCAGTGGAAAGATTTCATCAAACCGCTCAATTGACCATTAATCCCCCAAACCTCCGCCATGGCGTCCCGCAGATTAGCTTTGAACTTGTCGCAAGGCCTGCGAGCCCGTTCCGGCCTGGCAGCCGCCGGATCTCTGCGACGAGGCTTTGCTACTCCTTCCAACGTCGGCAAGACTCAGACAACAACTCTCAAGAACGGCTTGACTGTGAGCGCCAACTCCGGGGGCCAATTGGCCCAGCCTCGCGCCTTGGACGCCTGTTTTGCTAACCGACAAACTCCAGGTCGCCACTGAGTATTCACCATGGGCCCAGACATCGACCGTTGGCGTCTGGATTGACGCTGGCTCCCGTGCCGAGACCAACGAGACGAACGGCACTGCCCACTTCCTCGAGCACCTGGCTTTCAAGGTGGGATGTCCCGATATGGCATCATACGGGCAAAAACGGCTGACAGTTGTTTCAAGGGTACCGCAAAGCGATCACAGCAGCAATTGGAGCTCGAGATTGAGAACATGGGTGGTCACCTGAACGCCTACACCTCGGTTGGTCTTTTTTTCAACCCATTCAGTCGCAATGGGCTCATTCGGGAAAAAAAATCTCTGAAGCCACTAACGCCTTCTTCAGCGCGAGAACACCGTCTACTTCGCCAAGGCCTTCAACTCTGATGTCCCCAAGACCGTCGATATTCTGTCCGATATCCTGCAGAACTCCAAGCTCGAGCCGTCTGCTATCGAGCGCGAGCGCGACGTCATTCTCCGAGAGTCTGAGGAGGTTGAGAAGCAGGTTGAGGAGGTTGTCTTTGACCACCTGCACGCCACTGCTTTCCAGCACCAGCCTCTTGGCCGCACCATTCTCGGACCCCGCCAGAACATCCGTGACATTACCCGCACCGAGCTCGTCAACTACATCAAGAACAACTACACTGCCGACCGCATGGTCCTCGCTGCCGCCGGTGGCGTTCCTCACGAGCAATTGGTTCAGCTTGCCGAGAAGCACTTCTCCGGCCTTGCCACCAGCAGCCCCCAGACTGAGGCCTACGTCCTGTCCAAGCAGAAGGCTGACTTTGTTGGCTCTGACGTCCGTGTTCGCGATGACACCATGCCCACTGCCAACGTTGCCATTGCTGTCGAGGGTGTTAGCTGGAACTCCGATGACTACTTCACTGCTCTCGTCACTCAGGCCATCGTCGGCAACTACGACAAGGCCATGGGCAACGCCCCTCACCAGGGCAGCAAGCTGAGCGGCTACGTCCACAAGCACGAGCTGGCCAACAGCTTCATGAGCTTCTCCACCAGCTACAGCGACACTGGGTATGTTGGAACAATGATTGAACGAGCGTAGTATTTGCTTATATACTGACTGTATCTATCAATAGTCTCTGGGGTATCTACCTGGTCACTGACAACACTACGCGCCTCGACGACCTTGTTCACTTTGCTCTCCGCGAGTGGATTCGCCTGTGCACCAACGTCAGCGAAGCCGAGGTTGAGCGCGCCAAGGCCCAGCTGAAGGCCTCCATCCTGCTGTCCCTGGACGGCACCACTGCCCTCGCCGAGGACATCGGTCGCCAGCTGGTCACCACTGGCCGCCGTGCCAGCCCTGGCGAGATCGAGCGCAAGATCGATGCCATCACCGACAAGGACGTCATGGACTTTGCTAACCGATACATCTGGGACAAGGACATCGCTATCAGCGCAGTTGGAAAGATTGAGGGTCTGTTCGATTACCAGCGTCTGAGGAACACCCTGAAGCCTAAGTTCTAAGGGTAGAAAGGATACGGAGAGAGGGGAGCGAAACAGTCCAGAGGAAAAAAAAAGACCGGGTATAGAGTGTATGAGATACCGTTTTACAGGCCTAGTGTACCATAAATTTCCCATATTCTTACAACCAGGTGTTGCGTGGGCGGAAGTGCATGTGAAGAAAAAAAAGTTTTATTACACTTCTTTTGGATAGTGAGGCAGCAACTCACGGCCCCTAGATGCTAATAAGATGATACCTTCAATGGTGATAAGATCTCCACGACTCTGCCGCAAACGATTTACGCGGCGCTGTGTTCATGCCGTTTTATCATATACATCATATACCTCAAAAACTAGGCAGCTCCTATTAGATAAATACTTTAGGTATAGATGAAAATAGAGAGAGCTATATAGCTCCCCGCACTCCTTGTAGCCGTCTTTTCCAACGCCCAAAACGCCAACATAAAAATATGGGATATCCAAGGTCCAGATTCGCGCAGCTAAATGCAGCATGAGTTCACACGATACCGCCTAGCTCTCCTCAGCCATCTCTGCGTCCACATCATCGCCAAAGACATCATCCACTGTCCCGCCCTCGACACCATCACCGCCAATATCTTCAGGTTCTGGTCCTTCAATGCCTTCCATGGCATCTCCACCTTGCTGAGAAGCTGAGCTCTCATCATCGTCGTCATCTGCACCCTCCTCACCCCATACGTCCTTGAGACCCCAGCCTGTCCCACTAAGAACAAATCTCTCGCTGGGTAGCCGGACGCCCCATTCGTTTGGCACAATCTTTGGCAAGGCGACCTTGTTTCGCTCTCGGGCCAGCTCCTGCATATATTCCTTGCTAATGCCGCCCCCACTGCTTCCTCCGCGGAATTGGTAGCCCAGGCGAGCAGCAATAGCCACCTTCACGGCGTTGGCGCTGACGCTGGCATCGCTGGACGGGGCGGCCATGGCCCCTCCCGCAGCGCCAGATGGCTTAGAGCCGGCTTGCGTAATGTACGGGTCGCCCGTGAGATGCAATGCGTCGCTGAGAACGGATGAGGTATGTCGGTAGGCGAAATCCAAGAGCAAGAGGGGTACCCGCTGTTCGTAAGATGTGACGCCTTGAGAGGTAAGCAGAAGCTCGACCAGTCGTGAGTCGCGCGGCCTAGGCGCCGAAGAGGGCTGCTGATGAGTAGACGGCTGTGCAGATTGAGAGGACGAAGCGGCGGCGGCGGGAGGTTGGCTCGCAGTCGTTGTCTGGGTGTTGGGAACTGTTTGAGATGTGTTGGCAGATGACGCGGGCACGCCATTTGTCTGTGGTTGACTTGAAGACATGGTCGAGATATGGTATTAGGCAGTAAAATAAGATGGAATTAATGTGATATGGCGACTGGAGAAACGAGGCTGATCACAGCGGCGAAGAGCTCATACGCCGACGCAAATCGAGTTGCGCGCTCAGGCAGTGATTGACGTCAGAACAGACACAAATGAGTAGTATGCGATATATCTCCTCGTGTAAATTGTCAGCACAACAGCATCCTAAACACAATGGGAAATCCGAATATGCGACTCTGCTGCGCATCTAACAAGGCTGGAAACAGAAATAGCAAGCTTGGCCAGTACTAGAAGTCCATCACGGTCAGTCGCGGCTGGGGCAGCTTGCAGGATCCCGGTGCATCGTTAATCCGGGCTGTCAATTGATGCTGCGCTGCGCACAGACCAGATCTTAAACACAGCCCAATGGAAGCACTCCAAATTCAGCAGTGCATGCAGCACCCGCCTAGACGGGTTGGAGGGGCGCTTCTGGAGGAGGCTCGGCGTTCTGAAAAGCGAAGCAAAGCCTAAAAATGGCCTGCAGCAGGCTTTGCGACCCCACCAAAAAATTGACTGCCGCTGATTCAGGTGCCGGTTCCGGTCAGTTCGAGCTGTTTTCTGGCGATGGTTTGACTCATTGGCGGCATATATATTTTTCTTTGGCTTGGGATTTCGCGTCTGGCTGTATCTCCCATATCTGCGTCGCCAATTGACTGATTGTCCTGTTTGGTCCCTTGCAATCGCCATCAGCATCGTCATCGTCATCCAGCCCACTCTCTCTGCCCCTCATGGAGACGGTGCTTCCCCTGCCGTTCCTTGTCAGTGTGGCCATTCCGCCCGGTCTGGCCAAGCTTGACGGCCTCAACCGCGAGCAGGTTTCCATCCTCGCCAGCCCCTTCCTCGAGGCCTCGCCCAAGATCCTGGACAAGCTCTCCCGGTTTTTCAAGCGTCACAGCTCCGAGTTCCACGCCCACATCGACGCCACAACCCTCGAATCCGTCGACGATGTCTTTGCGCTGCTTGACGGCGGCGCCCGCAAAGTCTTCGTTGCGCCGGAGACGCTCCCCCAGTATGCAGAGCTCGGAGACCGGGTCCTGCCCGTTGTATCAACACTGGACCTGTCTGCTGCTTCCGAGCACGGTCTTCTGATCAAAGAGTTCGACCCCAAGGCGAGCAATGTCGACAAGTTTGCTGAGGAAGCCCGCGCCAAGAAGCTCAAGGTTCTGTACCTGAAGCCGGTCCCTGAAGTCTCCCTCGAAGAATTCATCCGAGTTGCGCAAAAGTGCAACGCCATTCCCATCCTGCCCTCGACCGGGCTGACGACCGACAAGGCTGATGGCAGCAAGCTTCTGCTTTCCAAGGTTATTGCGACATACTGGAAATCGGACCGTGCCGATGGCCTTATCCCAACGGTCGTTACCGATGTGCACGGAATTGCTCTCGGATTGGCTTACACTAGCGAGGAGAGCATTCTAGAGGCGCTGCGAACTCACACCGGCGTTTACCAGAGCCGCAAGCGAGGGTTGTGGGTGAAGGGTGCTACTTCTGGCGACACCCAGGAGCTTGTCCGCATCGCATTGGACTGCGACAATGACACTCTCAAGTTTGTGGTGAACCAAAAGGGCCGATTCTGCCACCTCGAGCAGTTTGGCTGCTTCGGCGAACTGACTGGCATCGCGAGACTGGAGCAAACCCTCAAGTCAAGAAAAGAGTCTGCTCCTCCGGGCTCATACACTGCCAGACTCTTCTCTGATGAGAAGCTGCTGAGAGCTAAGATCATGGAGGAGGCTGAAGAGCTGTGCGACGCCAAGACTCCCGAGGAGGTCGCATTTGAAGCTGCCGACCTGATCTACTTTGCCCTCACAAGAGCCGTTGCTGCTGGCGTGAGTGTAGCCGATATCGCTGGTAGCCTGGACGCCAAGGGCCTCAAGGTCAAGAGGAGAACGGGCGATGCCAAGGGCAAGTGGGCTGAAAAGGAAGGCATCAAGCCATCTGCCCCCGCTGCCCCAGCCAAGCCGGCTGAGGCTGAGAAGCCCAAGAGCGACCGGATTGTCATGCAGAGAATCGACTCGGTCAACGCTACAGAGGCCGAGCTTCTCGAGACCCTGAAGCGACCCTCGCAAAAGTCTCCTGAAGCCATCCTGAAGATTGTGACTCCCATTATCGAGGATGTTCGCAAGAACGGAGACAAGGCCGTCCTTTCATACACTCACAAGTTTGAGAAGGCTACTTCTCTGACGTCTCCCGTATTGAAGGCTCCTTTCCCCAAGGAGCTGATGCAACTCCCTGCTGAGACCATCAAAGCCATTGATATCTCCTTTGAAAACATCCGAAAGTTCCACGCCGCCCAGGGCGATGACAAGACTCTCCAGGTTGAGACCATGCCTGGCGTTGTCTGCAGCCGCTTCTCAAGACCCATCGAGAGAGTTGGTCTGTACGTCCCCGGTGGTACTGCTGTTCTGCCCAGCACGGCTCTCATGCTTGGTGTGCCTGCCATGGTTGCCGGCTGTAAGAAGATTGTCCTGGCTTCGCCACCCCGTGCCGACGGTAGCGTCACCCCTGAGATCGTCTACGCCGCTCACAAGGTCGGAGCCGAAAGCATCGTCCTCGCTGGTGGAGCGCAAGCCGTGGCCGCCATGGCCTACGGAACTGAGAGCATCACCAAGGTTGACAAGATCCTCGGCCCCGGCAACCAGTTCGTCACTGCGGCCAAGATGCACGTCAGCAACGACACCAATGCGGGAGTGGGCATCGATATGCCCGCTGGCCCATCTGAAGTGCTGGTCATTGCCGACAAGGATGCCAACCCTGCATTTGTTGCATCGGATCTGCTTTCTCAGGCCGAGCACGGTGTTGACAGCCAAGTCATCCTGATTGCTGTCGATCTCAACGAAGAACAGCTCAAGGCTATTGAAGACGAAGTCCACAACCAGGCCATCGCCTTACCCAGAGTAGATATCGTGCGTGGCTCCATTGCCCACTCCGTCTCTGTTCTCGTCAAGACCATTGATGAAGCTATGCGCATCAGCAACGAGTATGCTCCGGAGCATCTCATCCTGCAGATCAAGGATGCTGCCAAGGCCGTCGATCTCGTCATGAACGCAGGCAGTGTCTTCATTGGCCAATGGACCCCCGAGAGTGTTGGTGATTACTCTGCTGGTGTTAACCACTCACTACGTAAGTGTCTCCCTTTGATTCCTTTTCATATACAGACAGCACTTTGCTAACCAACTATGTAGCAACGTACGGATTTGCCAAGCAGTACTCTGGCGTCAACCTGGGATCCTTCCAGAAGCACATTACCAGCTCTAACCTCACTGCTGAGGGGCTGCGGAACGTGGGCGCGGCGGTCATGCAGCTGGCCAAGGTTGAGGAGCTTGAGGCCCACAGGAGAGCAGTAGAGATCCGTATCAAGCACATGGATGCGCAAAAATAGGGTGAAGAAAGAAACTTGTGACGAAACAATGGGCTTTCTGTGTAAAATTAGTAGGTTAAAAAACATTACGAAGCAACAAACGCCTCGAGAATAAGTAGACGACGAGGAAATGCTATTTTGGATAATTTTTTCATCATTTATACATGTTTATATATCTATGAGGATATGATGAGATCGCTTGATGCAGAAAAAAATCTATGTCACCTGTAGAAACTAAGCCCAACGTATGAAAAATTCCCCATGGTCAACAAAAGAAGAAAAAAAAGAGAAAGAAGAAAGAGAAAGAAATTTGCTCACGCCATCTAGTAATAGAACGTTGCTGCAAAATGACTTTTTTCTTGCTCGCCCTCTGCACACGTGTACAGCTCCTTTAGAAAAAAAGAAAAGAAAAGAAAAGAAAAGAAAAACATCCCAAAGCGCCTCGCTATGTAGTTGCTCCAATGCGATAAAATGTAAAAAGAAAAAAATTCCCTGCCCACCTCGAAAGGCTTTTCTTCTCCAGCTGCAAAAATTGCTGTCAATGCATCGCCATGCACTTTTTGCTCTCGGAAGCAAAGCAGAACCCCTCGTTTCCGCGTAAAATTCGCTCCAAAGACGCAAATATATAATGATGAATAGATAATGAATCCAAACGCGCGAGCGTGGAAAATGAGGCGAAAAAGAGAAAGAGAAACGAAAATGAGGATGAATGAGCAAAAAGCCCATAGATAATTGGTGGCAAAAAGCCGCCATCATTACGATGGTATCGAGGGAGTTCGGATCTCGACGGGTACTTCAATAACCGGCAGGTCTTGTTCCTGCTCGATGTCTCCGCGATCAAACTAAACCCAGCTTAGCTTTCGTTTTCTTTTTTTTTTACTCCTCAACCTTCTCTTTCACGGATAGGTGACCAACCCCAGAAATGATCTCGGCTGAGACATCTTCCACCACCCGGGTTTCGTCCTCATCATCATCAGATGCCTCGGCGCCTTCATCCTCTGCATCGTCCTCGTAGTTTTCCTCATCATCAGCATCTTCAGTCTCGATGCTCTGCATAACAGAGTCCATCAGTCGGCCCTCATCGACTTCGTCGTCATCATCATCGTACTCATCGTGCGAGAGGTAGCTATCCGCAAGCCCTTCGCCCACCTCTTCCTCATCTTCTTCCTCTTCTTCGTCGGTATAGGTGCTACCCTGGTCATCCTCGTCCTCTTCATCATCGTCATCACTTGCCGAGAAGTCGTCCATCTGGAGAGGGTCATCTCTCCAGTACATGAAGTCGGTGTACTCCTCCCCGCCACCCCTGACCAGGGTATCGACAGGGGGGAAGTAGTGGTCCACAACCTCATTAATATTGACATAGGTCATCTTGAGTTTGTTAAGACTCAGGAGGTCAAGTGATACTTCCGAGTTGGAGTTGATGGTGAAGATGCGGGTTCTTGGCACATCCACCGTTCGGTAGGAGATTTGGTCTGTTAGACGGTTGCCAAAGCCGGCATAGAAAGGACCACCGTCTGGCCCATACAGATTTCGGATGTCCCGTAAGGTTGCCATCTTGAACACGTGAGGCTTTCGCAAGTACACTTCACGGCGCAGAGCTGCCATGGTTCGATCGGGAGACAAAATTGTTGGGCCGTGGGGCATTTTGAAGCCATCCTGAACAATATTGTTCAAATAAGTCCGGGTGGAGTCGGACTGTCCGACAGAGCGACTGGTCAGATACA